GTGGGAAAAGCAGTGCCCCTTGCTGATATAAATAAAGGGCCTCTGAAATATTCTCCCTGACTCCAGATAGTCTGGTGGTCTGTAGCACTGCCCAGTCCCGTGGATTCAAATTTAACAGCATGATACTAGAGCAGCGCACAGTCATGCCAGCCATCTGTGGACATGGTGTGTGTGTCTGCTGGGGGAAATGTAATGTAGGCAAGACAGGAGCATGAGCCTTTCCCAGTAAAAGGTTGGTGCGTTCCCTTCCCAATGGGTCCCCCTGCCAGGCAGTGTTTGTGAAGTATCCGGTGTCGGCTGCCCCCCTGCATTTAGCAGGTTGTCAAGTACCATAGTCTCCTCTTTACCTAATTAGCCAGTCCATTTACTTTTACAGATCTAAATTTGCTGTTGTGAATCCAGATTTTATTTTCTGACTTAAGATAAATGTGAAATGCCAGTTTCGAGTATATTAATTTCACTTGAGCCCTGATATACAAAATCCTTTGTGCATATATAGATAAGTGTCACTTCACACATCTCAAGTCTAAAATACTTCACACCTTTGTTTACATTCTGATCGTGTCTGCCTTGAACGCATCAACAATAGGATTCACACCAATAAGTATATAAAAATTCAGCAACATGTAGTTAGCACATGTACAAAATACTAAACCATGTGTATAACGTTTTTTGAAAAACACGTAGTGAATTTCCTCAGTCAATATGGCTAAATGAGCTTTGTACTCACAAATGACTTTCATTTATAGCAGCAGTACAAATGATTACCTCGTACCTACATCAGCCCAACAATGTTTATTATCAACTACATACAAACTAAAAACTAAAATAAACAGCCACAACTGAAAATATAAGAAACATGTAACATCCTTTGTTAATTTCAGCAGTAGAGAAACAGGCTACCAAGATCTTTTTTTTTAAATGTTGGAAGAAAAGAAAGATGAAGCCAATGAACTACTGTATAAAGTTGAATGTGTGTATTATGATGCAGCTGGGTGTGGTGTTAAAAACATTTCCACAATGGAAACTTTTATGAAAACGCCAGGTCTACCGTTCTTATCTTCGGTGGCCTCGTAACTCTATACCTCATCTCACGAGTTAATGAACAACCAGTCGTCACCACATTACACAAGGAAGGGGAAATACACATTTCTGAGGTATTAACTTGAGCATGACTGTACATGGCATTGGATCTGCATCGATTAGTCTATCAGGATAAACAAAAATCATCAACTTTCTTTAAGCAACTAAAGACCGTCCAGCTGCAACTACTTTTGTGCAGCTGCCAGTGGTTGTGGTGGTGGGATGCATTTCCTAGTTCAAGCTGGGAATAATTCAGATTCCTTCACAAGTGATAACATGTGGTCTAGAGAAGTCACTTGTGGCAACACAAACCTTCACTTTTGGGCTGTTTTCTGTTTATAAACGGCAAAAGAGCCAGCAGCCAAGAAATAATAAAAAAGGTCCCCCTCAAGAGTAAATTAATATGTGTTGGTTATAAATTATTCTTCATCACAACTAACAAACAGTGCATGCCACCAGACTCGGTGTTATCACCCCCCCCGCTGTGACGGTAAATAGTTTCACGTGTGGAAAACAAGGCCTTCCTCATTTTACAGTGTAGACTCAACTTTGTCGTGATAATCAAGCATAGTCTCTGCAGCTGTGGCACTTTCACGAGTTCCCCTTTAAACTGAAGTAAACTTAATTCATTTTGAACATAAAAAAGGGTATATATGTAAAATAAATAATAGTGAGCATAGGCACCTTCAGTCAGCAACATAAGTGTACAATTACCCTTTATCTCTAATCATTCATCAGTACTCAATTAATCACATAAACCAACCATCCGCCTCAAAGCTAAAACACTGTGCTCCTCCTAATAATATATAACACTAACCAATCAAGAATATGAAAAATAAAATGGCAATAAGAGCAATAATAATCTCCATTTAGATGTGTCATTCACCTTCCTCATTACTGGTCCTTGCAAAATAAATGTTTTCCCCATCTTAACAAACTCACAGATATGATTACTTTGTTTGATTTGTTTACGTAAGTAAGTAAAATCCCCCCTCTGTGCAATAACGTTTTTTCTAACTTGCCAGAAGTTTAATTATTTCTTGCTCTGTACAACGTTTGTTCAGTCTTAAATTCCACCAGAATTTCAATGCACATGACTTAGTGTGTGTATCGAGAACACACTGTTACTCTATTCTCGATATCAGACATTGTTTCTATCCCTTTTACATTACTTGTTATTATACATGTCTTGTATGTCTCTCATTCCCAAAATATAAATAGCTTCTGCTTATTTTACAGTTATTGTTTTTCAGACGTGTGCATTAGTCCCTGAACAGGATGGTTAATCGTCAGACGCTCCAATAACATTAGCTGAGTATCTCTTCAGAAGTTTAGGTTTCACAAGCTGCTGTCCACCTGTTGGAAAGTAGTTTGTCTTTGCCGAGCCAAGATGGATATCACTGAGCTTGCTCCAGAGATGCCCAAACATGTGTCTGTAGCTGTTTGTCACATTCATGCAGTACGTGGTCAGCACTGCTTAATGCCACATGCTAAACTGAGTTGCATTTAGTGTCACCTGAACCTTCAGGGATGCTCCGAACGCACATTTATCTATGGCTATGTTTTTTTTATCTCAGGCAGTTTTGTCCTCTGTTGAAAGCTACAGTCTATGGTTGAAAGAGTACACTTCCTCTTTGGCCTCATCTCACCACATCCAAAAGTTTCTAAGGAAAAATAAGTTAGTTGATATATAAATGACCTACTTAATCTTTAAACCCGATAGGGACCGTAATTGTTTATGCATTACGGCATTAAAAACAGATAAGATGTCCAATTAGTCTCTCGTTGTTTGTATAGTTCAGTTTCTCATATATGAGTAAGAAACTATAAAAGGCTGTGTATTAATAAATATTGTTAAGATTTCTGAGAGCTTAAGAACTAGCTGAGGAATGTTACATGGAGTTTGGGGTTAAGTGTAAGATATTGTGGTTTTATTGAATGTGGAATATGAAAGCATATCTCATCACTCCTGACAACTGATGTGAATGTGACATTAAATGTTATCCTGCTAGATGTCGTACTTATATATTGACTTAAATGAGATGTCAGATACAATTCCATAATATAAGATGACACAGACATAATGTGGCAAAAGGCCCTGACATGCATGATAAAACGGATAAAACCCATTTAAAAATAAGGATTTATTTTTTTGAAATTGAAAAAGAAATATATATATATATAGTTTAAATAATAAAAAAATCAAGGATTCAATAAGACACAAAGCCGTTAAATGTGTCAGAATAAAATCGAATAAGTAAGACTAACAGTTTGGACCTACAAACCAGACCACTACATGTAGAGGATATATTCAAACGAGTTTTAGGGGTCATTGCCTGTGTGCATGAAGCGTGTATCTTTTAACCCAGACTTAACTGCTTCCCTTGGCCGCTCTATTAGACATGCAAGGGCAGGACCAAGGAGGCCTCCATCTATATTTGTTCACGTAAACACCCTATACTGCTGTTAGACAGTTTGACCTGCCGCGGGTGTTAATTTGGTCACAAAGTGACCTCCCTAGTGCAGTGTGTGTTTGCCTTCAGCCTTTGCCTTCAAGACTGTAACGGCTGCGATAAAGGCATGCTGTGAATGTGTGAAGTGTCCAAAGAAAAGTCAGTTTCCCTGACAAATGCCACATTATTTTAGGTCGAGTCTCTCTAGCAATAACACAGTGCACCCATTCATTGTAGGCTGATAAACACACTCCTATCTAGGCTACATACTAAATATAACTTGAAATAGATCAAGTCAAATGACTCTCTTGAAAATAGTAGAGTGTTTTGTTTAAACTAAAGAGTAAAAATAGTTAGAGGCGAAAAGGGAAATAGATGTGGCAGAAGGACCAAATAGCTTATAGTTTCAGAGCTCCATTCATAACGTTGACATTCAAATTCTAAGGAGGCTCTCATATCAGGGACTCTGAGGACTCTTAATCCCAAAATCCAGTTTGTATCATAATTGTTAAAACTGTGTACTGTACCTTTGCACGTCCGTCTATTCATGCCTCATTTATTCTCAGGGTCACTTACTACACCAAAACGTTTTTTTAAAGTGTTAAAAGTGTTTTGCTACTTAAAGTGTCACATCATAACTATTCGATTGTCATTCAGCATTTCTCAGCACAGCCTATCTATATTTTCTATGAATGTGCTCAGCATGGACTGATCTTAGTCCATGCTGAGCACATGGAGAAGCAACGGGGGATGAAGTGGGGAGGCAGAGAAGAGTTCTGTCCTTGTGGTCCTCCAAATAGAAACCGTAGACATAATGTAAAGGTCATCTCCATTGTATTGCCTTGGGTTTTTGTGGTTGCCACCATTTTTAACATTGACAACATAAACACAGAAATGCTTGTTGCCAGGGAAGTGAAGACCGTATAGCATCTACTGTACGGCAAATGTGCCCCAATGTGCAGGCTTTAAAAAAAATAAAAAATAAAGTCTATTCATTGTGTTTAAAGTTTAAACCCTGTATTTCTGCACAGTTGCAGATAAAGACTAGGCCAGGTTTTATTGTTAGTGTTTATAATATTTGTAAAAAAAATCCAGTTGTGGCTGTGAAGGATTGTTGTTTGGGTTGTAAAGTCCAAATGTATTGAAAGAAGATAGATACAATCATTTCTAAAATACCCATATATTTCTATCTTAAAAAAGTATCTGCGTGTGCCATTTAGCCTTTCCAAAAATGTTTGTGCTTGCCCCACAGGAAGTGATCAAGCACCTGTAATTACGGGGGTCTAACAACAATTCAAAATGACACTATACCATTCTCTTTCAGCCCTTAGGAACATGTTGAATGTGAAGAAGAACTTCTAACTTCACATTAAGGACATTGTTTGTGAATTCTTTGTGCGTGCATGTGTAATATTGTCCTGATGCTGACATCTTGTGTGATCCCTCTCTTTGTCTCTCTGTCAGACACGTGATGACTTCCTGGGACAGGTGGACGTCCCCTTGAATCAGATACCGGTGAGTCTTTGGTTGAAGGATGTTCTTTGAATATTTACGCCTGTGACTTGTTTTACTTCCCCTTAGTTAGAGATAATTTCGTTTTCAATTGAAGCTTTTGCTGCTCACGCTCTTGAACTCTCTCTCTCACCCATGTCACCATGTAAATATAAACACGCACGCCCTTATTCTAGTGCCTGTTCCACATCGTTGGCTATAGTTTTGGAAACACAGTCTGTCATGTTTATGTTACGTTCCTGCTTTTGTTTCATTATAAATACCCACAAATGTTATACTGTCACCATCATCACTATCTTTAAATATACTGTGTTTTGATCCACTGCCAGACAGTTTATTTGTTCACCCTGCTGTCGAAATGTTTGGAGGATTGAAGATTTCCTTTTTATTTTCTCAGACAGAAAATCCTAATACAGAAAGGCCATACACATTTAAGGATTTTCTGCTTCACCCACGAAGGTTAGCATGATTTATTGTTATTTACTCTTATTTCTTTCCCTGTTTACATTCCATTTTTATTTGCATGAGAAATTATAGTCCACAGTTCATACTTTGTTTTAAATATTCCTGACAATATGTATGTCTTTCATGTTCAAAATACTTAATAAATCTGTTGGTTTCACAGCCACAAGTCCAGGGTCAAAGGTCACCTGCGTCTCAAGATGACCTACCTGCCTAAAGACCCAGGTTCAGAGGAGGAAACGGTGGAGCAGACTGAGGACACGGATGTAAGTTTGGCACGTTCAACAAGGATGCATCTCCCATGGCGTTCATTAATATCACTCATCCTGTTATTTTAAGTTTAGATTCTTCCTCCTGTTTATAATAGATCAGCTGCAGCCTCAAATGAACTTGGACTAATAAATAGATTTTAGTTCCCTGTCACTCGAGGCCATGTTTTATTAATTTGTGCGCACGAGATGTAATTCGTGGCCTCAATTTAAATAAAACGAGGCCACGCTTTATTAATTTGTGCGCACGATATACTTTCTTATGGTTAGACACATCGAACTGCCCGATTATTACGCCATATTATTAGTTTTATGAAGAAGATGTCCGGTCGCCAGGGCATGTTTGTGTGTGTGTGTGTCTGTGTGTGTATGTGTGGGCATTTGTTTTCAGAAGATATTATGATAGTGGCGTTCGTTCCGGTGCACTCCGACAGCACTAGCCTACATCGAGATTAAGATTAAACTAACTTCTTTCACTTGGGAATACACATATGGAGTTAGCCAGATGTGTGTAAATTACTGTTCATGGTACTTTGAAAACAAATGCCGGTGTTTGACACACACATACACACACACACATCATGTAGCATTTCACGTTTCCATTGCAACAACAACTTCCTGTCAACAGCGTAAACTCGCCTTCAAAATAAAAGCATCTAAATAAAACAGGAAGTTAACCTAAATTACATTTAAGACGTATACAACTGCAACGAAAGTAACAAAAACAATGTCATATCCTTTTCAGTTTCACAGAACACAAATTGGGTTATTTACACATCATGCAGGTGACCGGACATCTCCTTCATAAAACGAGTAATAGGGGGAATAATCGGGCAGTTCGATGTGTGTAGAGGTGTGTGTGTGTGTGTGTGTGTGTGTGTGTGTGCGTGTGTGTGTGTGGCTAAAACGTAGCAGCCTCGATCTCTATTCAGCTGTTCTGAAGGTAAACACAGTGAAGGCGCTGCGTAAAAGACACAGCTCTCTGCGCGCAGATAGCAGATACTGTGAGAGTCACGGACATGAATTCATAGATCAAGGCAGACTGGTTCACAGACTCTCCTGTTTTGCGAATCCGGTGCTTAAACAAATAGCTCTACACCAATGTCCCTAAAATGAAGTCAGAGTTTGAAATATATCTCAAATAATGTCTGCACTGTCATTTCCCCACATAAACATAACAGTCTGCAATGAAACGGTTGTCTCCTGTGCGCTCCACTTCCTACTTGGCGCACCGGTAACTTTCTCGTGCGCACGAGAAAGTATATCGTGCGCACAAATTAATAAAGCGTGGCCTCGTTTTACTCATTTGTCTCTCTATGAACCCTCCAGGGCTCCGTAGTATTGATTACCTAGCTGAGAAGTTTGAGGGGTTCAGCCTCTAGCCTGCTGCTCTTCATTTAACATCTCAGTGTGGCCGCTTCTGACTCTTCTGATCCTGCAATATTTCAAACTGAGCCACAAAACACATCTAGATATGCTCCCCGTTTATTTTGTTGACGCATTTTTGATCAACGGAAGTGGTCGGTGTCAAGCTCATTCACAAACACATTGCATTTCCTGTGACTACTTGTGTTTCAGCAGTCAACAGCTTTTAATTAAAGACTAATCAGAGATAGTGAGAAATGTCAGATTTATTAACAGCCACTTATCAAGCATTCATTCTTGGAATGTCACCGGAAGACAACGAAATGAATTTACTGCAAATATATGAATATTTCAATACTTTGATTTGTTGGCATTATGCTCAGTCACTATTAGGCTGAGAACAAATGCGATACCTCATCAGAGATAGTGATTTTTTATATGAAATTCTTACTAACTATTACTTTAAGACCATTGACATTAAGATACTGTCTACATGCTGTGTGTGCCGCCTTTTTAAACGTTCTGTTTATGTCGTGCAGCCCAGTTGGGAGTATCTGGAGGCTCAGGACATGTCGGGTCCCAGGCAGAGCCAGCTGCTGCCCGCTCTGCCCCCTGGCTGGGAGGAGCGGCAGGACAACCTGGGGAGGACTTACTTTGTCAATCATGAGAGCAGAACCACACAGTGGCACCGGCCCACAGTCCTGTAAGACCCCCCCCCCCCCCCCCCCCACCCCCACCCCCACCCCTCATCAGCACTTTTTCTTGTTAGGGCAGAACTGACAATTTGTGTGTGTCTTTGTGTGTCCTAAACAGGGACGATGACCTGCAGATACAAAGAAGACAGAACAATGACATGGACGTGGAGCAGGCTTTTATTACACGCAGACAGATCTCAGATCACGATGAGAACACCACACCTGAGGTCCGTTTATTACTGTTTTTAAAAATGCTTTTTTTGGTGAAGGAAGCGGGGGAACAATGGTGGAAGGATGTTCTGCAGCCAGGTTTTGCAATGTTTTAGCAATTGGTCCTGGCTTTTCCTCAGAGGGTTTGGCATAAACACTAATACACACTAAATAAATAACTTTGAGGTTTACACTTAACAAACCTTACTAAAAACTAAGACGTATTACTTAAACTAACAAATAATATTTTTTTCAGGTTTTGTACTTACATAAAAAAAAACATGTAGGAGAGCTTCATTGTATTATCCTAATTGAGTTTGTGTGGTCATTTTTATGAGATTATAATTTCAGTACTTCTAATTATTTATTTATTTTAGTTAATGAGGCTTGTTTACATAAAAAAAGTGCACATTTCTTGCTTGACAGCGCAGTTAGTGATGCAATTGTCATCGGATATAAACTTGGACCTTTCCCCTATACTCCTCCACTTTCTTGACGAGTCTCTTTTGTCTCCTCTTCTAGAGCTGGGAGATCATTACAGACGACGAGTCCACCTTGTACCACAGCAACAGCAACAGCCAGGTCATGTCACCTCCACCCCACGGTCCTGAGGAGTTCCTCCCATTTCGTGAAGATCTGAGAAACTCCCTTGTTTCTGCGTCCACAGTTGGCGAGCTGCGCACCAACCAGGCGGTGAGTCATATTCTGTTCAGCAATGGGTCTGATTCTGGAAAGTCAGAGGAAGAGAGACTCATAATAAAATGAATTAGATACATACACTTAATACAGAGAGAGAGAGAGAGGGAGATAAGTGGAAGTGGTATAACATTAATAGTAAATTGTCTCTGTAGTCTTGACATCCTTCCTCTGCCCTGCAGGATCATGCAAGTAATTCAAGCCATTCCAGTCGCAGAGGAAGTGCCCAGACTTCAACAGGAGAGGAACATCCTGTTAATCCTGTGGTGAGTATTTCACTCCCTATTGAAATGGCTCCTTCCTCCACTCCTTGCGGTGTGAATGGACAGTTGTCAGCATTCAGAATTCACGTGGTGTTTTCTTCCTTTCCTGTGTGGAAGTTAGGAAATAGTTTCAGTGACTTCAATGTGTCCCAATATTGGTAATGGGTTACTCCAAGAGCTTGAGGTTTTCAGTATTGATCCCCTAATTGATGTCATGTCATTCAATAGCTGGTTCCTACCTCGTCTGGGCTGCCTGCAGGCTGGGAGGAGAAGAGAGACAGTAAAGGGAGACGCTACTTTGTTAACCACAACAGCCGAACCACCTCATGGACGCGGCCCCTCGTTCAGGTACAAAGTGTTTTCTGGGGGGATTGTGCGTGTCAATATGTGTACATGTCTGTCTGTCCGTCCATAGCTAATCTCGTATCCTGCTGGACCCATCAACCTAGTTTAGTTAGTGGACATTTCTTACTTTATGAATACACAAGGACCTCTTAAGGTTTTGATGTTAAACAACTTTTGAAAAACGTTTTAATTGACTGTTTTCTACCGTCCTTGACTTCTTGATTCACTCCTCTCAATTAATTGTTAGTGTCCTCAAGTTATGTACAACTGCTTCATTAGCATTTTCAGCAATCGCCTAATCTAAAAACAAGCCTCAGCTTCTCTGTTGAAGGCCAGATTTGAGCAAAATGATGAATACTGAAACTCAACCGACACTTGTAATCACAGTTCTTTCTTACTTCTCCATATAATATTTGTTGGACAGAGGACCCAGGAAGCCCCAGCAGTGGCACCAGCCGTGGCCCCAGCTGCAGCACAGATTGGTGCAAGTGTTCGTCAGAGCGCGACCCCGCCCTTACCCCCCGTGTCTCCTGAAGAGTCTCCTCAGCAGACCCCGAGTCCCGAGGCCTCTCAGGACTCTACCTTCCTGCCGGCCGGTTGGGAGGTCCGCAGCGCTCCCAGTGGAAGACCTTTTTTCATCAACCACAACACTAAAGCTACTACCTGGGTGAGAAAGCAGCAGACATTGGACGTGCTTTTACCAGTTACTCTAAAGGCACACTGCTAAATTACTGGTTTGCGGTTTGTTAACACACCATTGAAAGCTCAAGAAGCTAGAAATTGAGATAATCCTGCATTTTTCCTACTTTTAATGCAGATGCTCCCAAGGGAGCCACTTAAGAAAAACAAAATGTGAAAGTGTTTCCTGTTTTACTGAAACACACCCTGTTTGTTTTCCTCCGAGCAGGATGATCCCAGGCTGAAGATTCCTGTGCAGGCGAGGAGGCGACCCTCACTCGACCCATCTGATCTCGGCCCTCTGCCGGTAAATTGTTACAGAAACTGTGTAACAAAATCAGTTGAAATACATTAATCAACTTTATGCTTTAGATCTCATCCTTTATTGCTCTGTGTGGAAATATATAATTAATGATATTTTGTACAATAGACTAAAGCTACTTATTAAAGAATGTGATGTTCCTCCTTTCTAGCCTGGCTGGGAGGAGAGGGTCCACACCGATGGGAGGATTTTCTACATAGATCACAGTGCGTATGACATTCAATACTAAGATCACATCTTGGACAAAATAATGTCTAGAGGGGTGAAGGGGACCACCATGGGACCTTATTTTGGACAAAAATATGTATATCAATGGCGAGTGACTCGTCATTATGTGTACCCTTTAGAAATGTGCCAATAATCACACATTATTGTAAAAGTCTGAAAAAACATAGTGGACTACACACCGAAAGTCGAGTAAATGGGTCAAAACTTCATTTCTCGCTGATGCTGCGCAGCCGTGTGTTTTATCCCTGAATAAACTCACACAAACAGCGAATCTTGCTCATTCTCTGGCTTACCAGCTCATTAAATGACCTGGATTTGGATGGAAAAACGCACCTGGTAAGATAACGTTACAGCTGTGCGTGGAACAAAGCTCAGTTACCTAGTGTTTGTTACATTGTTGTTGTTACGCTTATGCAAGGTGAGATTCTGTACAGAGCTAAATGTTGCTCAACCCGTGACTTTGCAAAATTATCTTTTGAAATGACAAACATCATACTGTATGTGTGAGTCACAGGAAAACTCAAACAGGATCAAAAGTCGCTGGCATACATATTTGTATATGAAATAAGGTCTGATAGTGTAAGGGCAGGGACTCCTCTATGTTTCAGTATTAATAATTGGCCTATTCTATTCCACAGACACCAGGATCACACAATGGGATGATCCCAGATTACAGAACTCGGCTATAACCGGACCAGTGAGTATACATTATATTTTACGATATGATGTAACACGATATTAGCACATGAAAAAGCACACTCCTGTAAATATGTATCCTTGATAACAGTGTTAAGGTTAAGATGGATTTGACGCTGAACGCTGTCCTTTGTTGATTACAGGCAGTGCCTTATTCCAGAGATTATAAACAGAAGTATGAATACTTCAGGAAGAAGCTGAAGAAACCGGTGAGTGTCCTCACAGAGCAACTGTAGCTGGGACTGTAAACAACTCAAATACTTAATCAAAAGAATCAAATAAGCATTGGTGTTACCTTCACCTCAGATATTACTTTGTCACTTTAACATGTTAGCTTTCTTCTTAATGAACGCATTACATTTGTTCTTAGGCTGACATCCCAAACCGCTTTGAGATGAAGATGAGACGAAATGCAGTTCTGGAGGACTCGTACCGACGCATCCTCTCCGTGAAGAGGGCCGACCTGCTGAAGGCCCGGCTGTGGGTGGACTTTGAGGGAGAAAAGGGTCTGGACTACGGCGGCCTGGCCAGAGAGTGGTTCTTCCTCATGTCCAAGGAGATGTTCAACCCGTACTACGGCCTGTTCGAGTATTCTGCCACGTGAGGCCACACACTGCATGTTTTATACCTCCAGATATGGTCTCATTAAATAACGAAGAAAAGAGTAGGAAAGAATCGTGCTTTGGGGGATTTCTTTCTGATTTTTTTGTAAATTTGTATTCAGTAGGTTCGACATTTCCATCTAATGTTGTTTGCTCTGTCTATTTCATTTGCCATTTTTTTTTACCATTAATATCAAGTGTGTTTTTTTTCCAACTTATTTCACAATCATTTTTATGTTATATTCCTGTTTTTAGGTTCATTTTATGTCTGATTTCCCCTATTTTAAAGATCTTTGTGCTGCATTAATTGTATAATAAGTGCTATGCAAATGTTCTTTATGATTATAAATGATATTTAAAGTAAATGACAGACCCTCAGGACAGACATTGTGGGTCTAAATACAGTGATCACTGCTCATCTAAAATGTGTGAAAGGGAGAATGATTTTACATTTTCATAATTTATGATTTATTCAGGATTTAATCTGCATAATAGTGGACATTTAAAGCTACACATAAATAACTGTAGTTGCTTTTTTATAGGAACCATGAAAGGCAATTTAGAAATCTATTTATTTCTGTTCATACTTTGTTATGGTCTTTCTTCCAGGGACAACTACACACTGCAGATTAACCCGAACTCAGGTTTATGTAACGAGGACCATCTGTCCTACTTCAAGTTCATCGGCCGCGTGGCGGGCATGGCCGTGTATCATGGCAAACTGCTTGATGGTGAGTGCCTCTTTGTATACATATGTGACCCGCTCTATCGAAATCAGTCGGAAGTCGCAACGGCTCATTTCAAAATAAACGTGGATTTGCGTAAAAAAATAGTTTTTCGAGGTTCGGGTGTTTTGTTTGATTTTAAATAAACAAAGTCTTGGCTTTCAGAATATGAAACTTTTATTTCCAAAATCACACGATAAATACATGTTTGAAGCTTGTAAAGGGAAGATGACAGCTCTCACTCGCCACTCTGCTGTTCCGCAGCGCCGCTTCCCCTCCCTCCGCTGAAATGATGAATGTAAGGCGTATAGTAATCATCATAGATAACACGACAGGGTCCGTTACAGTTTGTTTTCATCTGATTTCAATTAAACAAAGTCTAGGCTTTCAGAATATTAAACTTGTTTCGGCAAATTCAGATGATAAATACAACTTTGAAGCTTGTAACGACATAATTACAAGCGGAGAACGGAGTAACGTGACGTCACAGCAGGCATAACAACAGCCGGTGTTTCTCGTGAGTGTTTTCCCCGGGAAACAAACACAATACACACAAACGCAAACACACACATACATACATACACACACACATACACACTCGCGAGCTTCCCCCAGACCAGTAATCCAAACGAAAATATCTTCCCTCCGTACTACTTTGATCATTTGCTAATAATCAATCAGATCGATGGATTCCAGAGAAGAGGAAACTTTGAAGGCCTTTTTCTCAAAATGATGACTCGGTGATAGTCATTATATAATGTGACATATTTTGCTTAATATTTGGAGCACAAAAACAATGCTAGGAATCTCCTCTTTCCAACAGTGTATACAACTCAAAATGTGTCTTCGGGTCAATGCGACTGATTTCGATAGAGCAGGTCACAAATTGCCAAAGGGCAAAGAGAAGATCAAAGGGATTGGAGAAATGTGATTTCATAGAGCTTGACTCTTTTTGTGTGTGTTCTTTAAAGCTTTCTTCATTCGGCCGTTCTACAAGATGATGCTGCAGAAGCCGATCACTCTGCAGGACATGGAGTCTGTTGTGAGTGTCATACTTATATGCTGTAACTAATTAAACCCCCGATATGTTATCTTCTGAAGCTAGGGATGGCACAATGAAACGATAACGAAAGACAAAGTACACCAATATTCTGAAGAAGCATGGGATCATGGGAGATGTTGTCTCGTTGCACTCAGCTAGCCTTGTTTAAGATTCATTCATTCTTCATCCATTTGGAGGTCCTTCAGAGCCAACATATCTGCAGACGCCTCTTCCTCTCGTAAACAAATTGACTTGTTGATTAAAAACAATAAAGAAAACACTCAATAAAGCAGCTTCACATTAAAAGTCATTTTACTCTAAAGCTGTTTTTACTTATCTTATAACTCAAGATCCAGACGTTCAATGACTATCATCCTTTAGCGCATATCATATAGTCGTTTTTAAACTCACACATTATACTTGTGATTGAACACCTTGAATCAGACAGTATGAAAGACATTTTGATCGTTGTCTTTTCAGGACAGTGAATATTTCAACTCCTTGATGTGGATTTTGGAGAACGACCCGACAGACTTGGATTTGAGGTTCACCATCGACGAAGAGCTCTTTGGACAGGTGTGTTCAAACACAGTCTTTCCCTGTAAAACGTAAACTTTCAACCATTTGTTGATACGTGTGTTTTCTTGTTTAATTTGACATGATATATCCCGTTCTTCATATTCAGACTCACCAGCATGAACTGAAGCCGGGCGGCGCAGAGATTGTCATCACTAATGAAACCAAGAAGGAATACATCCAGTAAGCAACAGAGAGAAAACAATTCATCTCCAAAGTGTTGGAAAGATGGTTTGATGCTAACCTGCTGTTTTGTGTTTCGAACAGTCTGGTGATGCAGTGGAGGTTTGTGAACAGGATACAGAAGCAGATGACTGCTTTCAAAGAGGTAACAACTATTCACACATTTTTATAACAGAGTAGACCACAATAAACCGTATAAAGTAAGAATGGGAGTCTATTACAAAAGTCATATAAATGTAGTAAATGAAATCAGTCATATTCAAATAGTTAGGTTGGTAGCACCAATACGTACGGTAGAGTTTTCTTTCCCCATTTCATTTCATGCTGTGCTACTTTAAATGGTTTGTTACAATTATTTTGTTGTGTGTATTTTTTAGGAAACTTGAATTTGGATAGGTTCTTGATTGAGCTTTGAATATAACTATTCTACCAACATTATAACCTGGGAACAATGTTCATCCAAAACTCTCAACTTCATGTTTAAAGGTGTAAATATAAAATGACTGTTGGATATTCTTTGTGTTTCAGGGATTCTTTGAGTTGATACCTCAGGACCTGATCAAGATCTTTGATGAGAACGAGCTGGAGGTGAGTTTTTAATCTGTCCACTTGGCTGCCATTAATATAAAAACTGGTTCCAGAAAGATGAATAATGGTTTGTCTACCTGTCGTCTTGTCCTCCACAGCTGCTCATGTGTGGGCTCGGAGACGTGGATGTGAACGACTGGAGAGAGAACACCAAGTACAAGAACAGCTACTGCGCCAACCACGCTGTTATCCAGTGGTTTTGGAAAGTAAGACAACTTTCCATGCCCCGAGCCATCCAGCTGTGTGCACCTCTCAGAGTTTATTCTCCTCTTAGGAAGAGCTTGTATCACTTATTTCTGTTTGTGTTATAGACGGTGCTGTTGATGGACGCAGAGAAGCGAATCAGGCTGTTGCAGTTTGTGACGGGAACATCCAGGGTCCCAATGAATGGCTTTGCTGAGCTCTATGGTGAGATAACCACATTGTGCCACTAACCTGAAACCAATAGAACAGCTGTACAAGAGAGCTATCAAGGTGTTTGACAGAAAGCCTTATTCATACCACCACTGTACCATCCTTGAAAAACACAATTTCTTGAGTTTTGACAATTGTAAGTCTTTTAAAAGTATGTGTTTCTTTTATAAATGTTTACATGGACTGGCCCCCCCTCCCTTAGGGGAATTCATCCACAAAAAACACACTGGACGCTGCACTAGGTCAGAAACCAGAGGAGATTGTGAAGTCCACCGTAGACGGACCACTTTTGGACAAAATGTCCTCTCCATTAAAGGCAGCTCTTTGTGGAATAGCCTCCCAACTGAGATACGGGATTGTCCCACTCAATGTTTTAAAGGTCAACTCAAAGAATGGTTGAGAAACAAACAGACGTGCAATCACCGCTAAATGCACTTTAACACAGGGGTATCTCCGATTGCACTTTATGTAGCTCTTGTATCATCTCTTGCACTTTATATGTCGTTGCTGCTATATTGTATTACCATGTCATAAATACTTGTGTGTGCTGCTCTTGCTCTTTTTGCATATCATGTATTTATTTTTTGCTATGTTTATAAATGTCATGTTCTTATATGTTGTATTTCTACGGATGGAAATTAGCTCAAAGCTAAAATCCGGCATATTTACACTTGAAGCATTATTTGTCTTAAGTGTTCATTAATGTGCATTGTCCCTATTCAAATAAACGATTAAATGAAAATAAATGAATAACAGCTATTGAAACTGCCAAATGTATCATTGTTAAACAAAGTTTTCCAGCTTAGTGTAGATTATTCTCTCCTGTGTCCTCTTATAATGTAAAATAAAATTGAAATCCCCCTTCACTACGGACACTTGTTAAAAACAAGTGACCGCAGTGTAGGGGGATTTCAATTTTATGCACAGGTGGCTTGAACTTATTTTTACTTTCTGTTTTATTGCAAATGGTTTCCAGATAAAGCTGCGTGTGTTTGTCTGATGTTTGACGGTTTTGTTTTCCAGGGTCTAACGGACCGCAGCTGTTCACCATCGAGCAGTGGGGAACACGTGAAAAACTCCCCCGAGCCCACACATGGTGAGCACTTAACTCCTAACATTTTATTTATTCATATTTGCTGACATTTTAAAAGGTTGGAGAAGTTTTAGCCCAAAACACACTCTGCTTTCTGCTGTCCTTGCTACTGATGTGTTGGTTATGTTTAGGAGGGGGGGTTTGTAACGAGAGATTACAGTTCAACTCTGAGGAACATTTACGAATATTATCAATACATTATAATAATAAACTTCATTTGTAAAGTGCTTTTCAAAATAAAATGTTTGACCAAGATTTGACTATGCACACAATCAAGATGAAGCATAACACCAATCAAACCTAAATTAAACCCAAAAAAACATTTGATATATTGTGTATTTTTTTATTTCACTGTGTGGCTAGGATGTTAGGAGCAGATAAAATATGTTGTTTATCTTGTGTACTTTTTTTTTAAGTATTCTGTGATTATTAATGAATGAATAAATGAAAAAGACCCAGTACAATGTGATGTAGCTGAGCATAGAGTGTGCTGAAGCCCCCTGGTGGCGGGATGCAGTCATAGCCTCCCTCTACTTTTTGAGAACTGAACACAGTCCTTTAGGCTCAGTGGGACACATCAGCATTTAAGGAAGAGCTCCAATGATTTTAAATATTCTTAATATTTTTGCCTATGCTGCACCACGTCTTAAAATCACTTTGTAAATCTGTATGTGGACACTCCCTCAACCCTTATGACAGTTCAGCACACTCCTACTTTTTAGAAGCGGACAGAAGTTAAGGTTAGAGGTTAAACCGAACTACCAAATGTCACACAATACAAAACATCCAAACTGTCCCTTTAAGAATTATGAATGACCAAATAGCAGCTTGAGGTTATCCTACTCTTTCTGTTTTCTTTGGAAAGTGATTTTTCTCTTGATTTGCTCACTGTTTTTACTTTCACCTCGTAAAGCTTCAATCGGCTGGACCTGCCTCCCTATGAGTCTTTTGAGGAGCTGAGGGAGAAACTTCACATCGCCATCGAGAACGCACAAGGCTTCGACGGGGTGGATTAGATCTTGAACTGTTATTGAGCTGAATGGACATTACTGCATGATGTGCTGAAGAGGAGAGAAACCAGCTGTGCTTCAGATCCAGGTGTTAACCTGCGGCTGTGTGACGGATGAAGGAAAGTCGCACAAGCTTCACTCCTCTGTCGTGGCACACATGGAGAAAGGACATGAAATCTGTTGTGACGGGGGTATTTAATCACTCTGTATTTTTACGTTTACAAAGCGAACATGCAAAGCTGTGTACTCTATAACTTTTAGAAACACATTTGTTTCATTTGGGCTGAATTGCCTCAGTAAAACTTGTTATGCTCATCATCAGGTATTTGTGACATTTTCTCTTCATACTCTAGTTAGTGGGAAATCATTTTACTTCTGTTGCTGTTGTAGTGCTGGAAAGAGTGGACCATGGGTTAGATTATTCATTAAGTTAACTTATTATTAGAAGCAACTCTTCATATATGAGTTAAACAATTAAAACATTTTTACTTATCCATACCATTTAATGTATAAAGTAAACAAAACAAGTCTGAAATCCCTTTAAACGTGACATTACCCCGACTGGAACAATGTTAGAAGCACCCAGCGGTTTTAAATGTCCAGTGTGTTGGATTTATGGGGATCTACTAACCCAAATACATATAAAATAATATGACTATGTTTTCATTAGTATATCATCTCCTGAAACTAAGAGTTATGTTATTTTCCTAAAATCAGAATAAGCCTTACATATCATATCATATCATTGGGATTGGGTTCCATATTTCTACAGTAGCCCATAGCAACCAAACTAAAACACAGAGTCAGGATATGGAGGTTCAAGTTTTTGTGTTGAAATGAATTGCACAAATAAAAATAGTTGGAAGGTAAAGAGGATGAAGTGTTTGCTACTGCTGGCTTACCATCATGTGCTGTGAAGAGTCTGAGAAGCCATATTTTAAAAAGAAATTGGAGGATTAAACTGACTATTAAACAAAAAAAAAAGCTGTTAACATTAGTGTGGCCTTTTCCAAATCTCTGATAAATGACATATGTTTTCAGAGTTGCATATCTTTTTGCTGGATAAGTAATTTAGCCAACCAATCTGATTGGACCTGAAATCCACAGTAGGATCTTCCACACGCCTTGAAATGGAGGGAGGGGTTTTCAGGGGCACTAAATCCCACACTCTGGTCCTACAAAATAAGAGATGAAGACAGCAAGGTGTCAGAAGTTTTAAACAAAAACCTGACTGATAAATTGGCAATTCAATCTAAATAAAACCAATGTAAATGTGTCTTATATTTTAAATTCTACACATAATTAAACATTTTCATTCCATCATCATTAGAAAAACTGATGCAAATCCCAAATGTATGCACCTCAGAAGCATTGTTAGCAAAAATGTGAAAGTTATATACAAGTTTTAGTGACTAAACTTAAGGGAAGTGTATTATGTAATCATTATAGTAGTGATGTACACATAGCAGGACCAGTAAAAGGCTAACAATATTATACATTTTTAGTTTGTTTCTCACTACGTGCAGTGTTAGATTGTGCTGCAATACGATGCATAATTGTACATATAGACATAACATTATTAGATATGTTTTTTCAGTTATTACATAAATATACTGTACATAAAAAAATCTACAAAATGATGAAGCATTTATTTTTAAAAATATTGTGAAATTGGCAAATAACTGTTAATGATGCACCTCTACATGAATGCATTGTCTTGAGGCACAGTGCCCACTCAGACTCAAGTTTAACACTGGTAGTTTGTGTATCAGAGTGACGAATACACATTATATATCCCAGAAATATCCGACAGACTGACCGTATCAACCATATCGTTTTGTTTTCCTCTACTCACCACGGGTGTCTGATCGCAGCACTGTGCTCTATTTTTAAGAGTACACCTTAAACTTTTTGGTTATCAAAATGTGTACAGATAATTGACTGTTTTTAAAATGAGTAACCACTTGTTAGTACCTTTGTAGGAAAGTAACTGTACTTCAGCAGTCGTTTATATGTTCTCTACGGTTAAACATGCGTTTACACAACCTGCCATGTTTACAGGTCGTTGCTAAAAGCAGATATTGTTGAGCTGGTTCTTGTCTCTCTGACAACACAATTTTATACTTTATGCTTTTATAAAGTCAAGCACTTTGTTAATATCCATGAGTCTTACTTTGTCTGAATCTTTGCCAATCTGTCGCCTGCAGACTGCTTAAATCGCTTTTTAACAAAATGATCCTATGATTCAAGTGCACGTGTTTAAATGTTTACATGTGAACATTGCTGAAAATAAGCAGTCTCTTCTTTCAATTATATTTAAAGTTAAATACAGAGGCCTTCGTTTGTAATGTATTGTACATTTTGATTGTTTATTGGTGTTTTGATCTCTAAATGGAAGTACTGTTATATAACTATTGTCTACTGAAGAATAATTAATAGATCCACCCCCTAATTTCTGATATATCGACTTTTCTTATTATGGATTTAAATATAACACCTATAAGTGCATTACAACAACAAGAACAACAGCAACAACCACAACATACATGCAACATATATACAACAGTTTAAACGTTGAAAATGAATTGTATGAGCTGTTAAATCACAATTTGATGGCATACAGTACACCAAATTAAATATCAATATATTTGAAAAATAAAGATATATTAAAACAATCATCCAGTGTCTTCATGTCTTCATTTCCTACCGATGTGTTTCTCTGTTGATTTGATGCCCTTCTGTTATCTGTAGTCTGCAAGGCCTCCTTCCCACAATGCATTCAAGTTTCAAGGATCGCTGGTTATTTTTACCTGAACTGCTATTTAGTATGTATAATCTGTATACAATAAATAAAAACATCGTTAATGACACACTGTATTGTTGCATCTATAAGTGTTATTTAATGTAACACAACTACTCCTATGGGCGTCAGTGAGTATACGCTTTAACAAGCACCAAAATAGAAATGTCTTAATTTGAGAAGTTAAAATCTTAAGTATTGATACTTTTTTCTTTCTTCATGTAAAGACTGATTAATGCTTTGTTGCAGTTTTATCTTATTAGTAATCAGTTTGCGATTTTGAAGATTCTATCAAATGTTCAGGATGCTTATTGGAGATGTCATTTGCAGCTCATAAACAGGAAACACCGGTTGAGTCACCAATTTAAAACTGGGCTTCTGTTTTTACATGGAATCAAAAAATGCAGCCTGTTTCAACACACTCATTTTTATCTTGGAATTTACGTTAATGTAGTAAACCAGGCCAGCTGTAATGTTGCTGTCACAGATGAATGTCCAGCTTTTATGAATGATAACATTTTAGTTTAAAGGTCCCCTATTATACTTTTTTTCATTACGTTATTATAGGTCTCAGATATAAACAAAACATATCTCTGAAGTGTTTGGCTCGAAATACCAAACAGATCATTGCAGCATCCCATAATCCCCTCTGTTTCAGCCCTGTTTCAAAAGTGCTGATTCTCTGTCTGTTACTTTAGATGAAAATAAGGAGCCCCCTCTGAGAGATATCTGGTTAAAAAGAACACAATGGTGCTCTAGGAGGAGATTCAGGTGATAAGGTGGGGGGGGGGTTACCTTGGTTGGTGATTGGCTAATGGTTACACAAGCCAAAAAATCGTTATGACATCATAAAGTGGCCAAAATCTGATCAGCTCATTTTCAGACAGGTTTTTATATAAATGGATCAGGACAAAAAGTGAGCGAATCTTTTTTCCTGAAACTTTCAGAATCTCTCTACACAGAGGACGCACATGTCTGTATGACAGACATGAAAAAGTGGATTTTGCATAACAGGTGACCTTTATAAAAGAAAAAGAAGTGTGGGTGTTGTAGTACTGAGTCGTTCCAAATGGGGGCGATAAGGCACCTTGTATTTTAAGGCATCACCAAACTTTAACACTGGCTGGTTTCAAATAAAATTGGCAGTGAAAAATAAATCTTTTTGAAATCTACTTTTTTATATCAAACTGTTGTCTGTCTGTCATGAATTTAACCTGGTTTTCTTTTCATTGTTGATTTCCTCATTGTAAAATATGAAAGTGCAATGCAGTTGTTCCTCAGATTATTTCAACATTGTTTATGAAACTGAAATGAGCAATATATAATAACAAATAAATAACCAACAGCCAGCTTCACTTAGATGGACCTGCAATATCTGTCTGGACAAAGAGGGGTTTAACACGTGTGCAGTGTCTTTCATGGGTTTGATTGTGTGATTTATTTTAAATTACATTTGACTGTAACAGATCTCAGAGCACAGTCTGGCTATATCCCAAACTAATCTAGCTGCAGTCACATATGAATCTGGGATCGTGTTAACAGTTTGGAGCAGAGGTTCATAACTAGTGTTTTTAACAACAGCAGGGTATGTGAAGAGGACTCAGAGCCTTTTGTGTGACTCAGCTCAAACGCCATAGTCCTATATTCTCCACAACCCCCCCTGTTGTGGCACTAAAAGCCCCCTCCCCTGCACCGGGGTCAGTGGAAAAGGTCACACAGGATTCAGGCCGGCCTTTTGGACACTACTGCGGGGTCAGTGGGGATGGGCACGTGTGGCAGCAGGAAGACACGCTGCTCAGCCAATGGCTCCCATCTACCCTCACCCTCACCAACATTCATAACCTGATAATGGCTGTTCCTCCATTGATCCGGCCGCAGAGCTCGACCCCGAGTTCACAGGCAGGCTGACCGTCCCTCCACTCACAAACTGTGCCGTATTGGCAGGTGCCGAAACTGAGTTCTTGATTAATTAAACACCCTAGGGAGAGCCTCGCTGACCATGAATGAGGTTTTCACTTTCTCACGTTATGTAAGAGAAGAGCCTACAACTGCACCAGGGCTGTGCATATAGTATTTGGTTAGGCCTACATAACGCAGTACAAGTACTTCACAGGGAAACATGACAAGCTTACAGGTTAGGAAGTGTGTGTAAGACATGATTGTAGCAGAAGATGTGATTTTAACATATGTTGGAAAAGGTCATATACTATATATTTCTGATTAATTGAACAATGTCTTTTTTTTTTGACCGGTTCCTATTTCATTTACATTTATTAGAGCTTCAAAGATAAGTTCACTAATCCAATATAATAAGTCACCCGACAGAAAAATAAACATCAACTAAGTTGATAATATATAAATCAAATGTGGAAATGATTCTCGTTTTTTTTTCTCCTCATTTCAAACTGAATATATTTTGGTTTGGGACCAACAATACAAGACATTACAGACATCACCAGGACTTTGAGAATTCCCCACTATTTTTAGACATTTTAAAACAAACAACTGTTATCCAACTCAAGATACGTTTGTATTTAAGTTTCAAGTTCAGGAAGAAGTCTGATGTTTCTTGTTGATTATAATGTTGCCGTTTTACTGAACTACATAAAGTACACTGCTTTATGTCAGCTCATTAAGGCAGCTTGAACCTTTAACATGGATCCATATTCCAAAAAATCAAGTGCAGAACATCTCTGCTGTAGAGTGCAGATTTTCTCAGCACTTCTTGTGTTTTGTTCTCTGATTGACCGGACATCCCAGCTGGGCCGCGGTCCTGCTGCTGAAAAAGGTTCACAGAGGGGGAGGAGCGTGGGAGGGGAGGTTTGATCTGCATGCATAATAAATGATGGACATTGGATCAATATCCACATTGACACAACAGCTGTCCTGCTCCCTCCTATCAATGCTTCCTCTTTAATTGCAGAACCCAGTTTTAGAGGACAAACTCATTTCCATTATCATTTTTTTTTTCAGTCCATAGAGACCATTTGGTGTGCAGTTGGACTCTGATACTGAGGGGTCTGCTCTCATCAATACAGCATAGTATTGATAAGGAAGAGTTAAAGGGCCTCGATGGAGCCAGTGCTGAACTCCTGCTGTTACATAATGTACAAATCCTTCATTATTTTGGTTTCAGTCCCACAATACAAAAGTTGTTAATGTAAAGCATGCAGTGTTTCAGCTGTAAAAGTAACTAGGAGTCATAGCTGATGAGTGTAGTTGAATACAAAGTTAAATATTTTCATCTGAAAATGTAGTGGAATAGAATGGGGCGAAGCCTGCGAGCTAGTTCAGGCAGTCAACTCGAGCACTTATGCTGCATTCATACATAACGCCCCTTGCCACTCTACAACCAACCAAACAGAGTCTCCTTAATATGCCGCTCTATTTAACTTGCCAGATATCTCTCCATGCATTGCTTGCTGCTGCTATTGCTGCAGCTACTTCCACGTCGCTGCTGCTTGCCTGCCCCACCACCACCCCAGCTTCCACCCCAGCTTCCACCCCAGCTTCCACCTGTAGGCTCGGGGGGTTAGTTATTTAATCATCACTCATCGTGCTATGTATATCTGTGGAGTGATGAGGCCCGAGCCTAGACGCCAAACTCAACTATATGCTGCTTCTAATAAACATGTTAAAGAAACACGTGAGTTGTCTGACTGAAAGTATAAAGTGGCAAGAAATAGTTAAGTTGAGTAGAAGTAGTAGCCCACGCAACTCGCTTTACATTCCATCTTTGCATAGTACTAAAATACACCATCCAAAACCAATCTCCATGTATGTGTTTATTTGGTTTCCTTGAAAAATACAACTAATAATCACTGGTTGAAAGTAACTAAGTCAGTTTACTCGAGTACCATACTTAAGTACACATTTGAGGTACTTGAGTATTTTCTTTCTGTGCCTCTATATACATCTACTCCACTTCAATTCAGTGGAAATATTGTACTTTTTACTTCACTACGGGTACATTTATTTAGCAGCTTTAGTTGCTTTAAGAGTTTTAAACATAGAAAATAAGAATAACTTAATGGATGTAGATCAAACTATCCATTAAGTGCCTTTAACATAGGTGGGTTGACACTAATTATTTGGATGCAATTGTGCTAATTGTTAAAGTAAGTTTTTATGTAGATAGTTCGTTCTTCAAAAATGTGAAATGTGAATGTGATTTGCTGCTTCCCATTTACATATTTTTATTTTCTATATAATATTTTATAGGGTTTTTTTCTGCAATGAGTACATTTACTTCCAATACTTTGAGTACTGATTATACTTTTAACTTAAGTACCATTCTCAATGCAGGACTTTCCCCTTTAATGGAGTATTTCTACAGTTTCAAGTTTCAAGGCTTTATTGTCATTTGCACATTAGCTACAGTGTAGATATGGCAATGAAACACTTAGGTCACAGGCTCCTCCAACAGTGCAACATAAGACATATATATATGACATAGAACAAATAAAACAGATAATACAGTGTAGTATTATTACATCTATTAAGTTAGAGTAAAGGATCTGAATACTTTTTTCACCTCTGCTAATAATGCAGTACTTAATTGTAGTTGAGTATTCATCATTAGCAGGCTAGTATGCAGTGGGATCAGGCCTTGGTGTAAATGCATGAGTTTAGGAGATGATATAAGTGACGCACAGCTAACGGTAGGTGGCGCTGGACTGAAAGCGTCAGTCTGTGGGAGAGAGAGATGAATGGAGAGGTGTCCATCCAGCGGAGGGGACTGCTCTCCTGCTGCTGCCCTCCCTCCTCCTGCTCAGTATCAGCGCAGCTCATCTGCAGGACACAACTATGAGAGAGTAGCTAGCATGCAAAGACAATTCAGGTATTAATGGCGCCTGTCAAAGGGAAATTATATCAGCGGTTGCTGTTCTTGGTCGTTTTTCTTCCAATCTCAGGTAAGAAGCGTTATCGATATTATTCTGAGAGTTAAAACCCTATCACTCTTACTGTGTGTCGCCTACATGTTTGACTGTGTGGAGCCTCAACAGGAGCTCACCGCGGACCTTTAATGTTACATTTAACTAACTGACTAACGTTAAAACCCGTTTAACTTAACTGGAAGAAGTACTCTGATAAAGTACTTGACTATAAATGTTACTTTACACCACTCTCGGTTAGCTTGACTGAACGCAACTGAGAGTTTTATCACCAAAACCGGTCACATCAGAAGACAGAATAACTGGAAAGTCATCAGGTTATCTAGATTAACCGGTTTGACATTGACTCTTTCTAATAAATTAACGTTAGGTTTTATTTATGTAAACGACCATTGTCATGTCCGGCTGAGAATGTGTTGTGTTTTAGCGAATTCAACTGTCATGTAACTTTAAAACTCACTGACGTTACTGTGCTCAGATATCTTTAATCAGAGGTGGGAGAAGTACTCAGATCTTGTACTGAAGTAAAAGTAGAAGTAGTGTAGGAATACTCTGTTACAAGTTAAAGTCCTGCAATCAAGATGTTACTCAAGTAAAAGTAGAAAAGTATCAGCATCAAAATAAACTTAAAGTACCAAAAGTAAAAGTACTCATTATGCAGATAGCCCAATTTTAGAATAATTTATATATCATTATGTTTTGATTATATTCATTGATTAATTTAAGCTGGTAAAGGTGCAGCTAGTTTTAATTACTTTGTAAGCTTGTGGATTTACTCCAGGTGTAACTAAAGTCTAATGTAAGTGTTGATTATCTTTCATATCATTAATCCTATTCTGCAAAGTAAGGTATTACATAAATGTAGTGGAGTAAAAGTACAGAATTTACCTCTGAATTGTAGAGGGGTAGAAAAACAAAGTAGCAAAAACATTTAAATACTCAAGAGAAGTACTAGTACTTGAGTCAATATACTTGATTACTTTACACCACTGATTGTAATGAAGAGTAAGACATCAGGCTATCAAAATATGTATACTGTTACTCAAGTGAAAGTAAAGTATTATTTACAAAATGTAGCCTAGTGTACTGTACTGTATCACATGGACTCTAAGTGGGACCTGTCACAGCGTTATGTTATTATGTAATCCTGACAAAGAGTATGATTTAAGAATATGTTCAAGCCATATGTAGCATTTGTAAGGTTGAAGTTTGTAAAGCTATTTGAACATACTTTGTATACTTTTATGTAAACAGTAGCCTAACTTGTGTCAGATAAATGTAGTGGAGTCAAAAGTAGCCTACCATAACTCCTTCTGAATTCTGTTCTTAGCTACAGCTATAGACAAAATATAGTATTAAGGGGATTAACATGCTGTCGATACCTACCATGTGTATCGATCCTATTGATGTTTCAAAATTAGCAGTATTAGCTGGGTTATATTGTTAAGTGTACAGAGTGTTTAGTTACAGTGTGACTCTTTGATCTTCTAACCAGGATTATCCAATTACAGAGCTGAAATAAGAGCCCAGCAGTGTGTCAGTCCAACAAAGAGCCAATGCTAATACAAAATCAATACACGTCATATCAGCCTTAAAGTTGGTGTTGGCGATACGGCTCAATGAAGTCATATACTGTGGCCCTGCTTCTAAAGAGATGATGATTTTAAAGAACAGGTTGTTATGTAATTGTTCTGAATTGATAGTGAAAAACCTGCATGTATTCAGTTGATCTATTGAAGCGTAGCATGTTACAAATGACACTGTGTCTCCTTTCAAAGGTCCAATTAATGGAACATTACATAAAGCTCATGCTGAGTGTTCAGTTAGTAATAGGTTTCTGTGTAAACCAAAGAGACTAATGGGATCAAACAGTTTCACCTTCAGCTAGTGACTTTATGAGCCGTAAGTGATTGGATTAAAGTGGTGCAGAAAGAAAGCTACAATGTGATTTACTGTAGAGGACAGTTGCCTGCAAGCCTCTCACATGTTGCACCTAATAGCAGGGTGTTTTAAGTAGTCTCACGCATGTATCCAACTGAGACTATAAACACTGATAATATCCATCCAAAGGAAGCTGAGCCACAACTTCCTTTACTGAGTATAAACTCTTTAAAATAACTTAAAACCTGACTTTAAATAACTGTTTCAATGCCTTAGATGTTTTCACTGAACTTCTGTTGGTGCTGGTTGCATCATTCACTTCTAATTAGCTTTTTCTCTCTCCTTCTGCAGGTGTTTTATGCTTTAGTGAGTTATTTTTCATCAAGGAGCCCCATGATGTCACCGCCATGCGGAAAGAAGCTGTTATTTTGGACTGTCAGGCACATGGAGAGTCACCCATCGACGTCAGGTGGCTCAAAAATGGAGTAAAAGTGTTGGAGAACGACCGGGTGTACCGGCTCTCCAATGGCTCCCTTTTTATTTCGGAAGTGGAGAGCAGGAGAGGAGACAAATCAGATGAAGGGCTCTATCAGTGCCTTGCTCAGAACACATATGGCGCAATCCTGAGCCAGAAAGCCCGTCTAACAATCGCAAGTAAGTATCATGCTGCAGTCACCATGGAAACATAAGAGTGTGATGGACAACTTCAATTATAATCAGGCAGTGAGATATATATATATATATATATATATATATTCTGGCTATTTCTTTTGCTGCTCAGCGTTGCAATCAAGGCAGCTTTGGTGGTAGTGGAGGAAGAGGGACAAAGTCTTCAAAGTAAGACCCCAAAATAGATGCTGTGGAGGGGATATATGCCCATTGGTGTGGTAATGAAGGAGCAGCAGATCTGAAAGGTCAGGATCTGTCCAGGATACCGGCTCTCCAATGCTAAAGAGCAGATGACCCCTATTCAGAGGCAGGGCTTTCATGTTATTGCACCCTGACCGTTTGAGGAATTGTTCTTTTGGAATGCTTTCTCCTCCAGTGCTGCGCAAGTTGGCCTAGAAATGTAAGGGGGGAGCGGAGAAGCTTCAGGCAGAGTTGGTCTTTTGGGACATTATATCCCCTCCTCCCACACCATGGGCCATGCATCTTGCTGTGCCACTTTTTTGTGTGTGGTCATCTTTTTACCCCCACCCAATGCACTTAAATGTGCATATTTATTATTGCTGAGATGTGGATTTACTTTGAAGGAAGACAATAGCAAGCCTTGACATAGGATAATAGTCCTTGTCTCCATGTGTTTCAATAGTGGAAGATTATTTTACGTTAAAGTGAATTCATCCTCTGTTCTGAGGTCCAACAAGTTATTGTTGAGTTGCAGAACAATAACTGATGATTTTTTTATTTTTTTATTTAAACAGATTAAAAACATTATTAGAAATGTTTGCTCTCATGTTAGAACAAAATGGGTTTTTATAACATTACCAGCAATAATAGAATAGTTGTTATGAACTTTGGTTTAATGGGGTGCAATTAGGAGTGAGTAATTTAACAGTTGTTGAGTTTTTAAGCTGGTTAACGTGAACTATTTTGAAGTTGTTCCTGACTACATGTGATGTTGTAAATTATCAGTTATAAGTCAGATATTTTCTGGTATTTAAAAGGAACATATCGTTTATTAATTAATTGAGTGGTGTACATGCTTTATAGTAAAAAGTTAAGTGGTAATAAAGGCTGGCAGTAAGCTTTACTAGTTTGTTTTAAAATGACACTTAGACCAGCTTGAGGGTCTATCTGGAAGCTCATAAAATTTGCACATACCTGAGAAATGCTCAGTTGAAGGACACAGAGGCAGCAGTGGGGGCTGTTGCGAGTGGTGTGCCAACACACATACGCACACACGCACACACACACAAATGTGAATTGCTGTTTCCCAGTATCACTGCCTTACCCCGAGTGTCTAAATGACCAAACTTTATTGCAGGTCTTACAAGGTCAGTAGGGGCTGGAGGCTTTGCACACAATTGTGTTCTGCCTCACTACTCTGGTGAAAGAATGAAAAGCTTTTCTCTCCGACCGTTTTGGTCCACATTGCCTCCATGCTTGCAAAAGTAAAGGGATTCTTTGGGGGAAGTTGTTTGTCCTGATATCAGTGGACAGAACAGCTGGACATTTTCACCACTAAAACGCCTATTACATAACTTGTATAATTTAACATCCGAGGCTGATTCTAAGCTTACAGTTTAATTGAGAAGTCAGGGTGGCAATCCTCATTAAACAGCATGACTTTATTTTATGAACTGCCTTTTGTCTTGCCCTAAAAGGATTTTGGCAACATATTAACACTTATTTGTTTTCGATCTATTATAGCTGTACATTACATTTAGTTTATTATGAACATTTTGATCCAGCTGTCAGTCTGTCCTTAACACATGTTAATTCTTCATCTGAAAGATGGATGGTGTATCATGTCTTGATACCGCCTTTCCAGAGCCAAATAAAGCCACATTTTTAATCGATATTGATGCTATCATTTCGATTTGTATAGCTTAGTTCTTTCTGATATGTGGTTCAAATGACAATGTTTCATCGTACCAGCGGTGAGCTTTTTCATTCTCTGCTCCTATGTCGAAGCGATGGACCTGCCAGTTGTTCTTTGAGGAATGTGATGGTGATGGAGGGTAACCTTAAACATTGGGTTTGCTAAAGCACAAAGGTGAGAAGGGATTTGGACTCGATGAAAAGGAATGTGACACATGAGCCTCACCATGTGACTTTTGTCAATAGACTTTAGATTGATGGGGATTTTAGCAGAGTGATTGCCTCCTGAGTTAGCTTCCTTTTGTAGCCTCTTGTACCATGTGATCACAGGTATACAAAGGGCATAATGTCAGAGTTATCATTAAGTTTTGCAGGTACGTCTCAGTGTGGCCCCCCTATTGGTGTAAACTAGGCACTATGAAATGGTGAAAACTGTCCTGAGGTGTCAGGTTTCTAGGATGCATTGCAGTCTGGATGGTTTAAGACATGGTGATTGAAAATCATTGACCAGTCTGTGATGGTAATGCTCTGTTGTACTCTGGCATTATTGATGCGGTAAAGTCTTGGGACCAATTCCTGGAACAGATGAAATTGAGGGCGTCTGGGTAACCTTGTAGAAAGTAGGCTTGGGCCTGTGTTGAACGATAGCTTAAATAACAACTGTGTTACGTTCTCACTGATTGAGTCCATTTATTTAGGAAAACTTTACCGATTGTAACTTGTCATTACCCTCAGAAAGGGCCTTTTGCATTTGTTGCAAACAAAAACAAAACAAAAGGACAGTTCAACCCAACATTTAAAATGCAAATCCCTGCCTCTGCTTTCTCTCAAATATAATGGAAATTGATGACACTTTGCTTATAGTGCCAAAAGCCCCGAATAAATTAATTTGCAAAACTTGTTAACCACCATCACCGTACAAAAGTAAGCTACTACTAGTATGAGAGGCTCATGCTTATTCAGGGGCGGGTATTGGCTATTAGGAAGAAAAAGACCCCAAATTAACCCTAACTGCTCACAAGGTGGAATATCTTGAGTAAACTGGGCCAAGGTGCCTGGAAACAGATAGCTGTTGTTTTTAATATGAGTCCTTTGTTGGTGCCTTTGTTGTGCTTGATGAATAAAAAGTAACCTAATCAAACATTTATTTTGTGGTGACCACGTAATTTGAAACTGTCATCCAGAGGTATCTGTTTCAGGGTTGAGCTGATTTAACTTTCTATCTCCAGCAGAACAAGTGCTATTGCCTTTAAATGGATTAAGCTTTGGAGTTTTTTTAAGAAGCTACAGCTGCTAATGTACAAAGTTTGTTTTAACTCAATGATGTGTCCATAGGAAGCCAGGCCAGGACCACAGCATTATTTCTAGTTGCTAAGGAATGTTTCTGACAAGCACTGGCTCGGTCCAATTAGAAACCCCCATAAGACGAAAGTAAACCTTGCAAGTGTTAGCTGTGGTGTGAATGGATGAAATGGCCTGAAGTGAGACAACTCTCTGCCTGGAATCTTGTTTTTCTCCTCTGCTGGACACGAAAGGTTACCATGGTTCCCCTGAACGGCAGGCCCAGGGGTCAAAGGTTTCTTTAAATTGTTCAATAGATGGAGGGCCGTGCGACAGAGCACAGGACTTAAATCTTTCCTACAATAATGTGGGATGCTCATCTAGTTTGATCAGTTGCTGCAATGGTCATTAGTGCCATAATCAGTGGGTTTACTTTTCTCTCTCTCTGATCTGTCATGTTTTAACAAACTTTTATTTTCCTAAACTTTTCGTTTCTGCCATGGAAAAGTATATTAGTGCGGTTAAAAAAAGACTGGAGCTTTTCAAAGATTGACTTCTTCAGTTCCGTGTTATGATACGGAGATTAAAGACAATGCAGCCACTGTTTGCGGTGAGTGGATGGTTGCTGTTGAATGATTGGAAAACTTTGTAGCAGAGATAAGGGGTTGGAGGAGGGGGATGAATGCTCCTTCCCAACACCGCTCCCCCACCGCCCGCCCGGTGCTTTCAGAGGTCACGCTGCTCATGGGAATAGCTCTATGTTTAGCCAGGCCAGTGGTCACTTGACTGTCCTGCAGCCTGTGTAGCAGCAGCACATCTGCCAGCCAGCCAGTGATTGATTTGTTGGCTTTTTTCAGCTTCGCATTCTTCTCCTTCTTGCTTATCAGCCTCCTTTCCCCCCCGATCCTTTTATTAATCTTCAGTGGGGGTCATGGAACACTTTAAAGGGCTCATCACTCAATTAGATGGAGGTTTTTTCAGTAAAGGTGTGGGAGGAGTAAATGAAGATTGAATTTATTTTGGTGTAACCATGTGGTGCACTCCATAGGACCAATAGGAAGACTCTCAACACTTTTTGGGGTTGCTTAGTGATTCAATGGAGCTTTTTCAGGGCTTCCTGATGCTTAAAGCTATCAATCTAGCAGGCACCCTGCAGGATCATGAGAAGATGATCAATTTGAATGTCTCTCCTAAATGATTGGACTCTGGGAGGGGGGGGGGGGGGGTTAGGTTGGGGACGGTCAGGGGCCATCACAGCATCTACATAGCTGCACATAGCAACACTGAAGCTGCTTCTGTCATCATGTATCATTCAGGACTTGGAAAAACCACATTGAATTAAACATACTCTCATTGACTCTTGATGACAACCATTTTTTAGATTATTAGAAAATTGAAGAATTATTTTGGACTTTCTCAGATTGTTTCTTTTACAAAAAATGTTCCTTGTTTGAGGATTTATTTGATACAGAGTGTGTTCCTTACCTTAATAAGACCCATAGGAAATATAAAGTGCATATTGTTTTTATTGTATTGCCACGTTTCCATGCACTCTATTATTTAGAATGACAGCAGTAAAGGTCAAAATAAATGAAAAACACAAGCTTGTTGTCCCATATGCTTGTGTGTCGTGGAAATCAAAGAATATTTCTGGTTTAATTGAAGCGATAAATTGACTTTCACGATTGGTAATTAAAGAATTCATACAAAAGCACATCATTGTGTTTTAGCACAAAATCACAGAGAAATCCACTCATATGCAGGTAGACTATAATGTGCTGAGGCCTGACTTAGGAACTGACCACAGTAACCGGAGGGGAGAGAGGGCTGAACTAATTCCTGGTATTTGTAAGGGAACCTTTGTTTGGGCCTGACCTGTCCACTGACCTTCAGTGTGTTGAGCTGCTGGCATCAGCAGACCCATCTGTTGCAGGCAGAAGTGAAGCAAATACATGTTTACTGTGGTGAAACGTTCTGTAATTAACAGAGAAGAGTTGTTGACAGACTCATGTTAACATCAAGCATGCAGTTAGTTTTATCACTGTTATTCAACATGCAACAACTGGACCACATATATAGTTTTATTTGTTGTAGTTGCTAAACTGGGACATGTCATCGATACAGCAGAAAAGGATATCATTACAAAACAGCTTTTCAAACGTTGCAGCTGGAGGAGGAACTCAGAGATTTATAGGCGGCTTGCGGGGCAGCAGTGAGCAGGAGAGCTTTGGGGTGGTCATGTTGGGCTCTGTGTTTGGTGCTAGCCAGGATTTGTGGAGGTCAAAGGTGAGAGGTGAGATTGCTGGGAAGCCAGAACTGTTTCTTCATGCTTTTGGGGAATAGGCTGAGGAATTTCTTCTTCTAGTCTTGTTGGCTAAATCTATGTATGGCACACAAGAGGAATAAAGGAACATAGGCACACACATGAAAGTGGAAAACATAATAGTAGTCTTTATTATCACACATATTTAAAGTAAATGACATGTTCTTTTTCTCATCTTCACATTAGATGCCCCACGGCTAACATCATCGTTCAAAGCAGGTCACCCTCCCATATCAGTATAGTGCTCTTACCAATGCTGGACCATCCCTAGCCGTTATAGATTTTCCTCCCTCTCTTAGTAGTTTATCAATAATCAATAATCATCCCGCAGCTTGTCAATCCAGCAGGGAGGCAGAGGATCACTGCAGCTCATCTCTCATGCCCTGCAGTCATATCACTTCAGCACATTAATGGCATTTTTGAGCCTGCGTTAACACTGGGGGTGGGACAGTGTGAGCGTGTGATGGAGGGGGGTTTGAATGCCTCTCCCTGCTTCTGTCCTCACATCAAACAACCAGAGTGGAGCTAATAGGGGCAGCAGCTCAGGACTAATTTGATTAAATGTGTCTATAGCAAAAGGATTTGATCCTGACGGCAGTTTGGCAGTCCTTTACGACAACTCTAAAGCCACCATGAAATAGAGCTCTACAACTAACTAACCTTTACATTTGAAAATAATCAGAAATAAAAATGAGTCTTCATAACTTTATCCCAGCAACTGAAACGTTCTCCCTTCCCAAAATGAATTGCTCTTTCCTCCACAAGAGTCAGCTGGATTTGAAGCCAAGGCGCTGTGTAAAAGTCATAATTCACTGAATGGCAGTCATAGCTCTCCTGCTGTTTAGCACCACAACACCTGGCAACACCGCTTACACGCAGCCATCCATCATGGCCCTCACAGACACTGCAGTGAGTTTATGGCAGTGGACAGATACCTTCTACACTTTTCTCGAAAGCACAGGTTTCCACAGGAGAGTGTAAAAATAAACTAATACAGATGTTGGATATCCAATCAGGACAAAGAGTTATGATTGGTAAATAGCAAGTCAGACAATTCTGTAGTTTCACTGTTTGTTTCCTGGTTAGTTGTTCACTTAGGAAATGATTTACTTGTATACATATTTAAGGTTATCCACATTATGTATATGTGTATAGTGGGTGCCTTGCAGCATCTTGTAAACGTTGTAGCAGAAAACAACCATTTTGGCATTTTTTGGGGATGTCTTTTCACACTGAATACCTGTCAGATGTTATTTCAACTTGATGCTCTTCTTCCTGCTTCTTTCTGTTTCTTCTTTGCTAAGTGTTGATGTCTCACTGCAGCAGAAGAAGCTTTAGAAGTGTTCACAGAGGTCACAGTGTGTTTATTTATCCATTACTTAACATGGGGATAGTTTCATGCTGAGAGCAGCCCGGCAGTTTAGCATCTTGAAACGCACCTACTGAAATTACAAATAATGTTATTTAGCAGAATACAACATTCAACAGCCTTTTTGTCTGGTCCATTGGAAAAATAATTGACAGTCTATTGATTTGTCCATCTCAGTCTGTACCATGAATGACTTGATATATTATATACGATAATGAATAGGATGTGAGCGTGCTGTGATGCCTACTGTTTTCTGGTCATTTCAGTACTTGCTCTATTTCACAAACAGCAGTGCAATTGATTTCTTTTAACCAATGATTGACCTCAGGCTTCTGCAGCTTTTTGAGCAGAGAGGGGGGACGGTACAGCAGTGGGTGACCTTAATGGCTTTCAGGACTTTTATGGCCCAGGATGAACCACTGTCAAAGAGCATTCATTAACAAAAAAGGCTAAAAACAACTTCAATCATTATAAAATACATACACTTCTCTTGGCTGGTTCAGCATAAAAGGACTTATTGTAATTCATGTTGGGCCTCATTTGCTTGCCGCTCAGCTGGTGGCTGACAACAGCTCAGTTTCAGGGAAACTCGATCCTCGCAGGATGTAGCTGTTCCACTCCAGTCATCACCTTCCTCAGCAGGTCTGTAGCTTTAGGTCATCGTCTCTCTGTTTTCTGACATCCAGTGGATCGGACTGAGATGGATGGATGTCTGAAACACATCAATATGTTTGTAAACAAGGAGAGTTAAATCAGAAATAAATAGTAAGTTAATCATCCTTTGGATTGATCTTGGAGAGCACTATATTACCGTTTAATTGTAGGCTACATACAAATATTAATAGGGATTTAACTTCCCCTCCTATAATCTGTCCTTGATGACTCTTTGATGAATGTCTCTGTAACCTTAACGCTGTGGGCAGTTGTGCAGGGCTTTTGACTGATGTTCTTGGATGTTCTAGGTCTTGGATGATTTGTTATGTGCTTTAGTTTTGTGTCAAACATGATTTGTGGGAAACGCATGGAGTGAAATGCAACACCAGCTTTCACAACACCTCAAGGGAAAATAGTTTGCTTTGACCTTTTCTAGGAAAGCTTCCATGTAGGCTAAAAGATAAAAACATGAAAACTCTCTTGGTTGCACGGAGGAATTGCACCGTACAAGAGTTGTGTGTCTTTGTAGAAACTAGGCCACTTATCTTTTGATTGTGATGAAGTAAATGTTCAACCTAAAGAGTTGAAGAGAATTTGATAAAGGAAGCTGTGCTACTTCCCTCACACTGAAAGACAGTGCCATCTCATTCTGACACTATAAAATGAAGGAAAAAACATTAACGTCGTCTTTGTTCTTCTGCAGGTATCTCAGCTTTTACAATCCAGCCGACGTCCATCGCGGTGACTGAAGGCTCAGTCGCCAGGTTTGCCTGCAAAATCAGTGCCCACCCTCCTTCCATCATCACTTGGGAGTTCAATCGGGTCTCGTTACCCCTTGCCACAGAGAGGTAAGCACTGTTTTCAGTTTCATACTTCATGGTGTACTGTTTTACTGGACAGCAGAGTTTTATTTACATGAAACATAATCTGTGACCATTATCATCCATTATGAGTTTTTATGAATGTTTGATGTGTCATTTCTCCATTCTGTATCGTATCCAGAATCACCGTCCTGCCCAGTGGTGTGCTTCAGATCCACGGGATGCAGCGGAAAGATGCTGGAAACTATCGGTGTATCGCCACCAACATCGCCAGCCGCCGCAGAAGCATAGAGGCCTCCCTCACTGTCACCCCAGGTCTGTCAGCTGGTCTACATTAATGTCTTTAAGATGTCAGGAAATTGTAAAAAATGTCCATCCCAAAGTGATGTGGTTTCAGCACTTTGGCCCGACCAAAAATCGCTTTTAAATGTGCTTTATAAATGTGCTTTATAAATAAACCTTGATTTTATTTTATTTGATTTGATGTTTTTGAAAGTCTTGTATTGTCACTCCAAAACATTTGTTTTCAGTTAAATATGATATAAAACTGAGAAAAACAGGAAACATCCTTGTCAAGATGTTGGTGTTTTAGTGTTCAGGGACTGCAGATGGAAATTAATTTATAGCTAAATCTGGCATTAATATTCTTCTATTTTTAGATTTTTTTTCATGCACAGTCCTTGTAATAAAATAAAGTCTACAAATAATAATAAACAAAGTTTAAAATGAGCAGATATGAACTCATACTTCAAAATCACAGTAAGGTAACTGTGTTTGCCTCTCAAGCAGTTGTGGTCAACAGTTTGTTGAAAGGCTTATTTATTAACTGAAGTGTCAGCACAGAGAGAGCATGTCCACTTGAATCTGTGATGCCAATCTCATCAGATCACATTCACTAAACCTGCTCTCCCCCCTCTCCCTGCAGCCCCCAGGCCCCCGCTTCCCCAGAGGCCGCGCATTATCGTCGGGCCACAGAACATTTCAGTGTCGCTGCACCAGAATGCCATCCTGGAGTGCATGGCCACAGGCAATCCCCGACCCATCCTCTCCTGGAGCCGAGCGGACAGCAAGTCTATTGACGTTTACAGCACCAAAGTGTTGGGAAATGGCAACCTCATCATCACCGACATCAAGCCCCAACATGGAGGCGTCTATATGTGCAGAGCCACCACTCCTGGCACGCGAAACTTCACAGTCTCTTCAGCCAACATCACCGTGTTAGGTAAAGACATACCGCAGTTTGCCTGTGTATGTTTTTTGATTGAAAATGTGGAGTTAAAATGTTAAATATATTTTCATTAATGTTATTTTTCTAAAGCACCCCCTTCCTTGGTTGAGTGGCCGGAGAGCCTGACCCGTCCACGAGCCGGCACCGCCCGCTTCGTGTGTCAAGCTGAAGGAGTTCCAACGCCTCAAATCACTTGGTTCAAGAACGGAGAGAAAGTTCACTCTAATGGTCGAGTCAAGATGTACAACAGGTGATTCCTCCTTCCATTTAAGAGAACACCCATTCATATTTAAACATGTGTGCGTCTGTATTTACAGAGATAATGAAAACAGGAAACCAGACTAATTTGACTGTACCATAAAATGCTCATTTAACAGTCTTTGTTGTTCAGTTTAAAACAATGTAAATAAATAATACACTACTTTTCTTACAGTAGAAAGGAAACTGAATAATTTACATTAGGGCAAAAATGATTTTAGGTGGTATAGTTATTCAACTGTCAGTGCTTGTTAAAGGTAATTATAGAATGATTACACCCTGCTAAACAAGCCTCAGGATACGACCATATGTGTGCATAATCTTAATCTGTGTGTGTCTGTGTCTCATAGCAAACTGGTCATCAACCAGATCATCCCTGAGGACGATGCCATCTATCAGTGCCAGGCAGAGAACGAGCAGGGGTCGGTCCTCTCCATGGCCAGGCTCATCGTGGTGATGTCTGAAGATCGGCCCAGTGCTCCCAGGAATATCCGAGCTGACACCGTGTCGAGCTCCGCGATCCTTCTGGCGTGGGACAGGCCTCAGTTCAACGCAGATAAAGTTATTGCTTACTCAGTGCACTACATGAAGGCTGAAGGTGAGTGGTGTGCAAACAAACAAGAGACAACAGGAATTAGATTTGCAATGTCTTTTTGTCACATGGGGATATTATCTCTATTGTACAGCACTTTTTTTAGCACTAAATGTGTAAAATCAGAATATCTCCAGTTTAAATCCTGAGAGAAAAACAGTTTAGGAAGTTAAATTCTGCCACTTCCTGTCTAGAAAATATATTGTGGGACCTGTCGGTGTTTTATTAACACCATGTTGGTGGGATGAGGTAAAAGAAAGAAAAAGGAAATCTCTTTTTCTAGAATAAAGCCGAACAACTGCTTTTCTTGAGAAACAGGAACATTCCTTTATGAACTGTCGCCCTGTGGAGTTTCAAGATACAGGGTCCCTTCCTTTTGGCTGCTAAAATGCAGGATGCACACACAACTATTCATTAGCACAAGGGTTGTAGTGTGGAAGCAGAAAAGCCTTAAAGCCTTTCAGCCTTCCTGGGAACCCTTGCTGTGGACAACAAGAGTCACATTCAAACAATGCAACATTTGAGAAAAAAAAATCAGCTTGCCCATTCAAGCACTACACTTAATTATAATGGCCCTCACTTCCATTGGGGAGGTGAAATGTACAGAAAAGAACACCTGCCGGATTCTGTTGGGGATAATGAGGTCAACATAAAAAGAACAAGTTGAACAAATTCCCTCCATTTTATTCTTGAATTACTGGCATCCGTCCGGAGTTTTTCTGCACTTGATTTAGATTTAGTGACACAATCTTCTTGGTCCCCGTCACAAAGAATGGCTGTTCATTGAGATTGACAGAGTATCTGACAGTACGCTCTGCACCTGAGGTGACAGAGAAAACCCAGCAGTAAATGGAGGCTCTTATGAAAGGAGGAACTAATTAGTCCGTGTGATGAAGTGTCTAAAAGTGTGTATTCTGTGAGGACCGTTAGAGGGAGTGAATTGGACAGGAAGGCAGACTCTGTTACACTTTTCTGAGAGGCTTAGTGGGGCATTCAGAATACGGAGACACATTTGTTTGCGCAAGTACCTTGTTTACAAAGTCAGAAATCAGACCATGTCTTTTTTTACCCTGGGAAGAAAATACATCTTTGTGTGAATTTTTGAATCTGCTTTAATTAAATACATATTCCACAATAGGTCATTTATAAAAACTGCTACAAGTAAACATGTAAATGAATGTTACAAAACTGCTCCAGGAAGTGATGACTGTTGATATAAGATATTTTGTAATTGCATGATTATGATTTTGTTCCGTACCAACAACAGCAGTTCTCATCAGAAGCACTATTGATTGTGTTTATATAAGTCTCCTTTAACGATGTTATAATTTGTCCAGGACTAAACAACGAGGAATATCAAGTTGTGATTGGAAACGATACAACTCGCTACATTATTGATGACCTGGAGCCGGCTCGCAACTACACTTTCTACGTGGTGGCCTACATGCCCATGGGAGCCAGCCGCATGTCGGACAACGTGTTCCAGCACACACTCGAGGACGGTGAGGCATACACTCAGTGAAGGTCACAAACACTAGAATACCGATCAGAAGTAAGACATGTATAGAGAGTGAGGTGGGCAGATAAAGGACAAACGGCCATTATCGATCTACAGAGACCATGTTATTCCATTGGGAGCTCAGAGGATGTTTGTTTATAACATATTGTAGGTGCTGTAAATGAGCTTGCTTATTGATGTAGAGATAAACTCATTATTTGAACAGTGTGTGTACATGTGTGTGTGTGTGTGCCTACTTACACAAGCTCCAATGCATACATCTAATGCCTTGTGAGTGATTTTGAATTCCATGAAAACCTCATTTGTTCATGACCTGTGGGTCAAAGGCTGCCCTGTGTCTGTTCTACATGACTGAAGTTATGAAATGATTTGACATAGCAGGCAGGGCAAGCTGGAGGTCACCCTAAATAGGTGCGCTGGTTAGACAATTAAATCAAGTTATAATCAGGGTAAACATTTCTTTTTTTACATGCATGACCCTTTGCAACAGATTTCCTCATGAAAATATGACTTGATCTTGCATCATATTCTGAAATGTGATTACCAACTGTAGCCACCATGAGTAACTCTGTCTTGCAGTTTTAGGGTTAGTTTGAATAAGGGTGAGCTATATGTATAAAATACTGTGTTGGTTATTTTATAACGCTATATATAGGAAACCGGTTCATTTCTGGAACACTGATTGGAATAATGCCATGAAACAGCCCTGCATTGATTTGCAAGAAATTGAATAAGACACATCATTTGTATTGGTGCACATAATTATATTGTCTCAGGACTCACTGTATATCTTGGGGAGGCCTCTGAATGTATATGGTTATAACAATTCATTCAAGAGTGATCTAGTGTGTTTGGTAAAAGCTGTAGCCACTGAACCTCATCTCCAAGAGTGCTTTTTCCTAGCCATGAAAACCCTTCAGAAGAATCAGCTATTCACAACATGGGGAATAGAAGGGAGGACTTCAGTTTTTGTTTTGGTCCTAACGTCCCCGTCTTGTCGCTCCACAGTTCCCCTCCGTGCTCCTGAGCTCAGCCTCACCAGCCGCAGTCCCATGGACATCCAGGTGTCTTGGCAGCCGCTTCCAGACAAGCTGAGTCGTGGCCGAGTCTCCGCCTACCGTTTGTCCTACCGCACCAGTGCTGAGAGCACGGTGTCACAGCTGGAGCTACCTGGAGAGAAGACGCAGCACCTCCTGGAGAACCTGCAGTCCGACACCATCTACCTGCTGCGAATCGTTGCTGCCACCAGCATCGGGTGGGGGGAGCAGTCCGCCTGGACGTCTCACCGCACTCCGAAGCTATCGAGTGCTCGAGGTAACACATTTCTGCCATACAGCCTTCATGGTGTATTAAAGATGAGGGAACTGTTGTCATATCCACGATTTCAAACATGCAGGTACAAAGTTTAGCATCGTTGTTAATGATCATTAAACATTTATCTTCCGCTTAAAGGCACAGCCCAAAATCAGAGGGACATTTTCTATCTCTTACCTGAAATGCTATTTATCAATCATTGTTCTTGATGTGAGGTTCCGAGTGTTAGATATATCGACAAAGAGATTATTTTCAATATAATGGAACAAGATGGCATCCGCGTTTTGGTGAAATCATAACGTAGGTACTTAAGATAATCCACATACATTGTTGAGAGCAGTTCATGTTGGAACAATATTTTATCAATCACCTTTTCATGAAAAAAGGCTTGTACTCATTTCGGCGTTGTTTAGTTGAAAGAAAATAGCAACTCTCATTAAAACTATGTAGACTAATAACCGGCACAACAGATAAGAGGAAAAATCGATATTTCAGATTTTGGGGTGGAGGGTTCCTTTAAACCTTAAGACCGAATCAAGAGAAAAACGTGCTCTAATAATCTTGTTAAGGCCTTGCGTTTGTTACTCTGTGACCTTTGCCCTGCACTGTCAGTAGCATTAGAGGGGTTTCAGTCATGGGTCATAAAGGAGCGACTCAGGTCTCTGGGTGGGACACAGTATATGGCTGTTAGAGCCACATCTCTGAAGCTTTGAGGTGGGGGACGGGAGGATTTGTTTTTCCTGCCCTTCTCTTTCTCTCTCTGTTTCAAGTCCCAAAGACTTCTATTAGTAAACTCCATTCCCCTCATTCCTAAAATGAAAACGTGTGAAATGACTCCCCTGACAGCTCGGTGGGTTGACTCGGGTCTGCTTTGAGTGTGAAACAGCTGGTAAAGCATCAGATGGTAGTTTCACTTTTCAAAGAAAACTCCCTCACAAAAACACTGGAACCAACTCCGTGAAGAGATTCCAGTTTTCCTGTTTTCTGAAAAGCTTCAGCGATAAGATGCACCTATCAGAACGATGTTTATGAATCACATCTGTTTCTGGATCAATGACTGTTTCTTGGGTTTTTTTGTAGGACTGTTATCCATCACATAATATCTAAATCTAAATGTTTTTTCTTTATCTTGTCTTTAGTTCCCATGGCTCCTGAGCTGCATTTAGAGCCTTTAAACTGCACCACTATCTTGGCGCGCTGGCAGCTGTCTCCCAGGAACTCAGCTAGTGTTCAAGGCTACAAGCTCTTCTACCACGAGGAGAGCCAGTCAGAGAGGGCGCCGCTTCAGCTTCGCGCCTTGGATAATACTTACACCATCGGAGGCCTTGGTGAGTTTTTGGTTCAGATCATTTGAGTTACCTGCTGCCACTGTGGTACCTGGTATCCATGCTGAAACTCACAATGCTTTTCATTTTCAATCAAGCCACCAATTAGTTTATAAATACCTGAATAGTGTCCACCATAATGTCTTTAAATCTTGTTGTTTTGTCACTCCAAAAGCCAAATATATTACATTTAAAATTATGTAAAACAGAGAAAAGAAGGGAATCTATCTCCATAATTGGGAGACAAAAAATAAAGTACTTAAAACTGTTCAACCATTAATCTATTATCAAAATATTTGGGGATAAGTCAAGGTATTATTGTAGTTCTACATTATAGTTGCTCATTAGGGAGCTAAAGTAATCCTCTTTACATCTTAGAACATGTGAGGCCATGTGAAATAATTTGAAAGAATATGAGCGTGCAGCCACATATTTATAATTGTACATTTATAAGCGACACTTTTTAATTAAAAAGATCTTAACGGTCATTTGAAATTGTTTAAGCTCACAGAAGCTCAGGTTAAATCGTTTTTGGTGGTTTAACAAGCAGCAGTGGCATCTATTGACGGCTACGCATATAAGTGATTAATTGGCCAAAGTGTTGTCGAGGAGATCCGTGAAACAGAACGGCATCACATCCCACTTCCATGACCTCCCAACCTCTGTGCCGGACTTTAGTGTGTGTGCCTTTTCAGCAGCTGCTGGATGGTGTTCTGGACATATCACAGCTCTTTTGGCCTTTAGGTCAGATTCATTTTTGGCTTTTTTTGTTTGAGAGAGGAGAGGGGGCTCAGGCCAACGCAGTGGACAACTGACCATCTGTGGCGAGAGGGGTCAACCAGGTGGTCAGCAGCTGACTTGTAAATCAGGAAGCTTGTGCTAGAACGGGATCAGAAAGAAAGAAAGATGAGGTGTTAACTCTAACCGCTGCAGGCATTTAGTTAGTTAGATATTTCATGTTATGGGTTGAACACCAAAATGATAAATACACCCACAATGAACCTCTACTCCTGTTGCTTCTACTAATGATAAGGACATTAATGAATAATGAACACTAATACTAATACAATCAGAATAACTACTTAACTTACTCAGCTAAATATAAACACCTGGGATGCAGGTTTGATAATGGATCATTTTCAGAAAGAAAAAACTGACTGTTTAATTTGTGTTTTGCTTATTAAATGTAATTATATTTTATATTATTGTCATAACTGTTTTATTGACGTGTATATTTGGGAAAGATCTGCCGCTCTTAAAAGTTCCCCTACTCTTTATCATCCTACTGCTCTGAATGTTTCAAAGTGCTTGGAGGAAGATGAAGCTGCTGATAAATATAAAACCAAAAATAAATTAGCAATACCAAAAATAGAGCTTCATCTTTTTGTTCCTCTTCGATAAAGGAGCTTTGCAGGGCTGCTGTGTTGAAGAGAGGAAAGCTGTTTAGTGGAGGCAGATTTATTATGTGTTTTATGACTGCTTTGAGCTGCGTTGCTGGAGGAGCATTGACATCAAAGACTCTCATTGTGTTTGGCTTTGAGAGCCACAAAGATAGTTTATTAGCTAAGACCTCAAGGAAATGCAGCCTCTCACTGATCGAGCTGTAGGCACGTCTTGTGAGCTCCTTGCAGTTCTGAGATTTCTTTCTCATGAATTAGTTGTAGGACTGTGCACAAGCATGTGACCTCCTGTGTGGCAACACATCCTTCATCAGAAAACCCCGCAGAGCTGTGAGGAACCCGACTAAATGGCTTTAACACTTTTACAAATGACTTCTTCTTCTTAAAGACATCATGTTTAATATTGTTCCAAGCTGCAGCATAATACATGCAATAGGCTGTTTTTAAATTGATCAAAAACATTTAAGCAATTAATAAACTAATGAAATACAAGAAGATGCATATAAAAGTCCATTCTACTCTGACAGTAGCACAAATAAAGAATACTCAGTCATTTAAGTTTTAAAGCAACATTTACTGTATCTAAAGTGTGTTAACATTCACGAACATTAGCCACCCTAAGCTGCTGGTCCTACAAGACAAAGTTAAGGCTGTAGAAGCAAAACCACTGTGTTAGGAATAATGCAAATGTAGCGAGTGTAAGCATTTAAGCCAGGGTACATTTGATTACTTATGAGTTTCACTTCTCATGTACAAGAGGTAGAGTATGTCATCAAACGTTATATAGTCTTAAAGGTAGTCAGGTGATCAGTTGGTGCACCCCTAGATCTTTAGTATCACAAGTTTTAAACAAAGTACTTCAACAATAATTGTACTACTTAAAAATGAATGCATAATGTTATTGTGTCTCTGATCATCTAGAAATGTAGATATTTAATCACAAAGTAACACCTGACCTGGATGTAAAGAGCATGGTCAGGGCTTTGGTTTTAAAGGGAAATTACATTAATGACCAGGAATTAAGATTTGAAGCTACAGATGCTCAAAAAAAGAGTCCATATGTTGTGTCCTTGAGACAACAAAATGCTGACCATAGAGCTTTCTCAGCTAATTAAATCTGCTTGTACTGTAAATGCCATTTCCTATATTCCAGCAGTGGACATGCCTTTTTTTGCCAATAACATTGATTTCCGAGCTGTCAGCGGTGGATGCTGCAGACTGAGCTCTGTGTACAGCCGCAGAAGAACATGCTTCGAGCTGGCTGTAAATTATCACTTATGACCAATGCAGATGATTTTAAGCACACCCTGAGAGACAGGAATGTGTTTGAGAGGCTCCAGTTGGGTATAAATGACATGGTGATGTGACCTTTCCTCGCGTGTGTAGTCTCTGCTTGGCTCAAGAGAAGAACATCTAGACGGCTTGTAGTCGAAGCTTAAATACCTCTCATACCTGTTGGCACCAGGCCGCGCTGTGTGCACAACTGTAGATTTATCTCTTAGCTGCAGGCCATCTTCTTGTCCATTCCTTTTATTAGACACAAGGCAAAGCGTGCTTCGTGTGATAACTAGATTTCTAAGCTGACCATCATTTTAAAAGGTCATTTTGTGCTTAACTTGTGTGTGTCAGTAGTTGATTTGTGTGATTAAGGGCAAAAGAGAGAAGGGGAGGACAGAGAGGGAGATGATAGATGCTGGTGTGAGGGTTCATGCAGGAGTTGACATTTATGGCCCCTGTTCAGGCCTGGCCTGGGGGGCCTTTCGCAGGGCAGAACAAAAACCTCAGGGGCCAACAGGATCTGCATTTTGGCTGTAGAAAAAGGGGGGTGACCACAAATGGCTAAAATATGCCCTTTAATACAAACGGCATAATTTATGGGAGTGAGGCCATGTGAGATTTATCCCAGTGGGAAGGTCGGAAACATTTCTTCTCTCAAGGAATGGCAACTCGAGCAGAACGCTGCACTCTAAGAATAAAATGTGAGGTAACGCAGCCACAATTATATTTAGTAATACGGATTCACTGCTTTACAAGGTAGAGAGGTAGAAACAATAAGAAGATGAATTGAAATTTAGTTAGCCTTTATTTTGATTGCGAAGTTATAATTTTAGTTTATTTTTATCCAGCAATAATGCCAAACGTGGCTATCTTGATGTTTCAAAATGTGATCGTTTTCTTCTTTTCTGTGTTTTATGACTGTGTAAACTAAATGTTATTTAGTTTGGAAAATTCAAAATATTTGAATTAAATAATTAGTGGTGAACTTTAGACATTTGAAAAACAAATTATTTGGCAAATAAGCGTTAGTTGCTGCCTTAATATCAGGATTTTTTCAGAAAAGCACGGTATGTTTGATTATTAATGACAACTATTTAGCTATCTGTGGTAGAGAGGATATTCACATAACGTTTATGTTAAGAGCTTCAGGTGTCAGGTCCATTGCGAGTGAACGTCAAACCTGTTTCTCTTATCAGGACTCTGTGTCATCACTTATCAAGTGGCATTTTATTTTGACTCTAGGTGTTCCCCTGTTTTTCCACTCACTTCCTCTGCTTGACCCTCCCCCCTCAGAGAGAGCCCTGTCCCCCCTCCTTTTGCAGGATTTAGCTTGCCCAGATTCCATGTCAAAGGTCGTGGCCCAGATGTCAGCTTCCCCCCTCGCAGAGCTACTCTCTCGCATAATTACGGCAGGCCCATTGTACTGTGGGGCTGGGTAGAGGTGCATACTGTGTGCATGCTTCTCTTTAGAGGTGGTGGACACTGAGGCATCACAAACAGGGCGGAAAACACAGGATAACAAGGTGGACATTGTACAAAAAGCCTCCTGGTTGTGTTTATCTCTTGCAATAAGAAAACAAAGTAATCAACAGAAAAGATGTTCAGTTCAAACCAGTCTTGGTATTATGTAACTCTTCCAGAAATTCATGATTGGTGATTTAAGTGTTAATATTTACATTTTACTCCTAATTGTCATTGAATATAGCCAAATAGTTTTCAGGAGGAAGAAAAAAAGGAGGCTCCTCTCATATTGCACACCCGTGACCTCAGATTCTTTCAGAGTTTAATCTCGGCCTGACCTGCTGGCCCTGGTCTGGCTCCAGTGAAGCTCCTCAGGGCAGCATGGGGGTGCACCACTCCACCCCTCCTAAACTTCTCTTACCTCCATGGACACACATTCATCTCCTGTGGTCCTGTGGGACTCTTCTCAAGAGCCTCTAAATGTTTTATAAAGAAATAGAAGTTTGCGTTAGTGATAGGCCGAACTTTTATAACAGCAATAGAGGCCAGATCATTAAAGTGTCCAGCAAAATGCTCATGGTCATATTGGAGTTAATATTTATTTATGGGTTAAGTTAAAACACAGACAACTAAGAACACAACATTAAAGTAATTTGAACTTCTTCTGAACAAAAACATACATAGAAAATCACAATGACGAGAATGCCAGGTGGTCCGTTACCTATTTAAAACTTCCTAACAAACATCGAAGACCTCAGGTCAGAAAATGCTATAAAAATATATTTTTTGAGCATAAATAGCATTTTTTTTTTAAACATACACAACTTCCAAACAAACTGTGACCAAACATTTGAGAAACATTAATTAAAGAGGCAGGGGTTCACTGTGCTTTTATTTTACATTTATGGCTCACAATATCAATATCACATGCAAACATTCAAATTAGACCCTGCTAATTATTCTTTTAGGGGTAAGAGGGACATTTGGTCGGATGGCTTTTGTTCATCGAGGCTCTTCAGGGTCACCGAGGCCTGAAACTGTTGTTGACCGTCAGCAAAGTTCTTCCCAGGGGATTTTGTCCGTCGATTTGACCCCCAGATTCTGGACCTGAATAGGAGTGGCCACTGACCACTGACCAGCAGGCCTGACTGGGGCTTTTCTGATTTTATCAAAAGACTTGGGGGCGACAGGGTGATGGATAGTGGAGCTCCTCTGTTCTGCTGCCCTGAGCACTGCAGAAACTGACCAAAGGACTCACGTCACAGAGCATCTGTCACACTGCCCTCACCTCTGGTTCCCACCACACCATTAGGCCAGAAACCCTCACTGACCCCACACCCACACGGCCCAGGCCTCTTTCATGTATCACCCTGCTTCCTGTTAGCTGGACGAATCACGTTGTCATCTGCCATGGTGAAAAATGAAGTGTTGTTGAGAATAAATCTCTATGGATGTTTCCTGAAGTCCAGATCTAAGACTGCACATCGACTGATGTATTTTACAGCTAAACTTTACATTTTCTGTGGTTGTTATGATTATTAAGACATTTTTGTTTCTTTCTTTTTCTCAATATAGACCCAAGGAAGAAGTACCATGTGAAGCTTCTGGCTTATAATTTTGTCGGAGAAGGCTACCAGGCTGACCAGACTGTCAGCACCACTGGATGTGTCTGTAAGTCGCAAAAGTGTGACAATAACATTAGATTGCATATAAGGACCATTGTACTGTAATTATTTTTTTTTAAATACGGAGGGATGGGTGGAAATATTCTTATGAAAAACTTGATTTCCTAAGATATAAGTCATATATTATATGAGAATAAAACGTAAATATTATTCTCTACGGTTGAAGTGTTTAAACCATAACAACAAAAGACAAAAATGAGGTTTTGTCTCAGACTTTAATGTCATACATTTGCAAGAGATAAAAACAGAATCTTCCTCAAAATGTATCTCAGATAATAAATAACAGCTAAAATGTTGGACATTTTCTGAATACTTACCCCCTCCCCACTCTATGTCATTTATTTATTTTGTACCTACAATGGCCCTTGTATACCGTTATAGAAGCATGTTGGTGTCTCTTGTATTGCAACAGTAAATAACTTTACCCTCAATGTATCTCGTAGCTGTCAGAGATCGCCTGGTGCCTCCTCCACCTCCTCCACACAACGTCTACATCAAGAGCAACAGCTCCAGCTCGGTGTTTCTGCGCTGGGGTCGACCAGCCTTCACCTCCAGCCAAACCATCAACTACACCGTGCGCTGCAACCCAGTAGGCCTGCAGAACGCCTCGCTGGTGCTCTACCTGCAGACGTAAGAATTGACTAACAACACAGGCAGCTTTTTTATCATTGTGTTGAACTTTTAAAATTAATTAGTACAGCTTGAAGACATTCAAAGGGACAATGCTCTCTGTATGTTTCATTGATAGTGAATGCTGATTTAAAACACACGTTACTGTGTGTTTGGTCTATCTTAATGTATGATGAAATGACTTAGTCTCACGCTGCAGTTCTACTCTTATCTTAACACCTTATTGTCAATAAGTTGTCCTACCACAACCTCAGCTGTGCCATATCAGAAACACTTAAAACACTTAAAACTTAACAACATCAATTCTTTTTTTCACACTTGTTGGGGAGAGTGTTTTGGTCACTTTAAACTCTCAGTGGTGTCTTTTCCCACAGTCAGCACAGCTCCATACCACCATCTGCTGGACAAGACCTTTTATTATCAGACTATTTCAAAAGTAAAAACTGATTACATAATTATGTAGATCATTGTGACTTACTATATAATAAAATACACATAGCTGGGAAAGTCATCGTTTTTTTTTTAATATTATTTGTTTATGGTGTCATCAAAGTACAGCCCCTTAGCCCCTTGTCGCCAATGAAACCCATTAAATCCACAATGCTTGATCCAATGGCTATAACAACACAACATTGTGCATTATATCATATCAGGTTTTACATTTTAGAGAAGTGGCTTGAAGATGTTAGGGTTTCCTATGGGTCAAATACATGCTATATTCCTGGTTTCCACTGGGGGTTTTTAGTAAACAGAAAGTAATAATTGTTTGACAGTGCCATTTAAACTCACATTTAAACAGTTAAAATGTTTATAAAGTAATAATAGATCATTAGTGTTAAGTGTTAAAAGTCTCTGATTTTCTTTTTCCTGCAGGAATGAGCAGAACCTCCTGGTGAGGGATCTGGAGCCCAACACCAAGTATGAATTTGCCATCCGCCTCCACATTGACCAGCTGTCCAGCCCCTGGAGCCCTGTGGTCTATCAGAGCACTTTACCTGACGGTGAGCACAAAATGATCAAACATTTCAATCCTATTTATTATAGCTAGGAGTTTGTTACTGCTGCTGCATGGTATTGTTATTTGACCTTGCTCCTTACACCCACACAGCTCCAACTCTGCCTCCTTCCAACGTGAAAGTGACTCTGATAGAAGAGGACACGGCGCTGGTTTCATGGAAAAACCCAGATGAACCCAATGTAGCTGTGACACATTACACCATCCTGTACGCCTCCAGAAACGCCTGGTTAGCTGGGGAATGGCAAGTGCTGCAGAGAGAAGGTAAGGATGAGTGTGGTGATAGATGTGGAGAGAAAGAGGTTATACATGTGTGCAGGGGAAGGGGGAACCACAAAGACTTCCTCTTGTCCCGCACAAATGATCCATTGCAAATCAGTAACTCATTTTATCCTCCAGTCTTTGCCAGGACAGGTTAGGCTCAATGCTTTTGTCTTACTGATAAAAGACCGGGTTGTAGGTTTAATGTGATTACTACAAAGACTTTTCTTATTGACACTTTTCAGTTACAGTACAGTTTGTGAAATCAGTCGAAATTGTGTCAAACATAAATGTATTAAATGAATAGAAATAGGATGCATGTTTTATAAGATTAAGAAAATAAAGTTAATGTGAAAAGTTTCAACAAAAAAAACCTAACCAAATACAAAATGAAATGATACATTCACCATGTTTGCACCAACCAAAAAGCAAAGTGAGGACTCTTTGTAAAGCAACCAATCCACTCAGTCACATGCACCATAAAGATGTCGGTGTGTCTGATGTGTGAGGCAGTTTAGGTGTCTCAAGGCAGATGACCTCAGGAAACAAAAAAAAAAGACACACACACAATTCCCTTTGCCTCTAGTGAAGGGGTCAAAAGTGAAGCCGTTCACAAAGCCTTCAGCTCAGCCCAGCCCCCCCCCCCCCCCCCATCACCTCAAACTGAACCCCCACCCCCCGCGGCCTCTGATGGGACCCTGGTGGTGCTGGATAAGGGAATGTGTATAGCCCTGACCCCCTGCACTTCTCTCACATAGCACCTCTCAGCCATCAGGATTGTTTTTGTGTTTGTCTTTCTCTGCAGCACAAAGTCCTGTTGTTCTCCACTCACTGAAACAGGCATCTGCGCGTATCTTGATAGTAACATATTGGAGTAACAAATAATCAATATTCTTTTCAAAAAAACTTGTTTAAATACATTTAGACATTAAAGGAATAGTTACACATTAGGGGAAATGTAAATGTGCTCCTTACTTTCTGCAATTTGTCAGTTATCTTTGTCTGATAGCTTAATTATCATTACACCTGGGTAAAACAGAGTCCATTCTCTTCGGTTCGAAACATAATCTCAGCAAATCCGACGACTTCTCAGTTGCAGTGGGTGACATTATTGTCACAAGTAAGAAGGAAATTACATACCTAGGATCTATTCTTGAGGCAAACCTCTCCTGTGACAAAATGGCATCCAATGTAATAAAAAAAGTCAATCAAAGAACTAGATTCCTATACCGGATCTCCTCTCTGGTAAACAAAAACACCCTGAAAACTCTGGCAGGAGCACTCATTCAAGGGTACTATGACTATGCTTGCACGTCATGGTACCATAGCACCTCCAAGGCGCTAAAAATAAAACTTCAAACATCGCAAAATAAACTGGTCAGACTACTGCTTGACCTTTCATCTAGAACCCACCTCACCTCTGCCCACTTTGACAACCTAGGATGGCTTAGAGTAGACGACAGAGTACAGCTACTTGCAATGGGCCTGGTCTACAAGATCCACTACACCTCTATGGTACCCATGTACATGTCAAAATTCTTCCCAAAGGTCAAGGAATACCATGATCATAACACCAGAGGGAGCTCCACAAATCATGTAAAACCCAGATTTGGCACAAAAAAGGGGAATACACGTTTCGCAATTATGCCACATCAAGGTGGAACGCTCTTCCCACAACTGTAAAGGAAAGTAAAACTATACTTACCTTCAAAACCTCTCTTAAAGAGCACCTTCGGGGGAAAGCATTGCAAAACTGGCCCCGGTAATGGTACAAATCTCAACCTGTCGTAAAATGGACAGCTTCCCCCCCCCATCTATGTATATACTCGCATTTTAGACTCTGTTACTAACTGTATATCTGTAGACTTGGTATGTCTTAAATGTCCGGTTAGGATGTATTAGAACGAAATCTAAAATGAAAATTGTAAATAAGCCATCTGTATGTAAAAAACCACCTGTATGTAAATTGTAAATAAGCCATCTGTATGTCAAATATGTCTTATATGTCTTAAATGATATGATGAATTGGAAATGGGGGACCCTGATGTAAACAAGACGAAAGTCTTTCTCTGGTCTGCATCCCCTTAACAATTGTATGTTTTGAGCTGTACTGTACTGTACCCAATATACAAGCTGTTAATAAACTTTTCAATCAATCAATCAATCAAGGTACTTTTCAGATTACACATTTTCATAACTTTACTTTCCAGAAAAAAACGAATTTTCTTCTGATTTTTCATTTAAATATAAAACAAAAACTGTTATCTTGCTTCAAATAGAAAAAGCATCGTCACAGTGCTGAACATTTCACAGTGTGATATTAGTAAGGAGGATCTGAGTACTTCTTCCCCCACTGTGTGTGAGTGGCATCAATATTCTTATCTTTCTCTGGTCAAGAAAGCAAATAAACACGTTTCAAATTGTTGAACTATTCCTTTCAGTAGAACCATGAAATGAAGTTAACACCCAACTGTTGTCTGTAGCAATAATCACAAGTAAATAGTGTAAAAAGCAAAATCCCCCTTTTTCAACAATATATTCAAAATGTGCAGTTAAACACCAGTTAAATCTCACCAACAGGAACCATCACCATGGCCCTGCTGGAGAAATTGAAGCCTGGTCAGATTTACTTTGTGAAAGTTTCTGCCTCCAACAACATGGGCGATGGTCCGTTCTCTCAGACTGTGGAGCTGAAGGTCCTGGCAGATCTGTCCTCGGGTCACGATCCCCGGCTCTCTCATGGCAACACACACTCCACAGGTCAGTACTATTAATATCAACCTGAGAGAATCCCTTTATATATTTTCTATAAGTTTCTTTCTGACTGCAATTTGGCAAAGGATTGATAATCTGACAATGTTCCCTTTAACTTTCACAGCCTTTTCTGATGGTTTCTACCACCTGGACCAAAAGTCAATGACAGGAATCACTGTGGGAGTCTGCATCGCTCTCATCTGCATCATCATCTGTGCCTTCATCATCGTCTGCAGAGGCAAAAACAGGTACTTAGACTGTCCGAACACATATTGTTAAACAGCAGATGCCCAGTGTATTCTCTGTTTGTACTGACATCATGTTCTTTTCCTCCAGGAAATTCTCAGCATTTAAAGCGTACAGAGAAGGAGCGGGCACATCTGCCACAGCTGCAGGACAGCTGGGCTCTGAGGGACAAACAGAGAGCGCTGATGTGAGCGTGCCGATGCTGAGCCCAAACCACTTCATCGATGCCAAGGTACTAGACACTCAGCACAGCATGAAACACGCTCACTGAAAGACTGGAAAAGCTTTGGATTTAGTATTTTTTGGGGGCCTAGAGCAGTTTTGGAAATATTAACACATCTTTTGGAAACATTACAATGTTTGTAAGGATATTATTAATTATACTACCTGATGATATAAAATATAGTTGTAAGAGTATCACTTGATCATATTCATTTTACAGTACAGTACTGGATATGGCTTGTGCTTTTTCAAACTTACTATACTTACCAATTTTACTTATATATTTTTCACTTTTAGGGTGGAACAAATCTCATTATCAATTCTCTCGGCCCTGTTCAGCCAAGCACTGAGAAGAAAGAGAAATGGTTTTCCTTCAGCAGTAATGCGAAAAAGGACAGTAAAGCACTGCAGGTAAGATTTAAAAAGAGGACTCTTGCTTGGTAAATTGTCATCAGCAACTTGTAGCAAAATCGATACGAACAATTCATTGCTTTGTAAATTACAATTTGCATATGGTTAAAAAAAAAAATCAGACCCAAACCTCAGCTTAAACCTAAACACTGCTATTTGATTGTTTGTCTTTGTTTGGGTAACAGTCGGCCTGGGACTTAGATATAAGACCTTTTTACTTCCCATTTGACTAGGGCTCTAACAAATGATGTTTTATTATTGATAAATCTGCAGATTAATGTCTAGATTCATTGTTAGGTTTAAAATGGTCAGATAATAGTGAAAAATGTCCATCCACTTTCGAAAGTTCCAAGGTGAAGTTTTCAAACGTCTTGTTTGGTCAGTCCAAAAGCCAAAGACGTTCTGTTAAATATGGCATAAAACAGAGAAAGCAGTAACTCTCCAGATTTGAGAGGCTGAAAGCAGCATTTTATGCCATTTTTGCATGAAAGACTACTTTAAGATGAATCTATAGATTAAATGATTTCCAATTATTTTTGTTTTAAGATTTATAGATTTACTAAACCTATTGTTGCAGTTTTACAACAGAGCCATAAACACTCAGACACTCAGACTAATCATCACTTCCTCTGTGCTGCAGATTGTGAGACCCGCCTCCTACCAGCCCGGCTCCACCGTGCTGACCTATGAAGAGGAGCTGAACCTGTCTCCAGATCAGCCCGACGCCATGCAGGCAATGCGCTGGTCGCCCGGGGACTCGGAGGGCTCCTCCAGCAGCGAGGGCAGCCACGCAACCGGCGACTCGGGCCGTTACTCTCATGACGAGACGGAGATGACCAACCTCTCGTCTGGGGCCAGCAGCAGCCGCCCGTCTCTGTCCGCGGAGGACAGCGGAGGCTCGGACTGCAGCGCAAAAGAGTCAGGCGATGTGGTGGAGGAAAGTCTGCCTGACCTGAAGTTAATGGAGTCTGTCGACAATGGCTGCTGTCACCATGAAGCAAAAAACAGCTCTCAGGATGCACTTTCTCTCCAGGTGCCTGAGTGTGTGTGAGTGTGTGTGAGTGTGTGTGAGTGAGTGAGTGTGAGTGTGTGTGTGTGTGTGTGTGTGTGTGAATGTGTGTGAGAATGTGTGCGAGTGAGTGTGTGTGTGTGAATGTGTGTGAGAATGTGTGCGAGAATGTGTGAGGGTGTGAAGGCAGTCGTACACTTGCAAAAAAAGTCAAGTAGAAAAACAACTGAGCAGAGCACATCCTAGAGGGTTAGAGGAAACAATCAACACCACTCCTGTGTCTGGTAGACAAGCTTAGTTTAGCACAAGGATTAGAAGCGGGATTCAGAAACTCTGGCTCTGCGTAAAAATAACAAAATCCACCTACCAACACCTTTAATATCCCAAATTAACACTTTTTTGTGAAGTGTGAAAACATCAAGCTTTGGTTTGTATAGGAGGTCTTGTGTTTAGCTATGTCTTGGTTGAGACCAGCTTTCTGGAGTCTACCCATCGGGAAGCCTTCGTAAAGCGACAATTTGCAGTTTTTCACTTCAGTTTTTGCAGAGAAATTGTTTAGCTTTAGAGGTGCTGGTAGGTGGATTTTGTTACCTATGGACACATCCAGGCTAGCTGTGTACCCCTGTTTACAGTCTGTGTGCTAAGTTAAGTGAATTGGCTGCAGGCTGATGTCAAACTAATACTTTAACTATGTAGTGCAACCAATAGAAATATGAAACAGTGGTGACACGCAGAAAACAACAAAGCTCAGTCAGTAGGGGCTTGGACTGGGAGCTGTAGGGTCGCCGGTTCAAGTCCCCGACCAGACCTAAAATATGGAGTGTGGACTGCTACTTGGAGAGGTCCCAGTTCACCTCCTGACCTGCCGTGGTGCCCTTGAGCAAGGCACCGGACACCCCCCTTCCCCCCCTCACTCCCATTGCTCCCCGGGCGCTGTACAATAGCTGCCCACTGCTCCTAGTACTAGACTCCTGGTACTAGGATGGGTTAAATGCAGAGAACACATTTCACTGTGTGTGCTGTGTGCTCTGCATGTGTGACCATAAAAGAGCGTTTCATCCCTCCCAATTCTAATTCTAAATGAAGATTAAGTAACTATCCTTCAATTATTCTTTGCAGTTATTCTCTATTGCAAGTGTACCGCAGGCCTGAATGTAAGTGAGAGAGAGATGTGTAAAGAAACAAAGGAGAGAAACCTTTTTTTACATTTATCATCTATAGGTCCAACACAGTGAACAGAAAGCCGACAAATGCCTTTTCCAGTATAAAAAGTTGGCAGGGATGGGTCACATGATTTATTTTACTTTCAATGAATGTCTTTTTTTTATTTTCTCTTTTTTGTGTGTATGTTTGTTTTTTTATCTCACCCACCATGAATGTTTAAAAAGATTGTCAAAAATGTGGCACAACGTGACATTTCTGACATTATTTAAGAGAGTTTATCACTGGAGCGAAAGGAAAGCGTGAATCCTTTTCACTGATTATCTACCTCGGTTTACCTCCGTGTAAACTTCCACTGTATATTTAATAACTACTTATAGCAACGTTATGTGATGTGCTGCTTCGGTTACATTGCATTTGATACTTCCTGATGACTTTCCTCCTGATTGTCATCCCACTTTAGTTTTTTCCATTTATTTTGTCTGGATTTTGCTGGATGGTGAGGGCAGCTCTCTCCTCTCGCTCCACCTGTTGTGTGGCCTGAAGGATAGAAACACACACAGTTTGTTATTTATCCCCTCAGGTGTTGCTGAGGCACTGAGCCAGTATTAATAGTTTGTATTTTGTCCATTATTGAGTAATGGTATGAAAAGACAATGAATGTCTCCTTTTTGTTTCCTTTGTGCAGCTGCCCTCGCTATTCCTGTTTTATACTACCTCGATTACGAATTTATTTTATTGTCTTATTGTTTTCCTAAACTCAGGGAACAAAGTTTAGTACATTTGAAAAGTCATGTAGTGTTACAGGCTTAACTGACAGGGTATCTTCTCAGTACTAAACCGTTTGAGTGTGTATTTGCCTAATAGAAAATGCTATGAATGTATCCCCCAGACATTGTGCGCTAGTAGCTCAAATGTTAAAAAGCCCCCTATGTAGTTTCTCCTCAGGTCCTATAACGTCTGTTTGTTTTGTTTTTACAACAGACTCTTCAGTTTATTGACTTCTTCCTTTTGATTAGTGTAAAGATTCACACCAGAAGTGCTTGCAGTGGCGTGTCGGTTCAGAAAAGCTTTATAATTGGCCTTAATGTGGGAAAGCCTCCCTCAGAAGTGGAAACCAAATCTTTCTGAGGGATAAGCTCCACGTGAGGATGCAACACGTGAAGAATGATTGTAGTAAAAGCAGAGTTTAATCAGAGATGAAAGTGAAGAATTGAATGAACACCATAAAACTATATTTTTATTAGAAGATAATGTTCCACGGAGTTCACATTGTAGAATTTTCCAAGTAGTCTTTTTGTTTTGTTGTAGAGTAGATAAAGATTAGCACTTGTCTGCCAAGTAGTTTTGTATTATCGTCCAATGTGCAGCGGTGAGTGTGACGCTAGAACCCAAAGAGTTGTTTGCTACCTGTGTTTATTTTAGTCTCTCAACTAATCTCTGGCAGAAGGTTACTGAGGAATGTGAAATAATCGAAACACGTTAGACCAAAGATGAGACGCGGCCACTGAGATCAGTTTTGAGTTCCTCAAACAAAGCCTTGCACATTAGTGGCCTTGATCCGCGACAAAAAGAATGACGAGAGTCGCGGGTTAAAACTCCAAGGAAGTGCCTGCAGGACACTCAGACACTGGAGTGACAATTATTAATCATTTTGCGCACAAACCAAATTATCCTGCCGCAGTGTTCCTCCAAAACTGTTGCAAACAGATGTCTGTACATTGTAGGGGCGAAATGATTAAATACAATATATTATATTGAGTAGTGTCTGTGTTGCAACAGTGCAGTTTTGTGTAAATGTGCACCCACTGATTGAAAGATTATAAAAAAAAAAGTTGTATTTAGAAGATTTCCTCACATAGGACATACATAAAGTAATTGATCTCAACCCAAAATACATGTGAGGTATTTAAAATGTTTGCCTTTTGAGTTAATACTAAAGATACTTTGATCCTCTTTAAAGATAGTCAGTGGGTGCAGCTTTGTTTTCACATTCTGTATTTTAATCAGAGAGATTCTGCGGAGGATTCAATCATGGGAAATGTACGGGATGAAGAGTGACACAATCAGTTTACCTTTCTTTTGGAAAAGCAAACAATATAAACCAAAGATTTTTTTTAAAGGTCACCGTTGCATATTGGCATATTGAGAGAGATCTGTTTAAGCATCCTATCTTTGTGTGAAAGTTGTCACACAAAGATAGGTGTCCTCGTACTCATTTAATAACAGAAAAATGTGTTCTACTTGGGGATTTCAGGATGAAAACGTTTCCATTATTCATCTTTTATTTCCAAAAATTAAGTTATCCTCTTTTTTTAACACGAAGGGTTCATGTTTATCCTGCTTTTGCAAAGTTAAAGAAGAATACACATTTCCCTTTGTAATTGAACCATACTGTATTCATATGTCCTGTGTTATTAGAGCTTTAAGAGCTCAATCCAGAATCTGAATCCAGTCCTCATGCTTATACTCTCAACCCAAAATGTTCAAGAGATGTTGTGGAGCTGTGATAATACACACACACACACACACACACACACACACACACACACACACACACACACACACACACACACACACACACACACACACACACACACTGGATGCAGATTCTAAATTGGGCTCTTTGTAGTTCAAACAGGTACAGAAGTGTTACCTCAGGTTCTTTATTTTTCAAATTCTTGTGATAAGTGCAAATGCAATTTACTTGGGTCATTAATATGTGTAAGACAAAAGATGCATTGTGTGAGATATGGCAAGATGTTTAGTTTAAAACAGTTGAAAAATGAACATATACAGAATGTAAAGAGAATGTAGTGTTGACTTCATGTCAAAGACTTCTGTTATGTTGCAGAAATGTACTTTCTCTCTGTTCCGTGTTGACTTGTCCCTCTAGAGGCGATTGTGAGTCACTGTAGCGTCCAGTCTAGCATCAGTCCAACATGTGAAGAAGTAGTTCAGAAGACGTGGGCCTATGGCCAGCTTTTACACATTGCATCTTTAAGATCGTCCCACAAATGACCTGAGATGTTGGTCTGTTCATCGCATTAATGTTGTTATGTTGGAGTTATGTTCCTGTCCGACTGTGTGAATTCAAAGGGATAAAACACACTCTTGTTTTTCCTTTTAGCAGTAATATTGTGTTTAAATAATGTGAGATAGAGCGCTGCAGGTCATTTACAGTCAAACTCAGGGGAACCTGCAGCTGCTCCGCCTCAAAGAGAAAACTGGTTTTCAAGTCTTGAAAATTGAATGTACCTTTTTGTAATGATTATGTTTCATGATATTTTATGTTAATGTTTTTGTTTTATTTGTCAGATCATCTTTGTCAGCAAAACCACTTGCAAGTTGGTTTTTGCCAAAATATGTTAAGTTAGGAGATTTAAGACAGCTGGTAATTATGTATAAGTCTGATTCTCAATTTAAATAAAAGTATAAAAAATGTCATTTGTCTACAATTGTTTTTGATTGAACATGCTTTCATATTTAAACGCACATGCATTAGCTTTGACTACAGTATATCTCTACTGGTATGATATGTTAACATCAGATCATTGTACATTTTATTGATAATTCTTACACACTTTTAGATAAGTAAGGTATTTAATACAGGACTTCAACCTTTTAGTGTTTCACTTGTAGTTTAGTTTTAAGTATTTCCATGTCCTGTTATTTCTGCTTCTGCACCGCGCTATATGATATTAGTTTCTTTAAGATAATAGTATAAATTAAATGCATCAAATAATCCTTTGTGTTAAAATACAATTATTAAATTATTATAGGAAAAGATTAAATGTATTAATTGTTTCATGAAAATCCCAAGCTTGCAGGCAGTAGTTTATAATTTGGGGGAAGAAATGTCACCCTGCAAGCTGCAACATAAAATAAAACATAATTACATAAATTGTTATATTTCAATGATATAATATGTATATCATCCTCATAAGAGCTCTTGTGCAAATTGAGTAACTTTACTTTAATTATATTTTGATTCTAATACTTTTGTAAATGGACATGTTAACACTGAAAAGTTCAAATGTCAAATAGAAGTCACATGCTCGTTGTTGTTAGTGTGCGCGTGTCGTCTGGCTCTAAACCAAAATATTCCAAGGTTATGTTGCTTGATGGTAACTTGAAATACTACTGGTACTCTATGACTTCTTATATGACAGTATGCTGTGTGGAGACTCACCTCCTGTCATATAAAACTTGTAGAAGTTGTGCTTTCTATATATAGAATATTTTTGGTTTAGAGTTTAGAGCCAGACGATACGCGCACACTAGCACTTAATAACAACGAGCACGTGGCTGGCTTCTATTTGACATTTGAACTGTTCAGTGTTAACTCTAAAACACAGTGAAACAATACATTATTGTCTTGTTTTTGTATGTGGTTTTCTTTTTTTTGTTTCCATCTTAGTTCTGCTGACAGTCTGCTTTATCACGCTTCCTTGTTTATTTTGTTTTCCACTCGCTTGCTGAGCCATTTTTTCCGCCACGCTGACGTATGGGAGTTGTAGTTCTATGTGTTCTAAAATTGCGGTTTCGGCGTGTCCAGCTAAACACTTCAAAACTACATTTCCCATAAAAAGACGGGTTTTGCAGTGTTGTTAAAGGATAACCTGGGCTGGAACTGCGTCTGGAGCTCCCTGTAACAGCTGCCTCGTCGTTTGGCACAACACACCGGTGAGTTTAGTCTTTTTTTAAAGCTAGTGATGTTAAAAGGCTGCTTAAGATACGTAACGTTACTAATTATATGTTTTGACGGTGCTCAGACAGGTGACGTTAATAACTAGCCTGGTAACTTAGTTAAAACCAACAGCTAAACGTCGTCATTGATGTTAACCGTCGGATTTAATGGTAGCTACGGTATCGGTTGTTGTATAAACTGTTGGTATCTCATTTGTTTAATAAAATGTCAGGCCGCACGAGCAGGCATCTTGTGTTCGCTGCTGCTGAGGTCTGCACCGATAGATGTCGCCTTTTACATAATGTCCGTTTGTTTCAACACGTTTATTGTTTTGTTTATTTATTTATTTGAATGGCGAGGACAAGGCTTTACTTCATAACAGTGCGTCACACTGGGGTGGTAAATACAACCACATTTGGCCAACCATAACAGAAGTGCTTTTATTTTTGAAAACGTGTCTATGTTGATGTATAGTTATATGCATAGTTCATTTATCTAAAACACAAGTAAATGTGCTTTATTTAAATATGTTACTTACAACTATAAGTCTCAGGAAATTAATAATGCAATTGCAACTTAAAAATGCATTATATGTGCTTGAATTTGGACTTTCAGTATATATTAGATGTAGGGAACCCTGATTACAGTATTTCAATACAATTGTGGCACACTTTTACTTAAAAACAAAACAGCAGTTGTCTCCAGTAAAAGGTACTTTCCAGTTAAAGCGAAAGAGTTCCAGACTGCCTGGGGTCCTGTTATCAGCTCAGTCAGATACATAAGATAAGGACACAGTTGTACAGTAATACCTGTAGTTGTACAGCACTAACTGTAGTTGTACAGTAATACCTGTAGTTGTACAGCACCAACTGTAGTTGTACAGTAATACCTGTAGTTGTACAGTACTACCTGTACAACTGATTGATAAGATGTGTGACGACGACACCCACAGGCAGTGATACAAAAGTGTCAGATGCGTGTCTTAGGTTCTTTCTTTTTAATACCCTTTTATATTGCCCTTAAATAACATTTCTTACCCTCAAATACATCCCAAGGACAGAAGCAAACATTTTTATTTTTTAATAAATACTTTGAACTAATTAACTACATTGATACATTGTTGACATGACACATTATCATCCTGTGACACAATGTCCTACTTTATCTTTTTCACCACAATATACTTTCTCAGAGTTGAACTACCTTATCTCCTCCAAATCCCTGTCTGGCTGACAGCGGACAGAAATGTCGGAGACGTCAAGTGATGCAGAGTCGTCCTGTGGCTGGACCATTATCAGTAATGAGGTATAAATCATTTTCTTGGTACCTAATCCCAGCTATTTTCAGTTGTCTATTTTCAAATCACAGGATGGATAGCCTCTCAGTTCCCTATCTCCAACATTAAAGTTCACAACTCTCATTCAAATGTTTAAAAACATTACACATTTTAGCAATCTCTTCCTAACTTATTCCTGGAATTGTGAAGACATTTTTATAGAGTTGTATATGATACACTGTTTATTCGGCATATAGAATAATCATTTTTATAAGTGATGGAAATTCCACACTTAATCACATTCTGGTTAGTAATGAACAAATCTTCAAGTTTAAACCAAAGTTGTGTTATTTAATGAAGAGTTAACAGAATCAATCTATTTCCAGCTGCCTTCCAACAGAAAGGCAAGCACTTTACACAGGAGAAAGGGAAAGGTCCCAGCCAATCAAAATGTAAACTAACAGGTTATTGAAATGGTGACCAGGCGTGGGTTAAGTATAGACATGTTAATTATAACCGGTAACACCAGTATGATGATTTGCCGGACAATCGTCGCAGTGGCACTCTGCTCTGTCGAATGCTAGAGAACTCAAGGTAGCCAGTCTTTTGCATTAAAGGTGTGAAAAAGCCGTATTGAGCCAAGGAAAAATCTAGTTTACATAGAACTGAAAGACACTTAAAATATACATTTCAACGATAATAGGTAAATATCTTGCTGAATACTGCATGTCTGCATGTATTGTCTTGTTTATTCATAAATAAAGTGATGTGTCCCCAGGGTTCAGATATTGAGATGTTGGGAGCAGAGGCTGCCGAGCTGTTAGAGCGTCCTCCAGCAGAGGAGGAGGAGCGGCAGGATGAACAGGCCTCAGACTCCACTGGTAACACTCCTCATATTATTTTCTACCTGAGTTTAACAATAGAAGATGTGAGTATGACACTCTAGGAATACAAACCGTTTTCTTGGTTAAATTGTGTGTTTATGTACAAGCAAGAATATCCACATCTCTTTCAGCTAAATGCCTGAAACGTTGACTTTGTAAAAGGTCTCACAGTCAGACAATACATTCACAATTTAAAACTCTAACTTTATTAATGTATCCTTATGTTTTTCCTTGTTGTTTTTGTTGTACATGCTTTCATTATCCTTTTTTGAGCAACTAGAAAAATATCAGCTTGGAAAATAAATATGATTAATGAAAAGATAAATCCAGCTGATCAATATAGGGCATTGTTTTGTTTCAGTTTCTCAAATACGAGCGTTTACTGGTTCTTTTTATTTGACATTAATAGGTCATGAAGATCATACAGTAGCCATCATAATTCACACTCAATGTGTATTTATTATGTTTGCAGCTCAGTGTGATGAAGAACAAGTTGCAGAGTCACTTGATGAAACTCTGAAAGAGCAAACCATAGATGAGACAGTGTGTCCCTCAGAGGTGAGAAAATCAGAATGACCTGCAGTGTTCTTTAAACAATCCAGAGTCTGCCCCCTTTGCGCTCCATATTCAAAATATTGTATCTTCTCCAGGACGCCCACAGCTCCACAGGGAAACAGCACGTGCTGTCCTTCAGCGATCACTCCGACATTGTGACTCTTGGAGATCTGAAGGAGGACGAGCCCGCTGAGGTGGAGGAGGAGGAGGAGGCCGCCAACGGGGAGTTTTACCTCGGCACCTCCTGCAGCAGCCAGTACGCCTTCAGTGCTGCGGAGACTGGTAGGGCTGCAGCACACACACACGCACACACACACACACACGCACTCACACTACCACACTTTAATGATGAAATGGGCTTCCAATAATTTCTCTATGCTGGCTACAAGATTGTCAACACATCTCACATCAACCGAACTTTCTTCCCCTTCCTGTTTTTACTTCACCAAATCAGGTTTGGTATTAAATCACTGGAACCTTCCAAAGAGTCTGGTGAACTTAGGCTACCATCTGAGAGGGCAGCTCTCTGGAGGCCGCTCTTTAAAAGGTGGCTTGATTGAAACAGGAGTGAATCTAATGTGATGCTAAGCCTGCTCAGAAACGCACAGAACTAATCCTGTTGAGCTTCAGATAACAACGCGCTGTTTCATGTTGAATCCAGCTGTGCTCTTTTCAAAAAGCATGACCACATGGGGGAAAAGATGTCTCCAAATGTTAGCATGTGTGGGCCTTTTAGGTCGTATAAGTGAGATGAATAACATATATTTAAAAATGTTGTTGAAAAATGTATTGTAAACAGATAATATGCAGCCATACATGATGGCTTTCTTGTATTTGTGTTTATGAGCAAGGTGTGCATTTTCTTTTTGCATATTTAACTTTCTGATGAACTTAATAACATGTTTCAGAAATACCGGGAATTAAAGTTTCTCCATTTACTTTACTTTTATTATGTTAGTCTCTATACTAGTATTTATGTCAAAAGTAAAATGCATGAGTGATATCAATCTTTAGATAGATAGATAGATAGATAGATAGATAGATAGATAGATAGATAGATGGATAGATACTTTATTTATCCCAACATTGGGAAATGTTTTTGTGCCAGAAGCAGTGTCAAGCATTACAAGAGTAAAACATGTTTAAAAGAAGCAGTGTATATAACTATTTCGTAATAGAAAAGACATATATCCCTAGTCTAGAGCAGGGGTACTCAAACTTTTTTATTAAAGGTCCAGTTGTGAACTTTATACAAGGTCACTGGTCCGGATCAATGCCAGTAAAGTCCCCCCCCCCCCCCCCCCCCCCCCCGAGCGGAGAAACGAAACTGAAATGAAGAAGCAGTTTCTTGGCGCTCTATGCATGGAGTTTCCCGACATGTCGTTGCAGTAAATTAAAGGGTGTTTCATGTTGTCGTTGCTGTGGACCTTCTTAATCTACCTTCTTTGGGGGCCCCCTTCTGGTCCAAGCATTTGCCTGCCTTGCCTGTCGGTAAACGGCGCCCCTGTATACACGCACACACATTCAATACATACATACAGTATGTCAAGGTAAACTTGCGGTTAACTTGCGGTCTGCTATGCGTGTCACGCTCGCGCACACAAGTAAATATATATGCACGTTCATTCTCACAACGCGTCAGACACAAGACGCGCGTACATGATGATGTACATTAATTTATCAGAATCAGAATTTTTTTTTTTTTTTTTTTTTTTATAATGGGACACAGGGTTCGGTCCGGATTGATTTGCAGTTCGGTCCGGAAGCCCTGGTCTAGAGTATCTAAATCAGTGGTTCTCAACTGGTGGGTCGCGGACCTGCGATGTGTGAATTTTTTTGGGGGGAAAAGTCAAACTTTTATTTTGAAGGCCCGATTTTCTAACGCTGTGCATGCAGTAGGCGTTGGACTGGAAGTACCGGAGACCATAAACGGTTTTGAAAACGTCTGTCATGTAGTGATCATCTTCTCAATAAAACATCTTTGCTGATGTTTTTTCGAGTCTTCTGGACAATCGGAATCAAGATTGTTGCCGGAAGTCCCCACGGAGAATAACTTTGCGGTTGAACTACTCTTTATACATCCATGGGTACAACTTCAGATCAAAATGAACACAATGAAATATGACCCCCGGTTTGATGATTGACAGGTCACAGAACAATGGGGGCTATCTACCCTTACCTTTATATATATATACAGTCTATGACCCTTACCCACAAAGTAATTCACACAGACAAGTTCAGCTGTCAGAGCAAAGTGAAAAACAAACAATGGCATAAAATATTATTAATATGTCGGGTAGTAAAATAAATATATATATATATATATATATATATATATATATATATATATATATATTTTCTTCTCAGAGTGTACAAGAATGTGTAGTTTATATGTTAGTATTTCAAAAAATCTCCTGGGGGAGAATCCCCCCAGACCCCCTTCTGGGATTGGGTTTTCAGCATGTTATACAGTTCAGCTTTGATTCCATCATCTCATTAAACCTTTTTTAAAGCATACTTTAGTTCTGTTAAGGGATATATGCACTGTACTTCACTTTAATTAATATTTTATTCTGAAAAGCGTATATATTACAGCACGATTTTTTGTTGAATAGATTTGAGTGGTTCAAAAATGTTGGGTCGCGATTTATTGACAAAGTAAAAAGTGGGTCCCGAGGCCTGACCAGTTGAGAACCACTGATCTAAATAATACACAATATGACCAGATATTGAATAAATGGAATACTCTACAATAAACAGTGTCATTGGCTACAGGGATATACAGAAATATATTAGACACATAATAGCAAATCATAAGTAGTCATTTAAAATGTTAATTCCATTTAAATGTATTCATAAAACGTGAACAGTTGTTCAGCATTTGTGAACCCGCCGATTAATCTGCAGTATCTGTTCCCTGCATGATAAACCTCGCTGCACATTCTTTTGAACCAGTTAGTTTTGTGTCTACCTTTTCCCTGTTTATTGAATTCCCTCATGAAACCACTGCAGCCGTAACCTTGGGTATTTGTATTGTAGTATTCCCAGGGCAGCAGCAGCAGCCTGCAGTGACTCACTCCAGCAGCAGTGAGGACGAGGAAGGGCCAAGCACTGTTGTCCGAAGGCGAAGGTTGAGGAAGAATACGGCTGGCAGCGTGACAGAGCCTGAGGAAGAGGAGGAGCAGGAGGAGGATGAGGGTGAAGTTCTTGATATCCGAACGCAAGGCAAGGGCAGCAGCATCCTCAGCAGCTGCATCCTGATCGCCCTCGTCGTAGCCTTCAGTGTGGGCTTTGGAAACTTCTATGGTGAGACGAGGAACATATACTGAGCCCTGTAGCCCAACTATGCTAATCCTAATGTGTGTGAATACAAATGTAAATAATGTGTTTGTGTTACAGGTTCAGTCCAGATTAAAGAAAGGCAGAAACTAGGGGAGGAAATCAGAGTGAATGAACTGGATGTTGTGATGGATCTGATTCAACGACATGTTCGAGAACAACCTTTTAAACACCAGGTCAGAGAGTACAGAGATCACAACATCATGTGTCGCAGTATGTACATGAACGCATAACTAACTCATTCTGTTCATGTCATTCATCAACCCATGCTTTGACTTTTATTACCTCTTTTTGAGCATGAGATTATATTATATTAGGAAGACTTTCATTTGACCATAACGTGTTTCTTGTTGTTCTCTCTCAGGGCCAGATTGTTGACTTTGGAGCGGATGATCTGGATCAGCAAGAAGTGAACTCACTGCTCTCACAGGTGATGGAGAACATTCCGAAAGAGAAGCAGGAGCTCCACATCCAACAGGTTCTCATTCAGGTAACTTTTTCACTTCATTCGACGGCCCCAGTTATGGGTGGAAAACTCTCTCTTGCATTTTTGCATTTTGATTTAATGCTCTAATGCCGAATGATATTTCGGTACCACTTCACAATAAGACTACCTTTTATAAAGGGTTTACGAATAATTCATTTACTAATTAGGTTGTAAACACTTTATAAATCATTCATAAGCTTTTATAAGACATGAGATAAACAGGGCACCTGTGACCAGTTGCTTACCAAATAGTGAGCCCACATTTATCTGTACTGCCAAGCCTTATTATAAATGGTAGTAACTCATTAATAAATGGGAATGTGTTTTACACTTTACAATAAGGCTCCCTTTTGGCAGTTATAAATGTTAGTAACTCGTAAATAAATAAAGTCATGCCAAGAAATATCAAGATGGATGGGGGGGGGGGAATCAACTCAGTGAACAACAGATACCAAGGATGCTGGCTGATGAAGTAAGCTAAGTAGCCAATATAAGGCTTGGTCATCTTGCCAAATAGTGAGCCTGTGTTGATGTATGGAAACTATGTTAGAACTGGTTTATAAATGGTTCTTAAGGATTAATAAAGTGTTTACAACCTAATTCATAACCTAATTATAAACACTTTATGAATCCTTTATAAGGGTAGTCTTAATGTAAAGTGGTACCGATATTTCATTACATTCAATCATCATTTAAACACCGCTTTATAAGCCATAACATTTCCTCTCTTTGTCTCTCTCTTCAGGCCCAGAGAGAGGAGCTGGAGATGTTGCTGAGACAGAAGGAGCAGACTGACCTGATGGTGTCCGAGCAGCACCTGCTGACCGCTGAAAACATTCTGCTGATGAACTCCCTACAACATAAAGAAGCGTCTGTAGTCGCCCTGCAGGAGGAGCTGAACAAGCTCAGAGATCAGGAGGCGATGAGAGCCGGTGCTGACTCGCTGCTTTCTGAAAACGAGAGGCTGTTAGACGAGCTGGAGGGGGGGAAACAGCTGATCCGCAGCTTTCACAGCCAGAGGGTAGACATGATGGCTGAAACCCAGACACTGAGGAAGAAGCTCAACAAGCAGAGAACAGTTACAGAGGAGCTCAGGAGAGAGTTAGAGGAGCTGAGGAGTCTCTTCCCCAGAGCCAATCAGGAGGCAGAGACAGAGGAGCTCCAGGCCCGTCTGACGGAGCTGGAGAAGAGGCTGAGCTTCGAGCAGCAGCGCTCCGACCTGTGGGAGAGGCTCTACCTGGAAACCAAAGAGGAGAGAGCTAAAGGAGACACGGAGCCCAAAGTCAAAAGTCAGAAAGGGGGCACGGCAGGAAAAGTTAAAGAGACATTTGACGCTGTGAAAAACTCCACCAAGGAGTTCGTCCATCACCACAAAGAGCAGATAAAGAAAGCAAAGGAAGCCGTGAAGGAAAACCTGAGGAAGTTTTCAGATTCCGTCAAATCAACGTTCAAAAACTTCAAAGACTCGGCCTCGACCCTCTTTAAAAATGCAGGAGGCTTTTATGAGAAGAGACGTGGCGAGAAGAACACAAAGAAGGCGTGGCAGCACAGATCCCCTCACAACGCACACCAGCCTCACAACGCACACCAGCCTCACAACGCACACCAGCCTCACAACGCACACCAGCCTCACAACGCACACCAGCCTCACAACACACAGCAGCGCACACACCATGAGAGCAGCCACAACACCCGGAAATCAGGAGATAAAGTTCACAGAGATGGAGGTCAAGATTCCCACAAGGCAAACTTCAAAGGATGCTCGGGAGTGTTCGACTGCGCCTTCCAGGAGTCCAAGAGTCTCTTCGATAAAGCCATGGATCCAATCAGAGCGGACGAGTTCAACCAGCTGCTGCGGAGCTACTTGCATCAGGAAGTCGACCACTTCCACCACTGGGAGGAGCTCGAGAAGTTCATCAACAACTTCTTCCACAACGGCGTGTTCATCCACGACCGGATGCTTTTCACGGACTTTGTCAGCGGCGTGGAAAACTACCTGAGTGAAATGCTCGAGTATCAGGGCCTCGACAACGACGTGTTCAGAGATCTCAACGACTTCGTCTACCGGCACTTTTTTGGAAAGGGTTACAGAAAAAGCCACGGCCCAAAGTAAGTCCCAATTATCTTTTTAAAAAGTAGCCCATCTCAATTAGGAAATAAGTCCAAGCTTTCTGTGGAACGTCATTCTCATTCCTAATCATCCGAAAGAGTTTTCCAGTAATACAAGAAGATCTGATGTTGGGGAAACAAATATTTGGTGTAATTGGTACACTTCTAAACTTAAATCTTATTGATTACATGAATAGCTATCCTAGTAAGTATTTGCAGTTCAGGGCTCTTCTGCCGAGAGCTTCTTTCAGGACTTTGTATCAGACAGCCACAATGTGTAAATAAATAACATTTTCTGAGGGCTGGCATTACAATGCCAAATAGGAAAAGAGAGTTGGATTCCATCTAGGTCAGGGGTGTCAAACTCAAATACACAATGGGCCAAAATAAAAAAATGGTTACTAGTCGAGGGCCGGACTGGTTCAATGTTTATTGCAAAACTTATTGAAATTAACTTATTGCACATATTAAACCTGGAACTAACAAAGCTTAAATTATTGCCTATAAAAACAACATTAAACATTAAATAATCAGTTGCATTAATTCCTTATGGCTCTATCTGCAGCTTTTCCAGAGTCATTTCTTATGATTACATTTCTCCACAGGCCAACAACAGCTTCAAAAAAACGATTTCCCTCAAAGAAAAACCCAAACATGCCCTGTTGTCGCAAGAAACAAAGTGCAGAAGGAAACATCCATTGAAACTCAGTGTGCTGCTCTGTGATGCTCAAGCCAGATACTTGGCATCTCATCTCGGGTGCAAGTTCATCAATGTTTGGGCTCAGGCTCTGAGCTGAGGAAACCCTCAGGATTAAGTGAAGGTGTGCGTGCAATATACCGGTGGGCCAGAGCGAATAGTAATGAAAAATTATCCTGCGGGCCGAAATTAAATCCACCAAGGGCCTGATTTGGCCCCCGGGCCTTGAGTTTGACACATGTGATCTATATGAAATCATTTGACATCTTAAAAAAGTGGCAGCCATGGTAAGTCTCATGGGAGGGCAAATGCAAGACAAGTGGTCGGAAGAATCTACAGTGAAGTTTGGAAAGTGGTGAATTTCCATGCCATCAGAAATGTGCAGGAACCTTAAGGGAAGAGACACTTATTTTCTGGAAGAACGTTCCCTCTTGCAGACGGGATTGCGTTGCACAAATCTAAGCACAGACGATGTCATTATCCTTGAGACATTACATTGTGCAATGAACTTCATAATGATAAGTTAAAGCAGGAACATTTTGCAATTTGAGACGCAAGATCTGTAATTATCTGACGCTGTGGGTTCTCCTTTTCAACAATCACAACATTCAGAGTTTGGTTGTGTGCAAAGGATCATGGGAGTTTGTCATTGCAGTTAGGATCCCTTCATTCTTTAGTGCTCATGTATTCATGTTAAACACAAAATACTAGTATTCATGCTTTTGATGTCTTGTTTTTGAACCACGCAGCGGACCGTTTGAAGGACCCGGCACAGACCCAAAGGAGTCGAAGGCGAAGCATCAGCAGCGGAAGCAGAGAGCGAGAGCCCAACCGCACGGCGAGCGCACGTCGAGCCGCTCAGGAAGGGACGCAGACAGACACATGGCCGACGTCAAAATAGAACTGGGTCCGCTGCCGTTTGATCCCAAATATTGATAATATATTTGATTAGCCAATTCCATTTTGAGTTGTATTTACCTGCTATGTCCAATTTGTTTGCACAATGTTAACTTTTTAATGCTACTGAACTTTCTTGAGCTGTTTTTGCTGTTTTGAAGTAGCTGTTACGTTTGAGTTTAAGATGGGTCATATATGATACAGAGCTAAAACAACATTAACACTCACCTTCAACCACAGCACATAATGTTTAAAAATGTTTATTGGGAATGCAGAGCTTGTTTTAAGATGAATGTTTGTAAGTATTTGTAGGAGTTGCTACAGAGACAGATGTGTATGACTGAGTTTGCTTTAATTGTAAAGATGCTATGTTCTAACATTCCACATGAAGCCTATTTTTACTGGACCTGAGTTTTATTTTTATTTGTGTGTAGTGTTGGGAAAGAAATTACTGGAAGGGAAAAATGACACACCACATTTATTTCAGTAGCAATTTCATGTCTTTACAATCTCATTCAGGATCCATTGTTCCAGTGTCAGTGCCTTTCATATATAAAGATGCTCCCTCCAACTCTCCCCTCGGGGAAATGAGTATGAAACATCTCTGCTGTCCTCACAAAGTTATTCCCCTGCAAAAACATGGATATTTCCTGCAACAAAAAAACACATTACATAAATACAAATCCCACATTCATTTTTAGATAACATAAATACACTCTGAAGATCTCACTTTCTCCAAAACGTCAAACAGAACCAGATGGGTTGGTAGAGAAGATTTGTACGGAAATGAAGTTCTGAGCCAGTGAAGCGGGTCCTCGTAGAACCGGTCCGCTTCATCGACGTGACCTTCCTCTCCGAGGTCCGGGGGACACTCGAGGAACCTCATCTTCATCGGGCAGTGCACGTGGCTGCAGAGCGAGAAAGAGAGAGAGCAGTCAGCTGCTGCATGTAACTTTGGTAGAGTCTACACAAACATGTCACCAGCTTCAATTCAAGGCTCTATTGTCATTTGCACATTAGCTACAGATATGGCAATGAAAAACTTAGGTCACAGCTTGGCCTTACTCTCGTTATAAATCACTTTTCTTAATGTTTATTTTGTATGCAGGCACATTTTTTGTACAGCTGCACATTACATTAAAGACTCACTGAAACAATGTTGTATTAATACATTTTGCTTAATTAGTCATTTGAACAGGGTTATTTAGAAAAAACGGTTAATATTCTTTAACCGAAATGTTACATTTTCTGCTAAAAGGCTAAAAGGTAACTATACCGAACCGAACCCTAATAATAATGGACATTAGTGTAAATAAACGTCACCTCCCTTTTAACGGCTATTCTGGAGCTCGACAGGTGCAAATGTTTTATACAAGTTTCCTGATTTTTATTTGAAACGTAAGCTTTGAACAACGTTGAATAACTCAAAACTGTTGTAACAATTTGCATCCGAGTTGTGGGTATGCAGCTTTTACAACACTTCTCTACCTGTAATAAGGCGTGGAGTGGCAGGGCATGAGCAGCAGGACGTCCGGCTGCATGGTGGAGATGTTTCTGACGTCACACAGCGTCTGCAGGCGGCTCATGACGTCCAGAGAGCCTCGCTGGTGGATCAGCCCGGTGTACAGCGCTGCCAGCAGGTTGCTCACCAACAGGGCGGTCGCAGCAGCTCGCCGCCACGCTTTCAGACTGGCCAGAGATATCCCTGGAGTAGAAGAAGTATTAAAACACGTCTGGCTGTAATCACAAATACATGTGGGATGTGAAAACTTACCACAGAAGATCATACAGAAAGGCAGCACTGGGTAGATGAATCTGAACTCTTTGTGAGGAAGCAAACTGAAGGAGAAGATCAAAACAGGTTAGTTTGTCCGTCGAGAAGCAAAACACCATGACTGATCAGAGGCCTGTATTACTCAAACTGAGGAAAGGGACATTTTGGGTCTTAAAAGGGATAGTTTGGATTTTTTGAAAGGAGATATACTTATTTAAAGTCAGTTTTAGACCTACAGCTGTTTAGTTAATATTCCCTTTTTTTATTAGTTGTGATTTATTTAGTTATTTTAGATATCATTTGCACTTCAAATTTTTGTCAAGTGTTGACCTGTGTTAATTTGTTGGTCAATAAACAGAAAAACCCTTCATTGTTATTAGAAGCAAGTGACTTTTCTCTCTATAGGGTAGGTTATTATTGAGTGTAATTCTTAGAGGTTTAATGAATTTCGGGTTGTTAATGTGAACACAGACATTTACCTGTAGACCACGATAGTCCAGACGATCGCTGCCAGCAGGATTTTGTATCTTTTGAAGGCGAGGCTGCACCCGTGAAGAAAGAGCGGAAGATGAGGACCGATCACCACGGCAAAGCCCTGAGAGAAGTACCAGTGCCAGGGGTGAGAGCCGTAGAAATCTGCCACACCGTGGAAGACGTTAAACTTCAGGAAGTTAAACTGCACCACGGTCCACTGAGAAACAAAAAGTTAAATCACATTGTTACATTAAACTCAAAAAGCCGCTGTGAATGTGATCTAAACTTCACATGGGTTTTATCTAGGGCTGAATTAAAACAGTTTTACTATTATCCATAAATCTGCAGATTATTATTATTATCAGTTACATAAAATAGAGAAAAATGTTTATTCCAGTTCCTTAAAGTTCAATGTGACGTCTTTCAATGTATAGTTTAATATGGTTTAACAATAAAGTAAAAATGTAACATTTCAGTCGATCAACTAATTGTTGCAGCTCTGATTATATTTTGTACCTTTCCATAAAATATGCAGTCGATCAGTGTTGAAATCACAACAGCCACAGCTCTGGAAATGAGAAAGAAAGACAAATAATCATGCAATAAAGAGACAAGGATGAAATGTATAATGAGATGATGGGAGATATAAAGCACACACCCTATAGGAACAACGGTATGAGTGATGAGCCTCAGTTTGTCATGCTCCAGCCAGAAATGGTACATCAGCAGAGGGAACCAGACGATCAGGGCCGTGGGGCGGACGATGACTGCCAGGGCGACCAGGCTCAGATATATTTTGCTGGAGAGACACTGTGTTAGTAAATAATCTTTATAAAGATGGGGGGGATTAATTAAACATGAAGTCACAAGCCAAACCTGCTGTGAGTTTTGGATCTTGGGAGGGGAAAGTAAAAGAGAGCCAGAGAGGTGAGGGTGGTCTCCGTGCTGTTGGTGAGGGTCCTGGTGCAGCAGAACCAAGAGAACCATGAGCACATGTGGCAGAAGAACTGGAGACAAACACAACAAGGAGAAGTGATAAAGTCCTGTATGAATGTACAACAACCTGGGATGATCTGAACACAAAGAAAGATCTGATTGGAGGATGAAATGAAGTTGGTCGTGCCTTACTGTGAGTTTGTGCTGTTGTGTTTTGTCATGTTTGCTTATGTAACATCGTGGACTAACTGCAACTGCATTTCATTGGGCCTCCTTGTGTTGTATAAGGGCAATAGCCAACCCTCCAATACCTGAATTACTTAACAACCCAGCATAACCTCCCAGCTCATGTCATGCATCCTGACAAAAATATCCATTAATGGGAGAAATCAAATTGTTCTACCCTGAATATATGTTTAGTTCTAAACTATTGAACTGTGTATTTAAAGCCTCACCAATTTCTTACTAGCCACTGGATTAGTTTGAAATGTATACTGAATAGCCAAGAAAGCAAGGATCATTTGCAACATGTATTCATAGTGGTTTGAATTCATGTTTAATATGAATTCAAATTAAGAAAATAGATTTTCCCATGACAAAGACTAATTTTATCTAGCTTTAATATTACATGTAGTGGTTTTATTTCATAGCTAGATATATGAATTTGAACTTTAAGGTTTTCTATCTGTGTGTGAGACATATTGTGCCTGTAATCTGTTCTCCACTCAGCAACACTTAAAAGATTCTCCAGGAGTCAGCTGTTGAGAAACATAGTGAAATATGTTGCAATCCATTTTGCAACAATCTGCCCAAACCTGTTTTCAGGTCACATAAGCCCAGACTGGCTCTGTAAAATGCTACTAGTTAATGATGTCTGAATTAAGTTTAGAACAGTTGGAAATTAAAAAAAGTGATATATGTCTTTTGATCTGAGGAAATAAGATTATCACAAACCAATCCAGTGCAAGCTGTAACTTGTACATTTCCTGAAAAACCGAGGTGAACTCCTTACCGTCCATTTTGCAACGTCATGTCTTTCCAAAGTTCGGATGAGGTAGAAGAATTTTACATCTGCAAAAGCAGCGAAGAGTGCTTGAATCATCCGTGGTAGCCATATCTGCAGAACCAAACAGACATGGATTAGTGAAACGAAGGGACAAAAGAAAATATATTTGCTCAAAGACATGCAATATTGAAGTTGTCTGAATAGAAAGTATGTGAACACACCAGGAGAAAGACTGAGTCGTAGTTTAGGAAGTGTAATATCTTGTATATGAATGCAAAGAAGAGCGGATAGGTGAATCCTCTTATCCCTTCCTTCCATTCCCAGGTCAGATACCCATAAGTCACTCTGTTAAGGTTCGATCAGCATACAGGGATAGAACAAACATTTAAAAAACAATGTGCTTCCATTCAGCAGGTGTCAGATTTGAGATGTTCATTTTAATGTAACTTGTTGTTTTAATTTATACTATTTTATTGGGTTGATGAAATATCTACAACCTGAACTAAAGTTTGTCAAGACAAAAATAATGAGTATTATTTCTGTTAAGAATAGTAATAATGGTTATAATACTAACAATAATTATGGCTTATCCTATTTCCTTTTTATTGTAATACCTTGTTATCTTGTATGGTGTTTAATGTAATGTATGTTATCCAAACATATGCAATACCCTTTCATGTGCTCTGTGAACATTTTAAACAAGAGCTTTTTTAAGCTAATAATGTATGTAATGTATTAATTTAGAGGAAGAATAATAAAAAGATTATGATTGATTTTTATTTTTATTTTGAAGCCCACTGACCTGTACATTTTTTCCTGTATAAACAGACTTGACTTGGCACTGCTCTAACAATAACAATAATAATGCATAGTAAGTAGAGGCACATATCTGCAGGTAATACTTAATGTAAAGGATATTTGAAGACCATCCGATGGGAAACCTCCAGCGACTGCCAGTACTCATCAGGGACGAAGCTGGTCTGCACCAGCAAGCAGTTTATCAGTCTGAAGGCCACAGAAAACAGAACCACTCTTCTCAGCTCCCCTGTGGAGGACATGATTAATATATCACTTGATTTGTTTTATGATTAGTCCCCATTGTCTGACATACAAAGATGAACCCACCGTCCTTAAGAATGTTTTCATCTTCCTTTGAGTATAGTTGCGATTTTCGTTTCCGCAGTTTCACATCTTCCACTTTATTCCCAATATTTAGACGCGATCGGATGTTCTCCATCAGGACATAGTGTCTGCTGCAGGACACCTGTCAGGACTTCAGTCAGTCAGGTGTGCTCAAGAGTCAACTCTTCAACACAATGTTACTCTTTTTAAATACTCGAAATTACGTAAGGTGTTAGTTATTGGCTGGGCGCTGCGTGTGGACAGTCTGCACACTGCTTCCGTTTATTGATCCCACGGTATTAAACTTTCACATCACACTAAAACACGATTAATCCACATTAACTTCAGTATCACAGAACTGTGGTATTATGTTGACTGCGCTTCCGCACTCAGACTTACTTCCGCTGGAACTCTGATTCCTGATTTCAAAATAAAGGGATCCTGCATTGTGTTGTTGGATAATATGCTTTAGTAACAGATGGGCCATTTTTCCGTGTTTATTTGTGTAAACAAGTTTAACCGGTTGCAGATTTTAAAACATATATATATATATATGTTGCAGATTTTATATATATATATATATATATATATATATATATATATGTTTTAGAGACTGACATTTGAAGAGGACCCTTCACCTTTTGTAATGTGACAGACAGGATATTCGTGTGCTTTTCTCATGCACGCAAAAGGATATTTTGAAAACAAAAATGTAACCAACATTAATTTGTATTTGATATTTGTTGAAACAATTATTATTATTAATTTTAGTAGTAGTATTATTACTATTATTGTAATATTTATGTATGTATTATTTGTTATTGATATATATATATTTATATACAGTATATTATTATTTTGTTATTATTGTTATTCTGCTCTTCCCACGTTCCTCCACTAGGTGGCGGACTAACGCGTGTTGCTGTTCAGTCAGAATTCAGGACAGAAGAAGAAGAAGAGAGCTTGCCTGCCCTCCAGCTCGTTGGTGTCCTTGCAGTTATATATCTTGTGTTTTCACCTCTGTGTTCTCCTGTCTGTCTGAATTTGGTGATCCAAGACACTTTGAACAAACCGCTTCCTCGGTGAGTTTTTATAAATATGACAACATTGCTGTTAAACCAGTTAAATTGTCATGTTTGAGTTGTTTTTAGCAGCCAAATGGTTACAAAACGGTCAAGCTTTCAGAGGCTGTTGGTTCATTTACGGGCTTTTTCAAAATAAGACTCGTTTAAATGTCTAAATGTAAATCATTGTAATGTCAGGTTAGAGATCACTTTTGTAATGTTTTTTAAAACCATAAGGTATAACGGAAGGCTTATGAATCAGGATGTATGTTGTTTGACACCAAAGAAACTGCACAACTGAGCCATGACAGCATAGTATTATTGTTTGACATGCATTCAGACTACATTACAAAATCTGTTGTAAGGCATTTATTAGTTTCTGATTATGGGAAAATAGGAAAAGTAGTAGAATTTCCCACTACTGTATCTTCTTTACCAAATCCAAAGTATTTAGGCTATTGTTTGCTCTTATGATAAAGTAATATGTTCTTCCATATCTGAGCCTCCCCTGTATCAGTTAGGAGTCCATAGGTGAGTTGTTCCCGTGCAAAATGTCGATGTTTGATCAATTACTTCCATTAGGGTTTTTTTTTTTTACAGGTATATCTGCCATTAAGCATTTTTTTTATACAAGTATACATTCCTAAAAATACCAGCTAAGGTGAAGGGACATTGTTCAGTTTCGGGATCAACGTCAGTCCTCCTTGGATTGTAGTGATATGCGTCTTGGCTTCTCTTTGAATGGTAATTTGGAAACAATCTTGCACCAGTTTCTCTGAGGATGATAGAACAGGAAATCCAACCTCAAACACACAATTCAGTCCAGCAACACGGCTACCTTGCACTGCATGAAAAGTAGCTGACAACATACATGCTGCAAGTTATGCTTAACATTTTGCAAGAACATGTAACATTCAACAGAGCAAAGGGGGTGCACAAATAATGGTTATAATTCAAAGTATCTAAATAAACTGTCTTGGATAACAACTTTTTACTCTTCTTTCAGAATCATCCTGTGTTTGGAAATTGGGATTTCATATTAAAAGAAGTCATGTTTCGAAGGAGAATACCCTTCGTAGATGTCTTCTTCGCCACACTGGTTGGAGTCGCTGGTGGTGTTTATATCTTCAGCCCTGTTTTTGCACCTCAGCCGGAGCCGAAGACCTCAGAACAACGAAACCAGGATGTGCCACAGAAACCAAAAGAAACAGACTTATATATTTCACCCCTTCAAGGAAATACATCACAGACAGAAACCAAGAGATCAACATGAGAGGCTGCTGGACTCTGAGAGCTGCAGGCTGAATCAAAGACCTGTACGGATTTATGCTTCTTTGGGGTTGTGTGATTGTTCATTTACAAAATAAAACATTTAATAATTTCACCTCTTGAATAATCATCTATTTCAAAATGATGTGTCAAAAGTTTTGTTTTATATGTTTGTTTTGATCTGCAATCATTACAAAGGGAAACTCACATTCATCAAATCAGTTAGCTTACACAAAACCTCAATGCTGTATGTGATTTATTGAATATATAGAGAAATTATGTGTATGAAAACAAAAAAGCTTAATATATTTCTAAATATGCCAATAAATACGACTTAAAGTCCTGCGGTGCTGTAAAGTAAAAACTTTATTTGTATAGTGCCTCTCTTGCAAAATTGTATTCAAAGTGTTAAAAATTACAATGAAAATGCATCAATACAATAAACAATGCACAGTACAATACTTTAGTCATGGACTCCCTCTGAGATTTACATTGCAACAGGGATTAACTGTAAAAATATGCATCGTTTTTGGTCCACATTTTGTTCATCAAGATTAAATACATTAATATGAAATATAATACATCGAAAGTAGTTCAGGCACGTAACCATTAACTTGTTGTCATTGTCTCCTTGAAGAGATTTGTGAGATTTGTATTTGTAAGTAAACATTGTGTTTTATTGTCCTATAGGCTGTGGTTTTCAGAGATAAGCCTATAGTGAGTGAAATGTTATAAAATATATATTTATAATTATAAAACGGACAAGTCAAATCAAGCAATCTGATTGGTTCTTAGCCGTGATATACTGAGCGTATACCACGGGTAGAATTGTAAGTTACTTTTCACAACAAGTCAGTATCCCTCCGCGTCTGAGAAAAACAGTATACAGTTGGGACGCTTCGCGTCGGGCCGAACCACGCCCCTTAACTGTGATATAATGGCCATATACCACGGCCTGTCGTGAGCTATTGCTTAAATATATTCTGATGTTGATATGTGTGTAGGCCTGCTTTTATTTCAATTACACTAAGATTGCATGATTGTTTCTCAACCTGAAGATGGTTTACTATTAAAAGAAGAACGTGTTTAATTTGAAATACTTGTACTTTACTTGAGTATTTCCATGTTATGCTACTTTGTATTTCTACCCCAGTACAATTCAGAGGTAAATCGTAAATACTTTTACTCCAATACTTTTATTGTGTACCTACTTTGTAGATTCGGATTATTGATGTGAGATATAAGCAACACTTAAATAAGACTTTAGTTACACCTGGAGTAAAATTCACAAGCTAGATAGATGGATAGATAGATAGATACTTTATTGATCCCAGTTTGGGAAATGTTTGCGTTGCAGCAGCATGAAAAACCAAAAAACACAAGGCAATGTATAAGAGAAACTAAGACAAAAAAAATAAACAGTCCAATGTATTTCAGATTTAGAAATAGAAATAAAATAGCTAAATAAAAGTTAAAAGATAAAAAAAAAGCTACCCTGCAGTATACAAAGTCATTCAAACTAGCTGCACATTTATCACACTTTAATGCATAAATAATTACTATAAGAACATATATTATATAAGATTGTGAAATGGGCCAATCTTCCTAATGAGTACTTTTACTTTTGGCACTTTTTTGATGCTAATGCTTTTCTACTTTTACATGAGTAACATTTTGATTGCAGGACTTTTACTTGTAACAGGGTATTCCCACACTCTCGTACTTCTACTTTTAGTTGAGTACAAGATCTGAGTACTTCTCCACCCCAGCTTATGTCCCTGTGAGATGTGTTGCGTTAGATCTGGGGTTTCCAAACTTTTTTCACAGAGGGCCACATACAGAAAAATATACGGAAGGAGTGGCCACTCCCTAGAGGTGAGCTATATTGCCTCATAAGTTCAGTTAAAAGTTGTAAAAATCAATCAAATGTAGGTAAACCATTCTTGATACTTGAAAATGCTTTAAGAAAATAACAGCCTACATCACAGCTCTCCATCATTTATTTTGTTACAAAAAGTGTTGGCAGCTCATTCCTTAAAACAGACGACTCAGATTGATTATAATTAGAGGAAATATGAAAGGTATATTTCAAGGTTGTTATGTAAATGTATTATTGGGCTTTTTTGTTATCAATTTAGATTTGTTAGAAAATGTTTTCAACTTTAATTGACTGAATTTATTAGAAAAGTGGTCTTATTAACACATGAATACTGTGTAATATATTTGAACATTTATATTTAAGAAGTACAATACAAGACAAGCAGAAGTTTCATTTGTGGGCCATATTTCATTATACTTTTTGAATTTGCTGAGGGCCGATTCAAAATGGTCCGCGGGCCGCATTTGGCCCCCGGGCCGTAGTTTGGACACCCCTGTGATGTTAATGCTGCAGTAACGGAGGCTCCCTGCAGTGAGGGAGGAGCTGTTTCTCCACGGGAAGTGAAGCAGGCGTTCAGTGTTAATGAAGCTCATGTCAACTATTGGCCCAGAGGCGACGGAGAGAGTGAAGTTATCATTTATCCCCTTATCTAAAGTCTAAAACGGTCACTTTGTAAAACTTTTTTTTAGTTTTACCAGCGGGACTCAGTGCGCAGCAGCAACGCCCCGGGGCTGGTGAGTATGTTCACATGTTTTCAGGAAATCGAAGAAATCGGTCTGTAGCATCTGTCAGGAGTTAGCGAGGGGCTGAAAGTTCACTAACAACTTAAATTCACTCGATTATCTGCATCTCTTACACACTTTCTGCCTCCAAACTTGTTCACCCCTCAAACATTAACAATAATGTGGCGTAGGGAACAATGTTACACCTGCCTTATCCTCCTGTAAGAGTTGTTTGTTTATCCCACACTAAACACCATTGTTTATACAAGTAAAACATTTGGTTTCTCGGAACTGGACTGCAGGTTTTTTTTTAACATTTATAACTTTGTTTGGATCAATATATTCACTGCGTATGTCTGACAGAGGAAGCTGGCATCCTGTTAAGTCAACAAACAAAAAAGACTTTTTTGTTACTAAACAGGACACCTGACCGCCGGACAGCCACATGAAGACCTGCTGAGGGTCATTACATTCATGTACATTTGTTTCGGTTAATCGATTTGAGTGTGTGTTTGTTACATAGACTGTAGGTCTGTTGGCAGTGGTGGAAAGTCACTAAGTAGCTTATATTTAAGTACAAATTCAAGGTAGGCCTAAGGGTTCTTTACTTGGTTATTTACGTTTAATGTTTGTACTAGGCCTTCATTTGAAGTGGCATTGTCCACTACACCTCAGGAGTAAATATAGTCGGCTACTATTTTGTACTACATTTGTGTCTCAACTTCAGGTTTTCATACACTTTATCTAAAGGTTAGTGTTTCCTTTATGGGTTGAGGACCTCTTAAGTTAAATAAAGCATATAAAAAGCACTTCAGCTGAAAAATGCATTGTTTGTAACAAAGCTGAAAACTGGACTGGACACAAAGATACATTGATTATATAAAGGAGGTAACTTTAACACAACATCTACAGCAATAAAATGCAACTTACACATTCATTCAGGTGTTATATTGATCTAAAAACATCATGTATAATGAGTTTAACTTTAAGTACATTTGGCTAAACACTTACATACCACTTCTTAAGTAAGGCTTGAACGCATGACTTTGACTTGTAGTTGAGTATTTTCACATGGCGGTGTTAGTACTGAATACTTGTTCTACCGCTGTTTGTGAAGAATGAGTTTGATGTGCCTGGCACTGCCTGGTGCTGCTGCTGCTGATAAACCCTCTCAAGGTATTTTAATGAGCAGACAGTTAGAGCGTTGGCAGCCTGTAACTTTAAAGAAACATGGTGCCAAAATAATGGATCATATTATTTTTATTCTAATGTGCACGTCATTATTGTGCTGCTGCACCCTTTCTAGTTTATGGTATGTACACATCCGGATTTCTCCAAGGAGCCTCTGTGTTGGACAGCTGCCCAGGGTGGGTCTTCCACTTCTCCCTGATAAAGGATTACAGCTTTTCGTGTTTGCTGGTCTGCATGGATGGTAGTACTTGGCAAACACAGCTACTAGGTTAACTCCCACCGCGGGAGAAAATGCCAAAAGATATTACGGTAGATTAAGGTTTAGTTATACTTGATCTAAAAAGCAAAGCCTCATTGAGATAAAACATCCCTTTCAAGAGAGTCCTTGCCTAAATATGTAAAAATACAGACAGACAATTCAAGACAGATGATATAAAGTATTGCTGCAAAATCTAAATTAGAAATGCAATTATAAAATCATGAATATAATTGTTTTAAATACAATCATGTCATTATTTATCTGCTGATTGTTTTCAAGATAAATTGATTAATATTTTTATATAGAACATTTTGGAAAATAGTGAATAATCTTCATCCAGGTTCTCAAAGTCCAAGGTGATGACTTTAAATGTCTTGTGTTGTCCATCCAAAACCCCCAAATACTCAGTTTGATACGCTATCAAACTGAGAAAAGCAGGACATCTCCCCATGCAAGGGACATTAAGAATAATATCTGTCAATCAACTTGAGTAAAATGTACAAGTGTTTTACCTTTAGCATTATCACACATACATAAAAACAATTGATTACTCTCTTGCAACAATATGATGTAAATACCTAGTGGAACACATACTTTAAAATAGACTACAAATATACCTACATTTTAATTTGCAATAATAAAGACAACCGCAAACAATGTCTCTCTGATACTGTTCACAATCTGAGATAGAAAACGACATTACTTCACTGTGATTCAGCCGTTAAAACAAGGAATATCAAAAAACTAAAATGATATCTATTCTAATATCTGATGACAATGTAATATTGATACATAGCGCTGCTAGTATTTAAATGCAGTACAATTAAGTAGGTAAGTACTAGATTTTAATTTTTGTATTAAGTGATTGTGGTAGATGCAATTTCTTGTGAAAGCGCAACACACCTCCACACATCCTGCAAGTTGAAATGTCAGGATGATCGTAAATGATGTGTAGCTGTTGGTTTTGTACTAGGCAAACCCTAACCCTTTGTTGTTTTTAATGAAACGAATAACTTTAAGATAAGCGTCACACTTGGTGTTACACTGATATTTAACTGCTGCTTGGGAGGCCCTTTCCTATGAAGGCAGAACTGTACTATGTGACACCTTAATCTGACAGAGCCTCGTTTGTTTTCTGTTAAAAGGTTGTGGGAAACCCGAGACTGTCCAATGGCATTTACTCTTAATCCGAATGAGTTTAACCTCCACAATTTGAGAGATTTACAGTATGTTAGGTATATTCCTCTGTTCTGCACTGCAGCTGTAACTCTCAGGAAATTGTTCTCAGGCTGGGTGCACACATTTTTAACTTCAATTTTACAATTGTTCATATTAAGTTTTTTTTAAAGTTGTATATATTGTGCGGCACTCATCAAGTGTTACATTGAATTATTGAAGAAAATGTGTTTTTCCTAGCATGCCTCTACGGTGAATGAGAATGTTCTTTCAGAAATCAAGGATAACAAAGGGTTAGTGTTTGATACGTTTGTTTTATAGATCTTATATAATTCTTCCTTAATTAAGGACTCAAGCAATATCACAGGTTCTCAACAGAAAAGAACAAAACACAAACTCAAAAATAGTTATATACAATAGAACACAAAACTCAGAGCTCAACACAGACAAAATAACACAAACTAAAACAAGAAGCACAGGATTATTCCTGACTGCATGAATGGTCCCTTTTTGAAAAAATTGTCTCGGTTTGGGTTGAAAATAAACCCAATCAGGATCCAGTTTGAGTTCTGTAGGCAAGGGTTAAAACTCCCTATTTTCACCCCGAACAGAAGAAGCTGTTTGTCATAATGAGAATTCACATTAGGATTACAATTCCTGATGGATGCTCCATGTGTTACTGAGCCTGAAGACATGATGGTTGTGTAGGTATCTATAGATACCTATAGATACATTTCAGTTGAGCAAATGTAATAAAATGATCAAAACTTAATTTATAAAAACATGGCAATGATGTGATCTTGTTAGCTTCCTGACCAACATTGTAATTGCTGGTTTGTATATAATCACAAGAGGCTTGGTTATTGCAGATGTGGCTTGTCCAAGATGTTGCACAATAAACTAATTGCGAAAGAAAAGTCATACATTTCATGAAAGTATTTGCATTATAAAATAATAGGCATTCTCTTCAAAGTCTAAATGAATGTGTTTGCTTTTGCAACCTTGCCAACCATTTTAACATGCTCCTTAAAAAGTAATTTTTTAACATATGTACCACTTGTGTGTGTATTTGGCTTTATGATATTACTGTTCTTACTGCTGCGTAATCAATTGCCCCTTTAGGGACACATTAAGTTCGGCTTGACTCAAATTGAAAGGTAAATGAAACCCAGTAAATAGGTTAATAGACTTAACGTTTTTGTTGTGTATTCTTGCGCAACATATCAGATTGTACTCTGTCATCAGAGCTTGCTTTCTGTTCACAGCTGCTAGGACTGGACGAGGTAGCTTTAGCACTGCACTGTGCAACATTACTAGACATATGCATGAACATTTGCTTTTCATTAGAACATTTGGCTGTTCAGGAGATAGTGCTTTTTCTTGTTTCCGATTGGAGCTTAATGAGAAGTCATCAGATGAACCTGATAGTAGTCTGCAGAAGTTTGCTGACACAATCTGCATCTCCAGCAGTGTGGTTTTGCTCGGCTGTGTAACTTCTGTGACCTGTTTTTAAATGACACAGAAATAATTTACTGACTCAAGTTTTGGAGTCAGGCTGTTTTAATAACAATATCAGTAAGTTGGGTAACAAGTCAGTGATGCAGACGCTTTGACTTGTTATGGCAGGAAATAATACTCAATACAATTCAGCAGCACTACAAATTACGGCTTACAGGAAGATCATAAAGTTTAGTAGTAAAACTAAAAAACAAAGTGCTTAACAAGGTACAAAATGGCAGACAAATGTTTAAAAAGCAAAGGAGCTTCAAACGGTATGAGAAAAGGTACCACTAACAAAATAGAAATAACACAACTAATTAAAAAGATCAATAATCAAAAGTTAAGAGGATGCCTTTACATATAAATGGGTTCATGACAGTTACAAGTGAACATTTCAACAAAAAGTTAACATTAGACCCATCATGAAGGTAGTGTTTATTGCAGGTTTGATACATTGGCCTGCGGTAGTTTTAATTAGGTTTCAATAGATTTGTAGTAAGCCCCCTCAAAGTGGGAGATAAGAGGAAATGTTACAGGGAGTTGTGAGTTTAATGCTAATAAACCATCTTACTATGTGTATATAAAGTTGTGTAGTGTTACACATCTTTAACTGAGTGGGTTTGATGGTAATCATTTCCTTAAATTTTGAAAGCATTCAAAAAAAGTTATGAAGAGCTTTACGACAGGATGGAGAGAGTAAACATCAAAAACTAAAGGAACCTAAAACACAATTAATACGTTTTTAAGAGTTTCAAGTTTTGTTGCAATGTCAATACTGACCCAACTTGAGCTTGTTTTAGCACCCCCGAAAGAAAGACCTAAAGCGTTATAGAGATATAAATAAAACCTTAATATGAACTTTAATGTACCTGGGTAAGAACTGCTACGAGCAGGAATGTTGACTTCATAATTCGGGGCTCCTTGTTCTCTCTGCAGCCGTTTCCGTCAAAGTGTATTCATCATGGATCTCGATTTAGCACGAGACCTTAAGCTACTTATGGCTCCAGATAAAGGGTTCAGGGGGGGTCACAGTGAAAGAATGTAGGACTTGTCTGCTGAGTTTTCTACGAGCTGGTCATATGATACATCTGCACTTTCTTTTAAATGTTTTGACTGTAATAAGTCGTCCATGTCAAATGAAAATGTCTCATCTATTAGATTTCATAGTGTGCTGAGTTACTTCAACCGTTACTCCAAAATGTGTAGAGCAGCAAGCGGCTGATTTCTAGAGACACATTACTTCTGCTTTCTTGACGTGCCGATCGTGAGTAGATACTTGAGTGTTGTCTGTGGCTGGAGAGGGACAGAGGGATTTAAAAAGCTTCCTGTTACTGTGTCAACAAGATAAAACGGCTCCTATGTTACACGCATACCCCCGCAATGTCATAAACTATACAAAGATACATTTGGAGGGTTAGGGATGTTTTGAAAAGTGTACAAAATGTTATGTATACAGCATTGAATGAAGATTATACTCCACCCCCACAGCAGTACTTTTGCTGATGCCATGGGGTACATGGAAAATGTTGGAGAAGCTCAACTAAGTAGACATAATAACAATAAAAACAAACCACAAGAGTCGGCCATATTACATGAACACCATTTGTAAGAGGCTGTAAAAACTATGAACAACCAAGTTGTATTTATTGTGAGTTTTGTTTCGCATTATGGTTAACTATGTGTGCTGTGCCATTAATATACAGTAAGGACATGATTGTAAGACCTTTAAGAAACATAAGGAATATAAATGAAAGTATGTGAAATGATTACTTCAGACATGACGTTTGCTTTTTATGTCAATCCATTAGTCAGCAACATTTAGGAATTGCATCATTATTTTGTAATTCATTTGTATCTTTCGTAGACGTCACAGCTGCAACTTCATCAGTCAGAGAACAGATGGAGCATTCTACAAAGTAACTTGTTTTTTTGATGTGCTATTATTTGAGACTTGATTTAATAGAGTCAAGCTTGTTCATTTCGGATAAGAAGACACATTGACGTTCCTCTTGTACGGAGGCTGGCTGTTGATCCAGTGACATCAGAATTCATTAGAATTAAAGATGATGGCTGGTACTGAAAGTGAAATGTAATTAGCATAATGCTAAGGGGACCAGTTGAGCTGGAAAGATGACAAACAAGAAAACAGAATTACACAAAAGTGTGGGGGTGGACTGAACTGCATTAAGTAGATTGAAGGGATAAGTCCCAACATTGTTCATCAATACTATGACTTACTTCCACATAGTATAAGAGTAGTGATCTGTAGGAGCTTGAGCCTCGCAGCCACAGTCCTCCCACACGGTGTTTTCCCTCCTGTTGCCTGATTAGATCTCCTCTCAGGACTGTGTGGGTAATGGTGCGTTCACTTGCTCCTCGGATTGCCCCATTTCGAGAGTTTGGAAGTAGTTGTTCCCCTCGCCATGTGTTCATCAGCTTTTAGTTGTATTTTTTTACAGAATGTGTGCTACATAGAATATGTGTTGTATTTTAGTGCTCAGAGAATCTAAACAATATGTTGATAGCTTTTTATATTAGGTTCATATTGTTTATATTAGTGTTTTTCTCCCAGTGTTGTTCCTGCACTTATACATTCCTGTAAAACCACAACAATATAAGGTAGCACTTTCTATAATTATTTTTACAACATAAAATATTCTAATTATGGTGGATCCTAATCTGCTTATAGAATTTCAGAGTTATTTTTTTTGAACACTCATAATTATTGATGAATCTTAACATCAACAATCATAACGCCTTATGAAGTGTGTTTTCTGATTGTTTATGCATATAGTATGGTTACTATTTGTTTTTATTATTTGTAGGGAAAAGTAATTGCTGGATGTAGTTTGGAGGATTTTAACAAATATAATAATTTAAACATAATATTTAAATGTCAAGTGCTTAAACCATTTGGATGTCAGTCTGTGTGTGTTTGTATAATAGATGTGGTTATTTGGGGGATAGATGAACATAAATACCAATGTATTTCTGTAACACATTTTGAGATTGTTGTTTGAGTTGTTTTGTTTGTGTGTTTCAGAAATTAAACTCTCACGATGTCGGATGCAGAGTATGATTACCTCATAAAGTTCCTAGCCCTCGGTGACTCTGGAGTGGGGAAAACTAGCTTCCTCTACCAATACACAGACTGCAAGTTCAACTCCAAGTTCATCACCACAGTGGGAATAGACTTCAGAGAAAAAAGAGTGGTAAGTTCAAGTCAATTCTTATCAAACGCCGGCAATTGTTTGGACCTCTTTGTATGCTTTCGTGCAGCAAGCATTTACTGCTGCTAATTAGTGGATTTAATGCATTCCCACACCATTAAGTAACTCTCTTGTAACAAAAGAGTACTGATGAATGTTGCAACAGAAATCCAAGGAATGACTAATGTTGGTGAACAGGAGGCAGCACCCTCCTTAAGAATAAACACTTCTTACCATTGGCAAACAGCTGAGCAGTGTTCATATTTACTCATTGCTTACTCTTTAATGCTGCTAACCTCAAGCTTTAAGATAATATCCTGATAACAGATTCACCACAGCTGTACTGGAGCTACTCAGTCAATCCAGGACAATGTTATGTTAAGGGCACAATGTAGGGAACACATTGCCACTAAGGTTCTCGTAGATTTGGGGTTTTGTGAAGTAGTGTGCAATCATGGTAGTTTGTCACGGCAGTCAGCTTCTCCCAGTTTACCAGGACCAAATTATTTGAAAAAGTCTCCTCCTCTCCAAATACATCGACCTGCCCATTAAAAGTGTGAAAACACTAAAAACAGCAGTTTTAAATTACAATATGTGATTTTTCTAGGAACAGCTTGACAGACTCAACTTGTCCCGAGAGGGCTGTGAGCCGATCTTCCACTAACGTCTGCTTTACTTTGTTTCTCTGATAAACTAAGATCAGGACATTCAAAAAGTGAAATCCACCATCGGGATAAAATACAGTTTTATGTGACCATGATCCAAAAAGTGAATCGTAATAAATTTGTTTCAAAACCGGATTAAATGTAGTAGCAGCAGGCAAACGCAACTAAAACGCAAAAAAGCGACTTTATTAAAACCCACCACGACTTACTTGAAATTGTAGTGTGACCTCAAACAACCTAGAGCTGCGCTTCCTGTCTTTTGATGGTAAAATCAATAAAGTGAAAAAATCAGCAGACAGACTTTGTGTTTCCTTATCCATGAAATGACCATGAAGTTACAGTATATTAAATGGATAATCAGATGGATACAGTACACCAATAATACTGAAGCTGTCTGTTCAATGGTCACAGGGAAACAGCTGAGAGCAACAGCGTGTCCCTAGATTACTTTTAGGAATTAAAGACTACATTATTTCTATAGGTTCCTGGGAAACGTGTTATTGAAATGTGCAGTTACTTCTGGGGACTCTTTTAGAGACTCTTCAATAACTATAATTGCACATTTGTTTCTCCATTTTTACAAGCAGCTATGAAATACAAGATGAATGCTGCTTATCATTCTCTCAAAACTCAAAACTCAGTCCCAACAGAGCTTAACAGTATGATGCAAGTATAGCTTTAACATGCTGCATTGTTAAACATCTTAAACCACTGGACTGTAAGATCCGTAAAAAATAAATCTTATTCTTAATACAATATATGTGTATGAAGGTTACTACTACATCAAACTACACTCTAATTACACTCTAACGGATTGAGATTGAATGCTTATCAATCCATCTGAACATCTGTTTGACCTGATCCGTCTCTGTTTCTGTCAGGTTTACAAATCAACAAATCCAGATGGATCTCCAGGTCGAGGACAGAAGATCCACATGCAGCTGTGGGACACTGCGGGACAGGAGAGGTACGTGAATTTATTCTACTTGCACTTTACATTTATTTTTCACTATTTATTATATTGTCATCAAGTGGTTCCTCTTTGTTGTCAGGTTTCGGAGTTTGACGACGGCGTTCTTTAGAGATGCAATGGGTTTCCTCCTCCTGTTTGACCTCACAAATGAACAAAGTTTCCTCAACGTCAGAAACTGGATGAGTAAGTCCTTTGATATTTCACTCTGAACTGTACACTTCGTTTTTTGGCTGTTTTTAGAAGGGTTTTAAGATGTAAGAACAAAGGACGCAGTCTACATTTTCATTAAATATTTTAAAAACAAGTGAGGTGAATGGAACAGATGCTATTTAACATAGATGAGTTGCAGTGAGAAAAGGTAAAAAGTAATAATGTCCACTCTGAGAGGTTTCTTATGTAACAATCGGGGAGCAGACGTTCCATATAACCTGTTGTGCTTTGAAATGTGGATGTGTCATTACCGATAGGTGGACTGAAATGTTGCATAATTAAAATTAAGACACAATTTAGTGCACAGGAATTTTTTACAAAATTGATCACTCTCAAAATACTTCTAGTTACTCTTTATGTGTATAGAATTTACACTAGGATGTTAGGCCTTTTATATTGTGTGATTTATCATGTATTCTTCCAGTATTTATATATTATAAAGTATTTTCTGTGCACAGTATACTCTCACCTCAACTGCTGCTGCTACACTGCTCAACTTTCTTGTGTCTTCTTGAATATAATTCTAAATGATGGCTTTATATCTGTCTCAGAAGCAAACATATTTATAAACGTGGGACTAAATACATAATAAATTGCTCAATGTGTGTTTTCAGGTCAGTTACAGATTCACGCATACTGCGAAAATCCAGACATTGTTTTGTGTGGCAACAAATGTGACTTGTCGGATCAGAGAGCAGTCCGTGAGGAAGAGGCCCGTGAGCTGGCGGAGAAGTACGGGTACGTCTCCGCTTTGATCCATCTGTACATGAACCTCTCCCTTTAGATGTTTGTCAAGAAGGCAGTGGCTGTATTGTTTGCCAGAGTCTGTCCAGGAGAATGCCAGGCTATATTGATCCTCTTGGAAAAGCAAATATTTGTACACATGTGTAAAATATCCTGCTCTGAAACTATAAGACACACCTCTACTAAAAACACACAAAGTGCACCGTGAGTAATGCTGTGAATGCCTTCAAGAGAGGATAAACCTCGGAATTCTATATAACATTCGAAGTAGGCGTTGTTGACAGACAGACTAATGCTCTTTTGGTCTTTATATGGCACTGGAAATGTAACCTTGCATAAGCCCCGCCTTATCCCTATTTTTTTTTCTACACTCAAAGTTTGTGTCACATTGTGACTAGCAGCAGTTCAATCAGGAGAGACTTCATTTTGTTTAAAGAACATTTATTGACACATGCCATATGATAAATGTTAAGTCTTTGGCGATTAGATCCCGATCCTGAAATCGTATATCTAAAGGGGGAAATGCAGCCGTGAGCATATAGGGAACCCCCCCGGGGGTCTAGACACTGGTGATGATGCTGAAGATCTGGATTTGATGAGGAGATGGGATGAAGAGGGGATGTGATTAGGTCTTTGGATTAGTTCTCCTGGCACTGGATATGATGAAAGGAGGTGGATGGGGAGAAAACCTGAAATCACGCTGACTGCAGGAGAGAGGAGTATCATTTTAAAGTTTGGCTGCAGCACGATGATTGGCTGCTGAGATTGAGGTGAATGTAATAGGTTAACAGAAAGCCCCTGATGAGCTGATTATAAGCAGCTGCGGAGTGAATGTATACCAGTCTTCCTGAAAGAACTTGCGCTGAGCTTCATTAGTCTGTGATCCCGTATTTATTATGTCCAATATCTTTCTTCCATGCAGAATCCCTTACTTTGAGACAAGTGCTTCAAATGGGCTTAACGTGAACATGGCCGTGGACGTCCTGCTGGATCTCATCATGAAGAGAATGGAACGATGTGTTGACAAGTCCTGGATCCCTGATGGGACCGTCAGAGCTAACGGACCCAGCAACCCAGACCTCTCAGAGGCCTCTGATAAGAGCAAATGTGCATGTTAGACTCAATTATGAACGTTACATGTCTGTGTCCATAATACTGTTAAAAAAATAGGACGATATCCAAGTTAAACAGTTGAAGTATACATATGCATATTGTAAAATATTTAAGGTGAAACAATATTTATCTTTATTGCCCCACAGAGTAGTGCTTTGCTATATATAAAGTACAGAAGTGTATTAGGTCCAGGCATGAGAGCAAATACATTAGAGGAAGATATTGATTTGTTGTATTTAGGAAAAATGTTGTGAATTCAATTGAAATGTCAGGAAAAAGTCAAAAAGTTAGTCTCATATGAATCCTACATTTTAACTTTATTCTCAACATTTTGCCTTTATTCATGAAATGCTAAATAGATTAAATAAAATATCTTATTCCCAAGCCTGCCCATAATACACCTCCATAGAAAAGTGCTTTTTGAATGTGGGCGTTTAATTTGAATTCATTTAACATGGTATTTTCAAAAAACATATATTAATATTGGAGCGTGGGATATTTATTTCTAATGATGTCCAGCTGGAAATGTCATCATTTGGATGCTGATCGTGTTTTCAGGTATAAGCTTTGTGCTTCAAGTTGCATCAAAGTGAGCTGCCCTGCCAAATGTGCTATAAGAATACTTCTAACACTCTTCACTTGCTGTAAGATAAGCGTAGATTCACACTGCGATTAAGAAAGGAGTCACTTTGTACAGTCGGATGAATGTTGACTGATACCTGCAGTCACGGTGTATTGGGATTTGCTATGGATATACTTTTAGGAAGCTTATTGATGTTGTGCTTAGTGTCCTTCTGAAGAATGCAAGATTGCCCTGCAACAGCCAGTAAACACGTTGCTCACATTGTCCGACTGAAATTAACTAGAAGGGCAATTAACACTTGTTTATTTTTTCCTAAATCAACGTTTCTGCTTGTTTTTCTGAAAACCTTGATAATAGAATACAGTTTGTCTTCGTCATCAACACTTCATTATAATCAGCAACTGGTTCTGCCAATGATTGCACAAATTAAGTCTCAGTATAAATATAAAATTGTGGAAAAAGTTAAACAAATAATCTAATAGTTTAATATATTTGAAAGTAAGACATTTCAATGACATTTTTTGCTGTAGCTTTTGTGAACATGCAAGTAACATGCAAAACATTATTTTTCAATATTCACCTGTAAGGATTTCTGTAGTTTTAGAGTATTCTGGATTTTGCTCAGCCGAGATCCTAGATACTGCTATGCCAAGGCCCCGGATGATAACATGTGGATAACGAGAATATATCACCTGAAAACGAAGACCACCTTTGCTAGTCTCAGGATTCTCCTAGCAGATGCTATGTTTTTAAAGAGTGGGACAACTGTTTAGGCAGCCATCTACTAATTACACATATGCGGCATGCATCAGGATTATTATGTATTCAAGTTCTGATTGCAATGAAAAGAGCTGCTACACACCCAAGGATGAATGATCTTACCCTCAGTATATTTTTGGATGTAGGCCTACTGAGGGTTAAATAATTAGAGAAATAAAAGAGAAATCTTTAAAGAACCTGCTTAGCCTTGGTTTTGTATTGGCAAGTTTGATAAGATTAGCAATAAGATGGGTTCCTCATTTCAGTTTACTTATATGGTGTTGATTTTTAAATCCTTATGCTTACCCCTTCAGATCCTTTAAAGTTTCATAGATTTATAATACGACTGATATTTAATTAAGAGTATCTAAACTTAGTAAAACACTGAAATGGTATTGTGAAATGTATTCTTTTGTTTTACACACACATGGACATTATTTTTATTAATTGTAAAGGGTAAAAGTGGTGTTTTAGTTAAGACACACAAACAGCTATAGTTGAATTTGATTATAATATGAGTACGACTATGCTGATTAATTTCATATTTTAAAGTGTGCCATACTTATTCATATGCAAAATGTATATCATGTGTGAAATAAACAGTTTTATTTATGTATTTCTTGAAGCAGTATCGAATGTTATATAATCAACCTTGAAGAGGTTGAATAAAAATGTAATTTCACTATGAAGTATTGCTTTATGTGTTTAGAAACTCCTTCTTTAGCTAAATAAACTATTTAAATGCCTCATGGACCAGCTGAAAAAGGCATTGTTACAAAGCTGAAAACGGGGCAGTTATCCTCACGAATACTTTTTAAAGTTTCCTGGTTCTCACAAGACAGTGATGCTACAAACATGAGGATCTTATCGTTAATGATGCATTGCAAAATTAAACTACCCAACAAGAAATAAATGAGTAAAAAATGAAGTAAAATGAATATACACATTAATGTTGCAGTAAAATTACTCAAAACATGTATAATATAAGAAAGACAAGGACATTTTTTCTGCAAAATGAGTAGGCCTTCTTTTTAAACTTAAAGTATATTTTCTGATAATTATTTTTACTTTATATTGCACCTGGCTTTAATGTTTTAACGATTGACGACCTTTTTTTGTCCAATCTGCATTCATAATACATCCTAAAACGTGTTTTTAATGGGAGCTGCATGGTTAAAATTGCCTCTTTATAGATATAAACGTGTTAATTTAGATCCAACCCAAAAGGGGGAGCACTTTCCCCACAGCCCCTACCACAGGAGTGTTTATCCGGTGAAGAAGAAGCTGCAGAACCAAACACAACACCAGCCTGAGTTGGAAAGGTAACAGAGACACTTTTCATTATTTTGACAGCTTTAAAACTCAATACTGAAATACGTTTTTACTCAGAGGCAAATTTCAATTCAAACCAAGGCTCAAATTCAGCAACGGTGATACTTCCGCTGAAAATCCACCGGTTTCGATCTGTTTTAGCTAGCTAACGTTAAGCTCTCTTGACATTGCATTTATTTTTTCAACCCTGGCGTTAAAATAAAATAACGTATAAAACACACACGAGCTTTAGCTCGAAGCTGTCACTCTCTCCTAATGCTAATGTTAGCTAGCTAAGGATTAAGGTTAGCTGACCTTTTTTGTTCTGGATTATTTTTAAGGAATTGACACGAGCAGTATTACCTTTATTTTTACCCAACATATTTTCTCTTTTCCCACAATTGATATTAAAAAGTAGCATCACTATATTCTTGTTAAATTGCATACATTTATGGAGGGACGAATCTTGCTGTTGCTATGGTAAAACGGAACCATTGGGTAAAACCATAGACTGTATATATAAAGGGTAAAACATAATCGGAACAGTTATCTCTATGACAACGGACATCATTTATTTACCTAGTGAATAAATCAACACATAGACGCTTTACACTTTGAGACATATATTCAAGTTAACGTAAAGCTAAACAATACTAAACAATAACTTTTCAAAAAAGGATTAGTTTCTTGGATGTGACAATTCCATTCACATAATGAGTGTTCTTATTATTGATTTAACCAACTTTGCAATAATATCAACACTGGATTAGAATTGAAAATTGTATTGATCCCCAATACTAGATGTATAATAATATGTTTTTATGTAACATAGTGTGTGTTTTACTTGCAGAATGCCTTTCCACTTCTGCCCCCAGTGTGGGACAAAGTTGCAGCCGGGTTTCAGATTTTGTCCTTCATGTGGGGAGAAGATTCCTTGTATTGTTGATGAATCTGGACCTGTGAGCCCGGTGACATCTTTAAGTCTCTCTCCAGCCAAGAAGGATGAAGCAGTAGTTAAATCATTCCCTGTTTCAGTAGCAAGTGGCCAGCCCACAGGAAGTACAGGTAAACATCTTGACAGTGTGTTATGTAGAGTAAAACATAGATTTTTTAGACTTTGTGTGGTTTTTATCTTTGGGAATGTTAATCCTGTTTTTCTTCGCCACATGGATGTAACACCTCAGCTCTAGTTACGACTCGTCCTGCACTGCGGAAGCCACGAAACTCCCTTCGTCTGGAGAATGAAGTTACATTTAATATTAGCAATGCCACGCCACCTGTGGTGCCCTCCACTACTATCAAAGGTGATTTATAATGGTTTGGAAGAAGTTACCGATTGAGAAAATGTGCTTTTTGAATTTAATTTGCTGTAGCATGAACCATCAGTCTGACATATAGCTTTAAGCTCCAGGCAGCACATACCAGTGGCCAGGTGGGAAATAAAATAATAATTTGAAATATTTAATGCATTTTTCTTGGACAACATGCTATGATTTGCTATGATTTGTCTCAACAGATAATGGGGATGGATTGTTCGGAACTCCACCCAAGCAGCAGTCTCCTCGACCTGGTGAGCTGAAGCACATTCCTCGTGGAAAATCTATTTCCTGTCTTCTGTCTTGATGTGTCTTTCTCATTATTTTGATTGCGGCTGATTCTATCTGCAGGGAGGGGAAAGGCGAGACGCTCCAGCCCTGCTGAGCAGGCAGAAGAGGGAAAGAGTCCGAATAATAAAACAAGCAGGAGAGCGGAGGATTTATCAGTACATGGCCCCCTAGTGGCTGTCTCCTCCCCTGTTTCCTCACCAAAGTCTCAGTTAAAAGGTGAGAAACAATTATTATTGTATTTCATTATGGATTAAGCTGCTGATTTTTTTGTCAAGAAAATATTAAAAGATATTCAGTTGTATATGATATAAAACAGAGAATCACGAAATCTTTATATCAATAATTTACTACAGTAAGAACAACTACATGATTCAGTTCTCAGGGGATGGACCTGCATTTTAGATTCACAAAATATCAGTCGGTTAAATGGAGACACAGGGTTGAATCTTATCAGGTCACTTGGCAGATACACTTTGCATTATATAAGCTCAATGTAAATGGGACCATTTCTATGAGGATACACTTTGCATTATATAAGCTCAATGTAAATGGGACCATTTCTGAAGAGATTCAATGTGAAGGGATTTGAAGTGGAGGTATAGTTTTAACTTTGACGTCAGTAAACTAATTCTGGTCATCTCTCTTTATCCTTATGTTTTCAATTTGTTATGTTTTCTATGCATCCTTTTTTATGTCAGCGTCTCACATACTTTGAAACATACGACGTAATTGGTGGGTTGTTTCTTTTTGCATTTATCGCAATAGGAAAAAGCAAATCTAAGAAGGCAAAGCATGCGTCTGCTGTGGAGCCGCTGCAGGAAGGCGAAGAGGTGACGGACACGGCGGGAAAGAAGTGGAAGCTGGTGAAACTGCTGAGTCAGAGCACCACAGAGCTGCTGTACGAAGGTGAGACTGGCAGTGGAAATACTGGTTTATATTCAAATTACATTTCAGGTAAAAGATAAGGATTATTATTATACAGAAGTATTTATTCAAATTTTGAACAAACTATTCAGACTTGTTTTTCAGTCTTTCATTTACAATATAGCTGTTTAACAGAAACTATATTCTAAATAGATATGCTAGATATATAAAATGGTTAAATTATGTCGTTTTAGTGTTACCTTTTATGAGACTCTTCTTTTTGTTTCCATTTAAAAAAGTATCCTGGGTCCAGGTAACTTGAATAAAGCCTTACAAAGAGAGGGCTAGTTTCGTAGATAGTTTGGCAGTCCTTCAACAGGATAACACAATTAAAAATCTAAATGTAAAGTAAAAAGATCCTGTATTGGCACAACATAAATATAATTTTTGGTTTGTTTTTTTCAGTTTTGCAAATAGATTCCCGATCCAATTCCAAGGAATCAAATCACATCCTCAAGCTGGTAAGTGCCGCCTGAACAGACGTGGTGCATTTGAAGGTTTTATGATTACTCATATGTGGGACTGCAGTGCCATAAAGGAAGAAACAATCGCTCTCTCACTTGTGTATTTGTCAGGGAATGTATTGTTCTTATTTGTTATGTATTTCCCGTAAACTTCCTTGAGTCACATCATAAAGTTTATCTTATCTTTCTTTGTGTTAGGGAGCTAAAGATGGCAGAATCTTCACTGAGCAGAACTTTCTGCAAAGAGCTGCTAAACCTGTGTCAGGTGAGGATTTAATGTGTTTCAAGTTCAACATTTCTTTTATTTACAAAAACAATGTTAATGTTGCCTATACAGGGTGTCCGCGGGGTCTAAAAAGTATTAAAAGTTGATAAATCAATTTAGCGAAAATTAAGGCTATTAAAAAGTATTAAACGGCATTTTCCAAGGGGTTAAATGTTGTAGCTTTTGTAGTCATAAGTATATAAATTGTCCAAAGAGGTTGTATTCTACAGTGTGCCTGAATGTAATCATTGCGTAGGAGTATAGTGTGATTCTTTGTAGTTTATTTATGGCATCCAGTTGGATTTGACATGTGAGGTAAAGTGTGTCGCCAATGTAACCGGTTAAAACTCGAAGTGGCGATGAGGTCTTAAAATGTATGGAAAGGGTCTTAAAAAAGGTCTTAAAAGGTATTAAATTCGACTTCAGGATTCCTGCATATACCCTGCTATAAAAGAAGTGGTGATTTTCTATGGATATGAAGGGCCAGGGTAGTCCTACCATGGTTCTTATTTATCTAATGATCATTACGAGAGGAACACTTTTATTTTAAATGAATAGCAGCATTTATCACAGTTGATGAGATAGATAGATGAGATATTGAAAGTCAGAAGGAGAACCACTAACAATAAGTCAGTGGTAACGGTTCTGGCAGTTTGTCATGTGATGTCGTTTCACAATGTCACTTAAAAATATGTTTCCTTCATTTCCTAATCCATTTAGAGGAAAGCAGAAGTTGAAAAGAGATTTATTTTTAACGGGAGCATCTTGAATCCTGCTTCATGTGTAAACCACATATCAATCATGTCAAAGCAAAACTGGCTAAGACTGTAGCAACATCAAGACACATTCTGGGCCACTAATCATTACTTACCCTCTATAATACACTCATATTGCCATATCTGAGTAACTGTTGAGATTTTGGGAAATACTTACAAAACCAACCTCCAGACATTATGCATATTACCAAAAAGAGCAATAAGAAGGATCAACAATGTTGGATATCTTGAACACACCAATTAATTATTCTTAAAGTCAGATACACTGAAGTTCAGGGATCTGGTTACATTTGAACCTACACAAATCATGTACAAAGCAAGACTTAATCTACTCCTAGGTAATATACAGAACATGTTTATGGAAAGACAAGGGAGGTATAATTTGAGAGGAGAACTTGCATAAAAATCTGTACGGTGATTTTGTGGAATGGTTTGGAGCCGGAGTTAAAACAAAGCATTCAATAAATCAGTTTAAAACGATGTACAAAAATACTTTCTTGGAAAGATATAGGGACAAGTGATCTAAGGTGAGAAATAATTATAAATGTATGTAAATGTTATATATATTTTGTAATATATATAAAATATTAAAGCAGTTATTTATAACGGCAGAAATCATTTTACGGACTATCAGCAGTTTAGTAAGGGGTGGGAATTTATAAGCATTGGCTTCCTTCTGCTCCTTTTCAGACACTATTATTATTATGAAATATATTTGTGTGAAATATATAAATATTGTTTGAAGATTCATGAAAAAATAAAAAAACAATATGGTATTCGGTTGAACATTATTATTTATTTTTTTGTATCTGTTCGTATTAAAGATGGAAATGAAAATAATGAAATGAAATGAACAAAGTCATGAATCACACATGATCATTCATACCAATGGTCCCTCTGCAGTGGACAGGTGGATCAAACAGAACAAGATGGACTTCCTGGGGATTCCCTCCTGTGCCGGCTTTGGTCCTCATGCAGAGTCCTACAGGTGTGAATATTTACACACCTGTACAAAAAGTTTACCATTAACTTAAGTCTATTATAAGTTGTTCTTTATGTCCTTTCTTATTTCATAGGTTTCTGATTTTCCCCAACATGGGCCAGTCTCTCCACTCTGTCATGGAGGAAGAAGACGAGCTGCTGTCGGAGAAAGCTGTCCTTCAGCTCGCCTGCAGAATAGTGAGTGTCAACTTTTAACTTGACTTTTAATCAAATACCTAAAGTTATCGGGTCACTTCGTGCCCTAATTCTCTTTACATGGACGTCTCACACCTATTACATTAACATTATTAGGGAACATTAAACTGCTTTTACAGTCGTTTCACATCACAAACTGTAACGACATCATTTATACATCTGTTTTTATTTACTCCATGTTCACTTTTGTCCATGTGTTTGTAACCTGTCTTGTATCTTGTTCTGTTTCTGTTTTTTTATCTTGTTGAAGTCTCTCTCAACGTATCCTGTCATATTGTATCTCCTATCTAAATCATGATCCAGATCTTGAATAAGAACTGTTTTTCTCCCTTGCTTGATAAACGGTAACATTGGTTTCCCCTTGCAGTTAGATGTGCTGCAGTATATCCATTCAAATGAGTACGTTCACGCTGATATAAACGCAGAAAACATTTACATCAAACCAGGACAGAAATCACAGGTGAGGACATTTCATTATTCCAACTGTACTCTATTAGTGTCCATGATTGAAATGCCTTTTACATTACTCTTTACTTGTGTGTGTGTGGTTAGGTTTACCTGGTAGGATACTGCCACGCCTTCAGATACTGTCCTGGTGATCAACATGTGGAGTACCGTGAGGACAGCCGGACGCCACACGAGGGCAGCATGGAGTTCATCAGCCTGGACGCTCATAAAGGAGCAGGTCAGTCCCTCCTCTGGACTCCTTTCACCAGCCAATCAGACGCCGTTTCACTCCACAAGCTACTGTACACTCAACACTCTCAGATGAATTTACATGAGCACCAGCTGCCCTCCTCCCACAGTCCATCTGTCTGCACACACAGGCGTCACATGATAACACTGATCTGATGTTTTTCTTTTTGAATGATTGTGATTTTATTTTAGTGTGACAGTTCTTTCAACCTTTGACATGTTTAATATGGAAACCACAATAACTAGGTGTCTCTAAATGTGAGGATTGTTTGGTGGTGTTGATGTTTCAGGGTGAGTGTGAGGGAAAACAGATGTAGTCATCGCTGTGTGTGTGTGTGTTTCCTCTCAGCTCCGTCTCGACGCAGCGACCTGCAGTCTCTGGGTTACTGCATGCTGCACTGGCACACAGGGACGCTGCCATGGACTCAAATCACTCACCCAGACCAGGTGGCCACGCAGAAACAGAGGTGAGAGAGTTGTATTCTTAAAAAAGAATAGGCAATTATTTTGATCCATCCATCAGTTGTCAATTGCATTTCTCATGCAATATTTGTATCTCCTGCTCTTTATTATGTCATATTTAGATTCATTACTTTGGGTTTTGGACTGGCAAAACAAGACATTTTAGGACATCAACTTGGACATTTTTGTACTAATATCTGATATATTTTTAGACCAAACAATAAACTTGCTAAAACAACCGTTAGCCATAGAGTTTATAACTGGGAAGTTTTAGTCAACACACCTTTGAATCTCCACAGAACTTGTATCAACATGCCTGCATAACACAAGCGTATAAGATTAAGTAAGTGGTCAAATATAAAGGAATAATCAAACTTTTCTCATTGTAGGTACATGAAGGATGTCCCTGCTCTGTTGAGTCACTGCTTTGAGAAGAATATAGTTTCCAGTGAGTTAAAATGTTTGTTATACAACAGATAACCCGTTTGATTCAATGTGCATTTTGCTGATATATTTCTGTGTGTGTGTCCCGTTGAAGGTGCATTTCAAGCGTACCTGACTAACGTGATGGCTCTGCAGTACACTGAGCAGCCGGACTACTCTGCACTGAAGGCCGGACTCAGCGCCGTGTTACTGCAGCTGGGGGGGGCAGCGGAGCAGCCGCTCAGCTTTTAGGTGAGGACGTTATCACTCTGCAACTTAGGTACAAGTATGTCGATTCTGGTCACAGGGTTCCTTCATTACACTACATTTCAATTAACTGATGCTTTATTCCAAAGCAACTTACAATTAGTGCAATAAACCATGAAGATAAAAACTCAGAAACCCGCAGGTACATTTGCTTCAAATAAGCCAAACCATTGTTAGTGCTGGTGCATTAATAATGTTGGTTCGGACACTTAGTGCAGTTATTTAATATTTTAAAAATGTAAATTGTTAATTAGGATTATTTGAAGTGGGTTTTTAGGTGTTTTTTTTATCCACAATTAGCAGCTGACACTCGGCACGCCTCCAGTTTGGAGAAACAGACAGGTGTAGTAGCAAAATGATAAGCAAACACTACTGTGGACAGGGGAATCAGCAACATGTCATTTTAGCCACCTTAAAGAAATCAATATCAGTTTAAGGGTACGACATATTTAGAACGGTTTCATATTTTAAATATAGCGTACATTCAGTTTGACGGTTGATTTGTTTAAAGGGGACCTATCATGCAAAATGCACTTTTGTACGTCTTTTATACATGAATAAGTGTCCCCGGTGTTCCAGGGAACTCACCAAGTGTCAGAAAACACAACCCTCTCTCTTTTCCTCCATACCCAAATCTCTAAAAACGGGGCTGCAACGGATCTGATATAGACTGATCCAGATTTGAAGATTCCTCTGACGTCAGGACGGCGGAGCTGACCTATCAGGGGAATGAGAGGTTGCCGTGGCATGGTAACAGCATGGTAACACGACGCTCGTAACTCGGCCCCCTCCTTTGCAGGGGGGCGTGGTCAGCTGCAGCGCATGCAAAGACAGGGTGGAGGAGAGCAAAATAGAGCGAAATTAGGCATGGCTAAAATGCATGATCTGTTTGGTATTTTGAAAAAGAAAACTTATAAATATACCTTATATAGGTATGGCCCTACAATATATTATTCAAATATAGCATGATAGGTCCACTTTAAGGTGGGTCAGTTTTTTAGCTTATGTTCTGCAGCTGCCCCTGTTCACATTGCCTTGCTCCTGGGATTTTAGGTTCTTATACACATAAATTAAGTACACAAATAGTTCAGTTGTAAGAAATGAGCGGGAAATGTGCCCTCTCATCCCCGGGGCATGAGACCTGGTCCAGAGGAGATGTAAACCTAAATATCAAAATGTTTGTTTATTATTTTGAAAGTTAGGCATTCTCTGTGATAATATTAACATGTGTACTGTGTTTTAATTTCAGAGAAATTGAAGAAAGAAGACTATTTGGAAGATTTTAAATATTTGTTTTATCATGTTGTGTTTTACTTAATTATTATTGCACTGAAGCCGAGTCTTTTAGAGTTCCATGTGTGCACTCGTGTTGGTGAATGGGTTTTGATGGGAATCTTCTTTTTGGGTGTGGTTTTTCATATTCATTGCACAGTGTTTTAAACAATGCAAGGTCAACGTTAATCTCCCTTAAATGTGAGAGCGATGCAAGTTCTTAATATGTGACGCACAGATTTGGGTTTTGTTGACATGTTGCGAGTTTACTTGTCACAGTGTTCCTCTTTTAGCAGATACCTTTAACAGTGGTTTGTCTTTGACATGAATTTACTTCTGCTAAACATTTCCTCAACATGAGCCAACAGACGTAGATCCACCCTTCCTTATATGTAGGCACAGTTAGTCTGCCTGTATAGAAAGCAATACATTTCATTTAAAGCAGTGCCTTAGTGTCCTTTATCAAAGAGCACAAGACATCTTGAGTTTAAGGCTTGTTAACAAATAAATTGTGTTTGAGTAAATGTTTTTGTTTTTTAACTTTTGTTGTTGTGAAGTTTTCTGTACTAATAACCCAGAGATAAACAGGCATTCAACACAACAGCAGACCTGGTCATTTTAAAGAAACCTTTATAAAGTTTAAACATTGCTGAACATAAACATTTTAACATTTCAAGACATATACAATTCTTTATATGAAACAGTAAATATCTCTTATTGTGCACACTCTTAAAGTAATTCAGAAAATAAACACTGTTATCTTTAGCCTGATCTCTCCTGTCGTGGCATTTTAAAACCTTACATCTCTGTCACTTGAGGCACTTTCTGAATGTCGAGGCTTTTGTAGAACAACGTAAAGCAAGATGCTGAAGGACTATAGCGCCCCCATGAGGCGGCTTCTGTACACAGCTGCAGACCTGATGGCTGCCTGCAGTGGAGCTGGCGCACACACGCTTCTATACAGACATGCTGGCAGTGTGAGGCAGCTACACATGCAGGTTTAAATATAGTTTTACTGCAGGTTGATTTCATGTTGGACCGGATGAGCTTTGAGCAGAAACTCAAAGTGTTTTTATTCAGTCCTTATATTACTTATCTTCCTGGGTTCAATGTAACTTCTGCTCTCGTGTACTTTTGAGTAGTTAACTCTCGATGATACGTAAATTAAAAGATCCCGCTTTGTAAATGAGATTGTGTCCACAGCACAAAATGTAAATCTTTAGACATCACATGCTCACATAGTGGAAAGAGCTCTGGGCTTTACACTGATTTAACACTGAGAATCATAACCTTAAAAGTAGTTTAACATCCACAAATACTGACAGTTTTGTATGCAACTCAGTAAGTGATTGTTTGTTACTCTGTTGATTGAAACAACTCTATTAACTTGAACTTAAAAACCATTAAAAAAAATATTAGATTACTTCAAAATATGCACTGTAATAAAGCCGAAAAACAAGGCCGCTTAAAGCTGTTCCTGAAATGTTTTGGACATTACATTTTCACATGAAAGGAACAGTTTATTAAAGTGTAAACTAAGTGGTATCCCGCTTTCACTCAGGCAACGTGATGAAGAACATGTTGAAGGAAAAGGACGTTTGAAGAGGGACTTCAAAACGCAGAAACCTGGAGGCTTATCGTTCTTGGTCAGAACAAGGCAAATATGTGCACAAACTCGGCCCGAGAGGACGAGCTTGTTTGTCTGAGCAGAAAGTGGAACATCCTCAAGGCCTCCGATCCGCAGCGTGATGGGGAGATGGCATGAGGAGATCAGAGTGGGAGAAATGGTTTAGCTGAGGCTCCTCCGTGTCCTTAGAAGACGGTAGTAGCCAATTGTTTGGGAGAGGAGGGACGCTCCTCCTGGCCATGTGACACGTGCTCTCCTGAAAGATCGAACACAGGAGGGAAATGAACACATCTCTCTCGCCTGCAGTGCTGTGGTCACATGACCAGCTGCAGCCTCTGTTTACAAACTCCTCTCACCGGGTAGATTTTCTCCCTTTTTCTCGCTGTCACCTTCCTTCTCGTCGGGCATCTCTATCTGACACAGATCCTGCACGTCCTCCACGCTCGATTCCTTTAAAAAAACAAACATGTTTTTCTCTTTGAAGTTCGTCAGACATGTTTCACAGTGGTATCATTGTTGGAGCCGTTTTCCTCAGAGCCATCTATTAGTTACGCATTCTTCCACTTAATGAGATCATCAGGGATTTATTTTTAATATAATTCTTTATGCTGCTCAGAGTTTTGTAACCCCAGTGTCTCTCCTCTCTCTCAACCATTACATTTTATGCAAATTAATCCCAGTTGAAAACACCTAAATATAAATAATCATATGGGCAATGATGGCGAATTTTAGAGACTTTTGAAGTTAGTTATGATAAATTAATATATGAACATACTAAACACTTTAAAAAAAAAGGCATTAATCGGACAGTTTGATTACCTGTGATTCAGAGAAACGATCTTCATCTGAGTTCCTGAATCCTTCGGGAGCTTCCATAAGGATCTGCAGACCGTCAGCCTCCTCGTCATCGCTGCAGAGAGACAACAGGGACATACATGGTGAGTCAAAATTAAACACCATAACAGACACTGAGGGAACTATTCAAACCCAAGATTCAGGATAGAAGGAAAATTGATTTTTTTTAGTGCCAAATACTTGACAGGCTCGAGCAGCAGGCAATGATCACTAACACTGACCTTCCTCCAGAGTGAAATCTCTCTTCCTTTTCTTCTTCCTCCACTTTCTCTTCCTCCATTTTGATTTGGTTCTCTTCAGGTTGCGCAGCATCCTCCTCCTTTTTCTCTTCTACTACCTGTTTATTTCCTCCCTCCTTTCCCTCTTCCTCCTCATCTTCCTCGAGGTCAGAGCAGTTGAGAAAGTCGAAACTTTCAAGGGCCGTCTCGACTTCTAGATTGAAACTAGAAGAAACTGGAAAAGGAACCTACGGAGAAAACAAAGCAGTGTTTAAAGTTAAGGTATAAGGTGTTTTTTATTTAGTTATATGTTACGTTTTAGATTTTTTGTTTTGTTTTGCGAAGCACTCTGTGTTACCCTTCGTGTATGACAACTGCTATACAAATAAAGTATGATTGAGAATAAACTTCACAAAAACAATGAAGTGAAGCTCACCGTTGGAGGGTCCTGCGGTGGTTTGGACTCCTGGACGGACTGACTGTGTTTCTCTGATGCTTCGTCCTCTGCTGCTTCAGTGGTGCTGTCCTTTGTTTCTGCTTCAGTCTGTCCAGCCTGCACTGGCAAGTCCTCAGACTGTTTTACCTCCTCTGCTGAAATACACACATGTGGGACCCCACTTTCAGACAAATCCTGAGTGGACACAGCGTGTACAGAGGACACGTCGGGGCAGGAGCAGCTCAGGTCTGCCGAGGTTTCAGAGAGGTCCGCTGACTGGAGAGACGCTCGATCAGCCGCGGTGCAGTCATCGCTGTGAGAGCAGGAAGTCTGCAGGTGGCCGTTTGGCACCGCGTCCGTCTGAGAGAAAACCTCCCCGGCTTCGGTCTCGTCCTCCTCCTGATTGGAGGAGAGCGACGGCGTTGAGGCGCTGGACTTGTGTGGCGTGAAGGACAGCTGAGAGGTGAGCGTGGTTTGCAGCATGTTGGAGGCCGTGAGCTTCTGAGCGTGGTGAGCGAGCGCCGGGCTGGACGAGTCGTCGGAGGATTCAGACGAGTTGGACCAGACGGTGCCGTTCTCCACTTCCCCCTGCCGCCTCAGCAGAGACTAGACAGGAAACACGGAGGACATTAACTAAAAGGCCCAAAGGTATGTCGACATACTTCAGGATCACAGGTTTTAAGTGCATGTTGATTATCAAATTACATCACGAAAAATGTAATTGCGTTAGGGTTGCAATTAAAGATTATTTTCATTATTGATTCATCTGCAGATTATTTATGGGAGTCCAAGGGGAAGTTTTTTAAGACATTCAGTTAATATGATAGAAAACAGACTAGGTAAAACTACATTTTTGAGAGGCTGAAGACCGCTTTCTCTACTATTTCTGCATGAAGGATGACTGAAAATGCTGATAGTGTTGACACATCGATTAGTCCATTAGCAGCAAAATAATAATTGCCAACTCTTTTGACAATGACTAATGGATATGGTCATTTAACAAGAGAAAATGTCAAAGCTTCACTATTCCAGCTTCTTAAATGTGAGGCTGTTATTGATTTCATGCCATTGCTTTTCCTATCTGTCTGTAGTCTATGAGTATGATATAAAGCAGAGAAAAGTAGAACATCTCTCATGAGAGAGACTGAAAAAACTTCCAATTTTGCTTTAAAATCAAATCAAAAAGATGGTGTTTTGTTCAATCGATTAATTGACAAATCCTTTCAGATGTTAAATGCAGTGCATTTGATCAATAAAACAGACAAATTCCTTGATCCAGTTCTCAAACTGTTGATCAGAGACGCTAGTAATGGGCAAGGATGAAAATACGAAGTGGAACTAAAGGGAAATATCCAGCGTCATGTGGGACAAAAAAGACGAGTGGGACATAAACAATTTTTTTGACTATAAAGGGAATTACAGACATAATTCATTGATTTGATTTATCAATTGAGCACATCAAACATTTGCTGCTTACATCTTAGATCTGGCCTCTTTCTCCCTCATACTATAAACTACAAATATAAAAGTGTTTAGCTCCTGCACTTAATGCAATATGTGGGCACTGTTAATAAATAATTTGGGTAAAGCTGTGATTGTTAATATTTTAAACACTAAATCAAGATCATCAAAGTTTTCTTGAATTCCCCCCCTTAAAAATGTAAGTAGTCACTCCCTTGATTGACAAATGCCCTGATCATTTAGTAAGCCCTAAAAATCTCAAAATAATCATATATACAGAACACATGATCTGGTTTTGAATTAAATAATCAAAATCAACAACAATATAATCACGTTGCATCGGACAAAATGTCTGTGATTGTCTTTTTCAATTTTCAATTTTAAATATCATTTTTTTCTAATATATATTATCAATCGGTTTGGTCACTATGAACTAAACTACAACTACGTCCCAACACACCGACTGTACTGAGGTGAATCTGGGTGTAGTGCGGCTCAATTCACAACGTAAGGACGCCGTCCTGTCCGCCATGACTTCGTGAAGCGCCTCCACCAGCGAGCGGCTCGGCCTGGGCCTGCCCTGAGGCGTGCTCTTCAGCGATGTGAGGAAGAGGAGGGACATATTGGAGCTCTACTCAACCACTATTAAACAGCTACAAGGGCCACAGCTCTGCTCACACATGCTGCTGTCACACGCCGCGCTACCGCTATCATTCATTCTCCGCGCATTAGCTACGCCACTCCCACAGCCACATGTCCTCACACACAGCGCTCTGCGAACACGCTCACACACATCAGAGCTACCGCTACACACAAAACAGTGGGGGAGTAGCTGAAATAGAACAAGCCAATGAAATGACAGTAATAATGGCCATCAGGAGGATTAAATATACAGTATCTATATGATGTACAAATGAATAGCAGCAAACAGTGGTGGAAGAAGTATTCACATCATTACCTCAAGTAGAAGTAGTAATACTATACTCTAAAAATACTCCATTAGAGGTAAAAGTCCAGACTTCAAAATGTTACTTAAGTAAAAGTATTATAAGCAAAATGTACCTTAAGCATCAAAGGTGTGTACTATTATTGCACTGTATAAGCAGTACTGCATAATATTATATAAGCATGTCAAGTGGTTTCGGTAAAACATTTTAGCAGCGGTGTTAAGTGTCAATAAATAGGGATACTCAGAGTACAAGTACCTCAAAATGTAATTAGATTACAGTACTTGACTAAATGTACTTAGTTACTTTCAACTACTAGTAGTTAAAGGTTTACGACAGGGGCCAAGATTGGCCATTAAGAGAAACAATGTAATAAAGTTAAGGTGAATAAAGTTAATGTTACTCACATAAAACACCTGCTCCCGCATAGAGGGCGTGTCAGGAGGGCTTTGATTGGACAGCAGCCGCTTGGTGACTGTATTGGTGGAGGACGTCTGGTCGTCCTTATCAAACGGACTAAAAGACAAAGGAAAAAGCAGGACAACGGGTGAGAAACTGAACAAAATACACCTGAACAATTGGTAAAAACTGGTAAAAGTGTTGAACTATAATAATAAAAAGGGCCAATTAGACGTCTAATTACCTCCAGGTGACCTCCAGGTTCAGCTTCACCGTCCCGAGGTCGTTGATGTCCACGGCGAGCGTCTGGGGCAGCGGGCAGAAGAGGTCGAGCATCTCGCAGGACACGCTGCCCACCACCACGTGATTGGCCAGGCTCTTCAGCTCCGTCACCTGGATAAACAAAACAGGAAAACCTCAGCGAGAACTTCCAAGGAATGACGAAGTTAATCCATGGGATTTTTACGTTGAATTTGAGATTATTTAGTTTAACTCTGTGGCAAGCAAATAAACAAAACTTTTTCCATTTTTTTTAAAGCTCATATGCATTCGCAAGAGATAAAATGCAAACGTGTAATAAAACAGTCACAGTAGGATGTTGTTGTCTCGTGTAGCCACTTTTTAGCAAAGGCCTTTTTTAATGACACATCAAATCCTCCAAGATTGCTGAGTAAATTCACACTAAAGAAACAAATGTGTATTATGTCCACACTAAATGCGATAAAGTTACTGCTGTTTGAGTCACATTTGCTAAAAGCAACACATCAGTTTTACGTAAATATTTAGCCTCTTTAAAAATAACACTTTGAATTTGTGGCTTTGAATGTTTTCATTGGAATTGTTTACAATGACAAACATTAGGAATAACGCTCGCCATGCCTTTTTAAATCTGATTTCCTTACCTTGATTGACAGCAGTTCTGTGACGAGAGGCAGGAAGATGTTCTCTTCCCCGTCCCATATCTGCTTGTTGCTGACTTCCATGCGGCCTCGTAGCCTCCAGCGCTGACGCCCATAGCGCATTAGGACCTGATGGAACCAAAAACAGTGAATGTGATTCAGCAAACACAGACTCTGTCACAATTTGTAGCTACTTCCTTGTGTTTATGATTCTTACCTCATACTGGTCACCAGAACAGAGCCGTGCGAAGCCAGCGAGGCCTGAAACATGTAAATAGAAAAATGAGAACTGTGCGATGGCAGAGAGCGGATGAAAATAGGAAGTGGTAGAAAGTGACTCACCCTTCATCTTGACATGAAATTCTCCCATCTGGCTTTCTAATTCACTCTCAAGGGAGCACATGTGCTGCAGGGACAGATGGAGGCATCGGTTTGAATAATTTAACAGAGATTTGAATTTACAGCACACATCAATCACCTGTGATTTATATAGCCTGATGTCAAAGAATACACATTTGTCTTAGGGGGATTTACAGCATACAACACCCTCGCAGTGGGAACATTTAAGAAACCCCAGGGAGAGCAACAAAAGGAGGGATCCCAGAACCGACTGACATGAAATAAATGTTGTATATATACAGAATAAACAACATGACAACATATTGAGAAAAATTGTGAATGTATATTAAAATGAAGGATCTAGGAGGAGGTCACAAAGCTGCCATTTGCCACCAAAATGAAAAAAACATCCGCTCACCTCGGTGCACTCCCTGTAGCCCTTGTTGGCCTCACTCAGGCTCTCTCTGGCCTCCCGGCTGCCCACGGCCACGTTAAAGGCCGCCACCATCTTACTCGCTCCGTCACGCAGTCGCCGCTGTATACAATACGCATCGTACAGCTCCTCTACCTGCAGAAGCATATATAATAATATAGTTTATTTGTATAGAGCTTAACAGAGAACACACAAGACACGATACAAAAACAAGACATGACATACTACTTTCAATAGGCATGAGGAAACAATGGATGATTGCACTGTTCTTTATTGTTTGTTTGTAGCCTTTATTTAACCAGGTTAAAAAATCCCATTGAGATCAACGATCTCTTTTTCAAGGGAGACATGCAACGTCAAGAATAGTGGGCCGTGTAACTCAATAGTTGAGGATGAAAATAAACCTTAAAATTACAGAACAAATTATAAGAAAGCCTTTTGACAATATTTATTGAAATAGTGGTAGTTTTATTCATTCATTTGATGAAAAAGATCAGATATGCAAAACTATATATTTTTTTGAAATAACTCAAGCCCTACTGAGCAATGGCAGCTTTTAACAGCACTGACACAATATCCCATTATAAATTAAACATTAGCATTAATTTAAAGTCGTGTTTGTGTCCATCTAATGAGTTTAAGTCCAATATTAATTCTCTTTTAGCTCTGATTTCTCCACCAACTCCCGAGGGAAATATCGTGCAGTCCTTTGATCCATTGTTTTAATATAAATGTTGATTAGTGCAGCATCAAGGTAAAAGATTATCTTTTTTTTTGTAATCATGTATTTATGTATACATACCTTGCTGAGATGGAACTCCAGTCGGCGCATAAACCTCTCGATGGCTTTCACTTGCTATAAAAAAAGAAAGGAATGATAATACAGGACGTCTTTCTTTTATCTGTTTACAGTTTCAATGTGAATGAAACTCACCTTGTCCAGCTCATACAAAGACCCCTGCAAAACAAAATAAAGCATTTAGCATCACAAAGTGTCAGATTAACATGCTGACTTCCAGCCTGGCACTGAAAGGAGGTCAGGCTGGAGTGACTGGTTTGACTAGAGGAGCTCTCACCAGACGACCGTTCCTCTTGTTCTCTCGTGACTGCTGACCCAGGCTGTCCAGCTCCAGCTGGTGGACCTGCAGGTACGACCTAACAACAACACAAACACATTACTGTTTAATCCTCATTTACAAAAGCAGACGTATTCACTCCACCTGTCAGTCGTGTGTGGACTCAATGCAAACAGAGTCTGCGTTGTGTTTACTCACTGTAAGCCTCGCCGTAAGGCAGCGTAGACCTCGTCCAGCCGCTCGGGCTGCGGGATTTTAGTGGGTGGCTGTTTTGTGGAGCCTGTGAACATCCTGCTTCCTTACAAGGCACGTTTCTCTAGGATCAAACAGGCCTGAGGGAGGGAGAGGAACATGGGCTCGTTTCTGATAAGACCTCCAGGGTTATTTCAAGAAGCACATTCAAAATAGGCAGCAAGGAAACTGGCATGGGAAGAAATGGAAATATCATCCAGGCCAAAATAAATGTGATACACAATGTTATCCTCATAATCCTAAAGATATGATTGAAACTCTTAAAAAGGCACTTAAACATACTAGAATCATACTGATAGGATTTATATTTAAAGTTTTTGATAAAAAAAACTAACAATCCTATATAGCAGGGGTTCCCAACCTTTTTTCCCAAGAGCCCCCCCAAATGACTCCTGTTGGAAGTTGCGTAAATAATCTACAGACCGATCTGATCGGAGCAACTGTGACAAATAATCTGAAACCGGCATGGACAATGACTATGTTTTAAAAATGCGCTTATCCAGAAAAGCCTGGTTTGGACACTTTACGGGCAGAAGAAACATTTATATTAAAGAAAGAATTATACATTTCTGTCTTTTTATGCCTTTAATAGCTACTAACTTGAATTTTTATTCAAATTAATTAATCAATTATTTTTTACATTTTATTGTAATGTAGAGACAAGGCTTTTAGTGACAATCATGTATTGCGTTACAATTATATGTAAAAAAAAAAAGAAAAAAAAAAAGTCTAAATATGATATTTGACCTCAAATCATCTGAGGCCTGGCGACCCCCCTGCGATCTTTGGCGCCCCCCCAAGTTGGGAACCACTGCTATATAGGCTAATCCTTAATCATAAAGTCCAAACAAATAAAAATAGCAACATTACGTGAGTCTATTCTATTTTTATTTTTTTAAATCATGCTTTATTTATCACTTTGCTACAATGATGGCGAGACAGACAGATTTCTGCTCACCTGCGGAGTGGAGAGAGATTGTCACTATTCTAGCATGCTTGGAGAGTTGAGTGTAGCGCTGTGGCTTCAACAAACCCAAGGACATGTCCTGTAATTACACAAAAAGGAGACATTAAGGACAGAAATGTCACACTTTACTTCATACCTCACTGTACCTGACAGTGCTCCGGCTCTGTGGTTATCAAGGACTCTCATAATTACAGAAGTCACAGGAAGAAAAATGGTGAAAGGGGGGGGGGGTTGGAAACACACTCTTTCACTTCCTTGGTTTTGGCCACATTGTTTTGTTTAAAAGTCTGAGACTGTGAACGACACACACGCAGCTACCACAGTGGCCACCACGGACAACATGAAGGAGTACAGTCTGCTTTTGCTTCTCTTCCCCTTCCTTTCCTACTTCTCCACCCCCTCCACATCCAGCAGCAGCGCACAGGAAGTCTCATGGCTGACTCTACACAGGAAATTCTACACAGAAGTTTGGAAGGAGAATATAAAAACTATCCCTCCGCTGTTGGTGCCAGGGTGTAAAACTTGAACTCTTTTTTTACTCCAAGATAAACCAGTAAATGTGCAGATTAACAGCAGACAGGGGAAACTATAGGAAGAGAGGGTCCCGCATGGGTTTATCTAGTCACAAAAGAGATTACATATTTAAAGCAAACTAAAGCTGTCAAGCAGGAAACCATCCCATATTAACACATGGGATCTGTGAATGAGCCCATAGCACAGGACAGAGCCCATTGTTTTACACCAAACTCAAAATCAAGAGAGATTTTTATAAACATATGGGATTACATATTCCACCTGTTGCAAAAGAAACAAACAGATAATGGTTTTACTTGATCAAAGCTTGTTAGGGACAACATTGCTGACTGAGAGTAAGCTGTAAACTCCCTGCTGTGACTCTACGTTCTCCTGGACGTTGGCTCGGGGTGTAGCATGCCGGGGGTTCGGCTAAACTGCTAATCTAAGCTGCACACTGGGAGGATTAACTGGAGTTGCTCAGGGGTCAGAACAAGGCAAAGAAAAGATGCTATACCAGAGAGCCTTTACGTCAAAAAACAACACACCAACAACTACAGCTGCACCACATATTGTTTTTTTATCAGCATCATGATGTCAACTCTCACGATGAACACATCAGGAAAGATTGCTATAATGCACTAAGGGATTTTTTTTTAATTAGTTGAAAGTAAATGTAAACTGATCAAATGTAACGATTATATATTTTATTATTAGTGTTTTAGAGTGTGTTTGCTAAAAGAACAAATCCGCTAGCTAAATTAAATCTTTAGCTAATGTCTTTATTATTACAGCCAATAAATAGTTACAAAACTGAAATAAATGTACATTGATTTTGTTTTAGTCGTTTTTTTAACCAGGTAATGATGTTTGCTTGGTTTCAGTTTACTAATACATTCACAGCTTTTTTTAGTTACAGTTTCAGATTAATATTAGAATCCTGATTTAGCACTATACTGAATATATTAGAAAAGCGGAACTGGGTACACTCTCTGTCTATGTGCCTCAAGTTATATCGCAATATTTGACAACATTATGGCATGTTTTCCTTATATCATGCAGCCCTAACACCAAACACTGTTACCAAAAATGGCCTAATGACTTGTGCTGGACTGTGACTTGCACCCTGGGGTGGGCACAGCTTTAAAAGTGCAAAGTCACAATGGTGATACACACATTTTTTACTCTCCCACCCACCCATAAATAGCTCAGTGGCCTTCAGTAATATTAATGATTCTGAATGCCAATTACTACTCGGTCAGATGTGCTTTTATCGCCCCCCCCCTTACATTAGAGATCATTAACTGGATTAATCCTCTCCTCAGAGCGGCGGGAACAAAGAGGACACTGTTTCCAATCACCTCACAAGACTGGAGTTTTGTCTGAAAAAAGCCTTTGGTGCTCTCACTGCATTCACAAGCGCATGCAGTCTTGTTCAGTAAGAAGTCTGGGCCTGCAACCATCTCAGAAAGGGTTGAAAATAACAATTATTTGTATTATCAAATAATCTGCCAATTATTAGATCTATTCGATTCATTGTTACAGTAACTGCTTTCCCAGTTTCATTAAGTCCATAACCAAAAGATATTCAGATTAGAAGGATATAAAACAGAGAAAAGTAGGAAAACTCCATATGTGAGAGTTGAAACTGAAGTTTCTTCTGATTTTGCTTGAAAAATCAACTGATTATCAAAATAACTGCAGATTATTATTTTGTGGATCGTCTGAAAGATAAATCAGGGCTGCAACTCATGACTTTATTAAAGGCTAACTATTTTATTAGTTGATAAATTATAATATTCCCCAACTATGTTGTACATTGTTGAAGTAATTCTATTATGCAATAATGTCTAATGGTTTTAGCCTCTCAAATATAGAGATGTCCTGCTTTTCTCTGTTTTATATCACGTTCACAGAATAAACAAATACAACAAGACATCTAAAGATACATCCTTGGACTCTGAGGAGCTATTAATCTAATAAACAATCAGCAAATCAACTAATATAAACCAATTGTTAGTTGCAGACACAAATAGATTCAATCCCACCAAGTGTTCATTGTTGGCTTGTCATCATACAAAATGGTGAAAGAAAGTCATGCATGTGACGTTTGGAGATTAGACATAATCACTACTGGAAGTGATTAATTTCCTCACGATTAGTTGATCCACTAATCGACTAAACATTGTTCCATTAGTGCAGATATAAATAACTACGTAGCTCACACCCCATTAGACCCGGTTACATCCATACTTTGTTGTGTGTTTGAGGAAGAGGAGGAGGAGGATGAGGGGTAATGGTGTTACAATAAAAAGCAACCACTTCTACTCCAGATTACTGGATTACCCGGCGGCAGCAGCAGGCCACTGAGGCGGATCAACACGTTCATCCATCACGGTCTTTACTCCAAGTAGAAACAGCACAGGATGGGGCTCAGAAAAGCTAATTTAGGGAGAAAAACTGTGTCGTCCAGATTTGGTATTCCGCACATATCCCACCCCAGCCCCCGGAGCTCATCACAGGCCACAAAAAAAGTCCACCCCCGTCCACACCAGGACCCCCAATACCCTGCTGCCTGAAAGTGTCCGTCCACACAACAAAACACCAGAAAAGCAGTAAGGAAATACGCGGATTAAAGCCAATTACAGCCAGTTTGGTGAATATAATTTCGATAACATCACAGGAAAGCAACTTGGTCGGACGGACTCATGACCATGTAGAGAAAAAATCTTCTTGTTGTTGTGACCTTGTCGATTAAAAGCATCCTCTTACCTCTGATTAAATGTCCGACACACCGGAGAAAACGACCGGGGTCTCATTTCCAACACGATGCTCCACACAGTTTGCAGAGGTTTACAGTTATTCTGGGCGCTGTCCCTCTCCTTGATTCGCAGTTTTTTGTGTCCACCGTCAAACTGGCAGAAACTACCAAAGACAACTTCCGGTGGGAGGTTTTCATCATAAAAGCCGCACAAGTGAACCCGAAATTGCAGATGAAATGAAAACATAAATACGCAGATATTAATAACTACAATAAAGCCAAATAAACAGGGGTAGAATGCCATCATTAATGTGTAATTACATTACAAAAAGACGCACCCTTGGTAACATAATCATATGAAATAGAAAACATAAAATGCATCACATAAGATGGAAAATACGCTAGAGCTCACTGTAAATAACAATATAAAAATACAATTTATAAAATAAAATCAATACCCATACAAACAAAAAATACATGTATTTTCTTCCAAATATTTGTATAATTAGCAGCGACACGTTAGATGCCTTTTTAAAGTTCTGTCTGGTGTCAATAGAGCTTTTTTTAATTTATTTTGTATACAAATTATTCATTTACTGTAGCCTAACAACACATGTTATAATAAGCCATCATGTGATTTATTATAAGTGCAGATAACTTAAATAACAGTAGTTCATGATTATCTGCAAAATACCTATAACTGTAGTCATCAAATCAAATACATATAGTGGTTTAGTAAGAGTGAGCTACTTTATATCCCCTCTTTAGTGTAAGCTGTAAGGTGCCATGAAATAAAAACGCCCATGTTAAGTACATGTAACACAAAATAACAGCGGTTGAGTGGTGTAATTAGTGCATTTCCACCATTGCTGTAAAAAGTCACATTTGATAAATTACCTGACCATATCTGCATGTTTTTTTTAAATATTTTTTATCAAATAGATATGAATTAAGGCAAGGCAAGGCAAGTTTATTTATATAGCACCTTTCAACACAAGGCAATTCAAAGTGCTTTACAAAAATGAAAGACATTACGAAAATGGCATTTAAAAACAGTCATTCAAAAGCAAAGATAATAAAATAAACATTAAAAGAGCATAATAACTGAACTCTGCTTCTCCATGTTTAGTTCTGACTCTGGGGACAGAAAGCTGACCAGTCCCAGAAGACCTGAGAGTTCTGGATGGTTCATAATTTAGCAGTAGGTCAGAAATGTATTTTGGGCCTAAACCATTCAATGCTTTATAAACCAGCAGCAGTATTTTGAAATCAATTATTTGACACACAGGAAGCCAGTGTAAAGACTTCAGAACTGGAGTGATGTGATCCACTTTCTAGTGTTAGTGAGGACTCGAGCAGCGGCGTTCTGAATTAGCTGCAGCTTTCTAATAGATTTTCTAATGAGACCTGTAAAGACACTATTACAGTAGTCAAGTCTACTGAAGATAAAAGCATGGACAAGTTTTTCCAAATCCTGCTGTGACATTAGACTTTTAATCCTAGATATATTCTTTAGGTGATAGTAGGCTGATTTAGTAATTGTTTTAATGTGACTGTTGAAACTCAGGTCAGAGTCCATGACTACACCTAGATTTCTGGCTCTATCTGTTGTTTTGAACATTGCAGACTGAAGCTCAGCGCTAACTTTCATACGTTCTGCCTTGGCTCCAAAAACCATTACCTCAGTTTTATCTTTGTTTAATTGGAGAAAGTCCTGACACATCCAGTCATTGATTTGTTCAATGCACTTACTCAGTGTTTGAATTGGAGCATAGTCTCCTGGTGAAATGGTTATGTAAATGTAGGTGTCATCCGCATAGCTATGGTAACTTATTACATGTAGATGTTAAACAGAAGAGGCCCCAAGATGGAGCCTTGAGGAACCCCACGTCATATTTGTCAACTCAGATGTGTATTTTTACCTATAGAAACAAAGTTGTTTCTGTCCTTTAAGTAGGATTCAAACCAATTTAGAACTGTTGCCGAAAGTCCCACCCAGTTTTCCAGTCGGTCTAGTAATATGTTGTGGTCAACAGTGTCAAACGCAGCACTGAGATCTAATAATACTAACACTGAAGTTCTGCCACTGTCTGTGTTTAAGTGGATGTCATTGAAGACCTGTGGCCACTTTGTAAATTAAACCTTCATTGTAACACGAAATTAAATCACTCGTTTTATTTTGAAATGTCGCTCCTAAAACCGGAAATCATGTTTCTGCTAGTTGCTGTGGCAACAAGGATGTCTTGAGTCTGTCACTGTTTTGCTGCTTGTGCTTTGCTGGCGACGCCGTGGTGAATCCAACGGAAAAACACGGACATGCTGAGTTTCCGAGGGAGAAACAGTGTCAGCATCTCCCAAAAACACAACTGACACCCAGGGGTGGTCCGGTGAAACGTGTAGGTTACATTCAGGAAGTTAAATGTATTTGGTGCACGGTGTTGGGGCCGTTGATCCTAGTTTGTCTGAGCCGGGGCCGGGGAGGAGGGGGCGGCGATGAAGGACAGCATGTGGCGCTTTCTCCTCCAGAGCTCCAACAAAACAGGACGTAGCAGCTGGCAAAAAGCAAGAGTGCTGGTTTTAATTTCCTTTATTAGTTCATTAAATAGCTGCCGGCTGAAAATAAACTGCGCTTTTTAAAGTGTGTATATAACAATGATTCAGAAGGAGGTTAAGTTAAATATAACTGGACGAAAGAAAAGCGTAATATTCAAGTTAACTATCACTACTAAATTAAATCCTGATAGCATGCTGTCACCACCTAACCTAACTAGCTTAACTAGCTACCTATTTTAACGGTTCTTGTCTTGCGATACTGGTCCATTTGTTTCTGCGTCATTTAGTTTACTGCTAACATAATATCAACACTGTAGGGAGAAGTACTCAGATCCTTTACTTAAAGGTTACCTATTGTGCAAAAACCAAATGTTCATGTTTGTATACATTAATATGTATTCTAGTAGTCTCCAAAAATATTTTAATAAATCTGAAAAGGTGTATAACATGAGATCTTTAAGTAAAAGTACAAATACTATAGTCTTAAAGTACTCCATTACAAGTAGAAGTCCTTATTTCAAAAATGTTACTCCAGTACAAAAATTACTCAGTCTACACAATGACCCATTTCAGAACTATATCAAGTACAGAAGTATCATTATCTATGTACCTCAAGTATTAAATGTAAAAGTACTTGTTACTGTAGATGAGCAGTACTGCATTATATCAGCATATCATGTGCGTTATATACAAAGAAACTGACAGGTAAATAAAGTGTAGTGGAGTAAAAGTACAATATTTGCCTCTAAAATGAGTCTAAGTATAAAGTAGCTTTAAATGGAAATAGTCAACTAAAGTACAAATATGTCACAAAAGTACTTAAGTACAATACTTGAGTAAATGTATTTGGTTACTTTCCACCACTGCACAAAAATATATAGCCAAATTGTTACGAATCAATTAACAACACAAATGAACAGGAATATTTTTTATTTAACAGATACATAGGTTTATGTATTTAAAAGCTGCTGAATTGATTAAAACAACATACAATGCATTTCAACATGCACTGACAAAACATAAATTAATATAAATACTTATGTAAACAACATTTAGTTCAAGCAAAGATTTGTATAGCTTTTTGCTGTAGTTGTTGTCCAAATACATATTTTCATCTCTTAAAAACAGGGAAGTTATCTTTACTTCATCAAATGTACATTCCTTTATGTAAAACTTTCTGAAATTATAATATTGATTAGAAAATATTGAGTTTAACTAACAAAAACATTTTCCAGTAAAAGTTCAAAATGACATATTATCCAAGACAAACGTAGCAATATCTCTCACAGTCAGCTGTAACAATAGTAAGCTTTAGCTTAAGTTACAGCAACTTCTACAACTATTTCATAACTAGGAGGTTCCCAAACCTCAGAAACCACTAAAAGGCTCAAAATGTCTGTGTTGTCAGGGTAAACAAAAACATGGAGCTAACCATTTTACAGAGGAATGACATTAAAGACATAGAGCTAAACAACACGTATTGAGTTGAATAGGCCTATGGTATCCACGTCCCACGGTTTAATGTTTGTGGTCTTTTTCACTAAAGGCAGTTACATCTTTTAGAAACTGGTTAACAATAAAGGGATTCTCTAGCCCTGATTCAGTAGCACCGATACTGTGTGAACAGTATCAGTAAAAGACAATAATGGGGACTTAACCCCTGTGTTGTGTTCAAAAGCTGTTACCGTTCATGGTGTTCGCGGGTCAATTTTGACCCATGATTTATCTGTCCAAAACACACCAAAAAAAAGACTATCATCCAATATTGTTTTAACTACATCATAACTAACTTATAATGCATTCATAACCGTACAATCCTGTTGTAATTTAGTGTTATGGCCCAAAACACATTACACCACATATTGCACACGTGCATGTGTGTGTTCAGGTTCAAGTGTTAGTGTACATATTCTTTGAGAAAGGTCGAGTTCCTGTGGGGGGAGGGGGGCAAAGGGAGGGGAGACCAGGTGCATGTTGCGAAAAATTATTGTTACAGTGTATGAAGGGGGTGGGGGTGGGGTGTCTAATGTCAAAGATGAATCTTGATTGGGCCAAATTTGACCTCGAGTCACCCAAAACAATCTCCCCAGACCCGAACACCAAATTATACACTTTTTTTTTTAGAAACCTTCAGACTTGGCTAAAATGTTCAAAAGCAGTTTTGTAGTGTTTATATAGCTGTTGTGGAGGATATCATGAAGCCTTGTTCCGATAAAAAAAACTAGAGCGTAGTTATTATATAATTTAAACTTGAAACGGGTCACGGGAGACCCGAACACAACATAAGGGTTAATGCAAGTGTGAAGCTGCTGTGTCTACTGAATGAAAGCTAACATAATGGGACTTAGTAGTTTTAAACAAGAAAATAAATTATACCTCTGGGACCAAAGACTATTTATTGTGGTGTGAAAAAATCAGGACATACTTTGGGCAACTATCTTACAGTTCAACTAATACATTTCGGATTAAAAAAAAATTAGCACTATTATCAATCGTCAAAATCAGGATTTAATTTTTTTTTATTAAAATGCTAACATTGTGGATTAAATATCTATCTTATGAGATGTAAGGCAAGGCAAGTTTATTTATATAGCACCTTTCAACACAAGGCAATTCAAAGTGCTTTACAAAAATGAAAGACTTTAAGAGCATTAAGAAACATATTATAAAATGATATCTAGAAACACTAATTTTTACATTACATTGCATTTAGCTGACGCTTTTATCCAAAGCGACTTACAATAAGTGCATTTGACCAAGAAGATACAAACTTGAAGAAAACAGAATCATATAGTACATCAGGTTTCATAGAGCCAAAACATTTCAAGTGCTACTCAACTAGCTTTAGATAAGCCAGTCCTTTATTAGTATATGAGTGCTTTGTTAGTCATTTTATTGCTCGAAGTGGAGTCGAAAGAGATGGGTTTTCAGTCTGCGCCGGAAGATGTGTAGGCTTTCTGCTGTCCTGATGTCAATGGGGAGCTCATTCCACCATTTTGGAGCCAGGATAGCAAACCGACGTGTTTTTGTTGATGGGAACTTGGGTCCCCCTCACAGTGCGGGTGCAGCGAGCCGTTTGGCTGATGCAGAGCGGAGTGCACGTGCTGGGGTGTATGGTTTAACCATGTCCTGGATGTAGGAAGGACCAGATCCATTCACTGCATGGTACGCAAGTACCAGTGTCTTGAAGTAGATACTGGAAGCCAGTGAAGGGAGGAGCGGTGTGGTGTGGGAAAATGTTGGTAGGTTGAAGACCAGACGAGCCGCTGCATTCTGGATGAGCTGCAGAGGTCGGATGGCACATGCAGGTAGACCAGCCAGGAGGGAGTTGCAGTAGTCTAGGCGTGAGATGACGAGAGCCTGGACCAGAAGTTGCGTCGCTTTCTGGGTCAGGAGGGGACGTATCCTCCTTATGTTGTAAAGAGTGTATCTGCAGCAGAGGGTTGTAGCAGCGATGTTTGCAGTGAAGGACAGGTTGTTATTTAGGGTCACACCCAGATTCCTTGCAGTCTGAGTCGGGGAAACAACAGAGGGGCCGATGTTGATTGTTAGGTCAAGAGTGGGACAATCTTTTCCCGGAAGAAAAAGCAGTTCAGTCTTGTCAAGGTTGAGCTTGAGGTGGTGAGCAGACATCCACTGAGAGATGTCTGCTAGACAAGCAGAGATACGTGCGACGACCTGGGTCTCTGAGCGGGGAAAAGACAGAATTAGTTGGGTGTCTTCAGCGTAGCAGTGGTATGAAAAACCATGCGGGCTAATGACTGATCCGAGCGAGTTTGTGTACAGAGAGAAGATGAGGGGACCAAGGACAGAGCCCTGAGGGACCCATGTAGTTAATTGACAAGGGTCGGACTCGGACCCTCTCCAAGTTACCCTTTAGATGCGGTCTTTGAGGTATGAGGTGAGGAGGGAAAGTGCAGAGCCTGAAACTCCAAGTTCTTGGAGAGTGCGAAGGAGGATCTGATGGTTCACCGTGCAGTTCCTTGAGAATATGAGATAATTAAAAATGATATCAAATGACATTTAAAAACACTAATTTAAAAGCAAAGATAATAAAAGTTACAGTGCAGTTTAAGATAGGAATATATCAATTAAAAGCAGCGGCAAAAAGAAACGTCTTCAGCCTGGATTTAAAAGTAGTAAGAGTTGCAGCAGACCTGCAGGTTTCTGGGAGTTTGTTCCAGATATTTGGAGCATAATAACTGAACGCTGCTTCTCCATGTTTAGTTCTGACTCTGTGGACAGAAAGCTGACCCGTCCCAGAAGACCTGAGAGATCTGGATGGTTCATAATTTAGCAGGAGGTCAGAAATGTATTTTGGGCCTAAACCATTCAAAGCTTTATAAACCAGCAGCAATATTTTGAAATCAATTATTTGACACACAGGAAGCCAGTGTAAGGACTTGAGAACAGGAGTGATGTGATCCACTTTCTTAGTGTTTGTGAGGACTCGAGCAGCGGTGTTCTAAATTAGCTGCAGCTCTCTAATATATTTTTTAGTCAAACCTGTGAAGACACCATCACAGTAGTCGAGTCTACTGAAGATAAAAGCATGGACAATCCTGCTGTGACATTAGTCTTTTAATCCTAGATATGTTCTTTAGGTGATAGTAGGCTGATTTAGTAATTGTTTTAATGTGACTGTTGAAACTCAGGTCAGAGTCCATGACTACACCTAGATTTCTGGCTCTATCTGTTGTTTTGAACATTGCAGACTGAAGCTCAGCGCTAACTTGTATACGTTCTGCCTTGGCTCCAAAAACCATTACCTCAGTTTTATCTTTGTTTAATTGAAGAAAGTCCTGACACATCCAGTCATTGATTTGTTCAATGCACTTACTCAGTGTTTGAATTGGAGCATAGTCTCCTCCTGGTGAAATGGTTATGTAAATTTGGGTGTCATCCGCATAGCTATGGTAACTTATTTTGTAGTTTTTCATTATCTGAGCCAGTGGTAGCATGTAGATGTTAAAGAGAAGAGGCCCCAAGATGGAGCCTTGAGGAACCCCACGTCATATTTGTCAACTCAGATGTGTATTTACCTATAGAAACAAAGTTGTTTCTGTCCTTTAAGTAGGATTCAAACCTATTTAGAACTGTTGCCGAAAGTCCCAACCAGTTTTCCAGTCGGTCTTGTAATATGTTGTGGTCAACAGTTTCAAACGCAGCACTGAGATCTAATAATACTAACACTGAAGTTCTGCCACTGTCTGTGTTTAAGTGGATGTCATTGAAGACCTTTACAAGAGCAGTCTCGGTGCTGTGGTTTGGACGAAAGCCTGACTGGAACACATCGAAACAGTTATTTAAATGCAAGAAATTACTCAACTGTTGAAAAACTACTTTTTCAATGATTTTACCTAGAAATGGCAGGTTTGATATGGGCCTGTAATTGTTCATTACTGAAGCATCTAGATTATTCTAAGAGCGGTTTAATGACTGCCGTTTTCAGGGCCTGTGGAAAAACACCTGAGTGAAGAGACTTGTTTACTATGAAGTAGATCTGAGGCCATGCAATGAAAAACATTTTTGAAGAATCCTGTTGGAATAATATCAAGGCAGCAGGAGGATGTTGAATAATGTCCTCTAGGTTTTTATCATTAATCTGATGGAATTGTGTCATGGTGTTTGAATTGATTTTAGGTGAACACAGGGACAAAAAATGTGCTGTACCTGATACAGAGGCACTGACTGCTTGTCGGATATTCTGAATTTTGTCAGTGAAGAAGGAGGCATTGCAGGCCCTGATGGATAGAAATTCAGAGGCTACTGACACTGGGGGGTTTGTTAGTCTGTCAACGATAGCAAACAAGGCACGTGCGTTGTTTTTGTTTTTGGTAATGATGTCAGAGAAGAAAGACTGTCGTGCAATTTTCAATTCCAAATTATAAAGACCAAGTCTCTCTTTATAGATTTCAAAATGAACCTGGAGATTTGTTTTTCGCCACCGGTGTTCAGCTTTTCGACACTTTCTTTTTTCTGTTTTCACGGTCATGGCCTTTCTCCATAGAGATATTTTCTTGCCAGTCACTTCCTTTATCTTAGTTGGAGCACTGGCATCTATAACATTTTACATTTAATTAAAATGATCTACTAGCTCATTTACTGAGATGTTAGCAGGGGCAAGTGTGGAATAAAAATTCTGAGTAAACATTTCCCTAGTATTTTCAGTTAAATATCGCTTTGTAGTTTCTGAGATACAGCTATGTAATACCTTTAATGATTCTTTGGACATGTGATAGCTATTGTGTTTTCCCCTGAATACAGCAAATATACAGTATATCTTTTTTAAACAGTCCTGTGCCCAGAGACCAAATGTACAGATGAATAATAAAAACTACGCTAAGGGAATTAGAGAGAAAAATAAAATATAGTTCGCAAAAATTGGTTAAAATAAAGCAGTCTTTTCAGTATCATTAAAGGCACATAACTCCTCTTCCCTCGCCATCGAGGCTCATTACTGATTTTGTTGATATAACAGCACTAGAGAATAGAAAACCTAAAGGTATATGGGAAAGAATAACAATACCACTGAAGGCATGTTTAATGATCCCAACAGGCTCTTCTCACATGATGCAAAATCATGTGACATGTCACATGGAAATAAGTTGGTCAATATTTTTGCCTGTGGAGATTGGAGCCAATGTGCATCACTGCCAGTTGAGCATGATCTATAAACAGAACGTTTTATTTGGTGGGAATATTTATTCAAACTAAGCTAGAAGTGGAGGTAGTTGTGTGTAAAGTGCTTTTGACTTTTCCATGGATAGAAGTCACCACAGCACTTGGTCATGGAGATACGTTGCTTAGAGTTTAAAGGCTGCACACAGATCCTCGGATGAAACTCTTAGTTTGGGATGATGGTGAAAGCCTAGTTTAAGCTGAATGGCAATAAATGAGATACAGAGATACAAATGAGGAAACATTGTGATATCAAGTTGTCCATTTAATAAAATAGATTTGCAAGCAAAATACAATGACATTTGTGTTAGCACTCAGTTGTTACAAATCAGCAAATTTTGATAAACAATGTTTCTAGACATGATTTCTTGAGGCTTACTAACACACATTACAACTTGTCCAAAACAAGAATGATTTTAAATATCCATGATTGAGATCATTACTGCTGCAGAAACCTACATCAGTCTCTACTTGTATTGGATGTACAGTCACATCTGTTCTCCTCTGCCACACCGTTATTAAAATGTCATTCAAGCTGCTACATCGCATTGCATCGCCAATAGTACAAAAAGAAAACAACCCAAAGTGGAATGGCTACAAAAGGGAGCAAGACAACTTTCTTTCTTCAAACTCATCAGTGACAATGCTTAGTTCATACAGGTCATCTAGGGGTGTTACAGTAGCAAGAAAGGAGCATAAGATAAGCAGTCTATTAAGCTTTTAAAAACTAGAAATTGGCAAAAAAACATGGGAATTACTAACCACAGAAAGAGAAAAATATGTAACTTTTCTTATCTTGGAGTGGCTGTGATTAACAGCAGTTTCATCTTCCTGAAAGGTGCCTCTGTCTGCAAGCTTTAGAGGTTTTTTTGACAGTTTTTCAGTGACTTTGTTAAAGCTTTGTCCTAAATGTTATTTGCTTTGCCATCTTCTGCTGCTATAAAAAGCCACATTTCACTGAGAAGTAGGTTTTAGTCCAAACTGAGAGGTAAATGGAGCTCTTCAGTGAGGATTCTTGAAGGCTAAAGGTAAGGTAAAGCAATGTCCATATTATGGGTGAACTTTTTTTTTTTAAGTGACAAATGTAAAACTAAAGAAACAAATGAAAATGAAAATGTTTACACATCTTTTGTAAAATACACAGTTTGGATAAGGAAAGAGTCGCTCTACCATGTTAAAACATTTAGTGGATTATAGAAATGTACATATGCCAGGCCATTTTCTACCACTTAACTACAGGGCTAAAGATACTGCTGTGAATTACAGCCACCCCAAACGTACTTTTTTGGTAGGTAAATCTTATTAAAAATATTGTTTTCACTCAAACTCTTTATCAATACATGATTAAAAAGCAAATCTTAAATTACAACAGTGATGTTTGTTTCTGTGCAGGATGCAAGAGTTTGTTATCCTAAATGCCAAGAATTTAAAAATGAACATGTGATCAGGGCTCTGTGTGTCTACAGGTGTTGTCCATCACCGGTCCATCATGCTGAGGATCATCTCAGGGGTCAGGTCTCCGTTGGGCGGGGCCTCGGCCTCTATTGCCCCCTCCTCCTCCTGGGACAACTCCTCCAGCTGGATGGTGGTCTTTTCTCCCCCGACCACCACCTGCTCCACGGTCTCGTCATCCTGGTCCACTTGATCGGCTCCCACCTCCTTCTTCACGATGATGTCATCCACCTCTCCAGTGGCCTCGTCCTCTACACGGATGATAGCGGCTGCTGTGGAGAGAGATTCAGGTAAGGTCCCAGGTACTTAAATAATAAATAAAAATCAGTATAAATATTATTTTCACACTCTTAAACGGATTTAGAAAAATTAACACTGATGATTTTATATATATATATATATATATATATATATATATTTTTTTTTAGTAGATATCAGACTAAAGCTTTGTTTACATCTGCACACACACACATATATATATATATATATATATATATATATATATATATATATATATATATATATATATATGTGTGTGTGTGCAGATGTAAACAAAGCTTTAGTCTGATATCTACTAAAAAAAAATATATATATATATATATATATATATATATATATATATATATATATATATATATATATATATATATATATATATATATATATATATATATATATCAGCTTAAATATATTCATTATTTAAATCTAAATGTAATTGATTTGCTTTTATCAGTATTGCAGTTGCAGTCATGTACGACCGAGCCCCGCAGCGACTGGCAGAGCTTTTGTATTTTCCACACCGTGATGATGTCATTGGCCCATGTGCCGTAATGCCGGGGCCAGTACAGTGAAGATAAACCTAGCAGCTATCGAGTCTCACTTAGTGAACTCGGAAACGCTGCCAAAACATGCCAAAAGTACTTTAGTCCGACTCTTACTGGTTGGTTTGTTCTTTGGGGGCCGTCCACGTTTCCTCTTGACTGGGGGCTCGATAGGGGCTGGGATCGGGACAACAGGGGGGGCCTGTTCCACCTCAAGCTCACTTAGCTCCTCTTCCTCCTCGATATCTTCCAGTTCATCCTCTACAGATTAATGAGTGAGGAAAACAAGCATGTTTAAAAAAAAAAAAAACTTTGAACACCGCAGAAACTACAGCCACACGCAAACAAAAAAAGGTACAAGATCACAATCTAATTAAATACCAGCCTGAGTTTGTTGCTATATAGATATAACGCAAATGTATACTTCTGGGAAAGTTAAACATGATGTCACAACTTGCAACCTTTTTCATTCAAATTAAAAACGAGAAAATGTATCCTTTTAAATTCTGAACAAATGTCATATTCTGATGTCAAATGTGGGGACTGTAACACAAAATAGCTGAACTCTGTAACATATCATACCCGTGTCTTCCTCGTCCCTCCTGCTCTGCATCTTCCTCTTCCTGCCCCGGCGTGCCTTTTTGGGCGTAGGAGTTCCATTTTCATCCTCATCTTCATCAACTTCGCCGTTGCAGTTTTCAGTGTGACGCAGCATGGTGTTCTGTGGAGCACAAAAATAATCAAAACTCAGTGACTTGCTGTATATAAAACTAAAAAGTGCATGTGTGTTAAGATTCCTCCTACCCTGCGAGTGAACGTCTTGTTACACTTGGAGCAGATGAAGGCAGTGGGGATAAAGTTGGGGTCGTGGTAGCGCTTGAAGTGCATATCCAGAAGCTGCTTTTGCCTGAAGGTTTTCTCACACTGGCTGCAGGCAAAGGGCTTCTCCCCTGTGTGTGTGCGCTTGTGCATCACCATGTGGCGTTCCTATGGAGGCAACAGGTCAGAGATTAATACCAATTTATTCATCATGAAAATGAACACTGCCCATATGCTTTATATTAAAATGGATACACACCTGTCTGCAGCAGTAGTCACACTGTTCACACTTGAAGCGTTTCTCATTCTTGTGGGTTTTCTGGTGCTGGATGAGAGCGTATCGCTCATGAAACACAGCATCACAGTAACGGCACTTCTTTCCCTTCTCAATAAATGAGTGTTGCTTCCTCAAATGAACACCTAGAAAAGAAATGGCAAAGATGTGAAAACCTTCTTCAAAGTTTTTGTCATTTTGCATAAATAGAGACTAAAACAGCTCTAAAGCCTTTCAGTTCAGATTAATGCAAATCCTTGCTCAGAATGACAAAATATATATTACTAACCAAGATCGCTTTTGCGAGCAATAACCGTATCACAGTGTGGGCAGTGGAACTTTGCCACGTTCTCCGTGTGTTTCTGCAGAATGTGCATCTTCATGGTTCCACTCTGAGTGAAACGGGCATGGCAGATGTAGCACTCGTATGGCTTTTCACCTGCACAAAAAATAAAAAAAATAATTCAGTAAGTGAGATATTCTTTTTAAGGTGGACCAAACATTTTATATTGGCTAATACATGGTGCCAGTGTATCACCTGAATGTGTCCTCATATGTCTTTTCAGCTTATAGGTGTCTCTGCTGGCATAGCTGCACAGACTGCACTGGAAGGGTCGCTCTCCTGTATGAGAGCGGATGTGCCTTTTCAACTTGCTCACCTAGAGAAAAATACAGAAAACTTAAAATAAGAGATCATGCCTGGATGTTCATTGCAGATGAGCTCTCTGATCAAAAAGTGATTACTTGCCTCCACACTGCAGTAGTCACACATGGAGCACTTGAAGGGCTTCTCATGTGTGTGTTTGTAGCGCCGATGACGCACCAACTCTCCGCTGGTCACAAATGCCATGTCGCAGTCTTGGCATTTATGTGGACGAGTGCCTAAAGAAAGAAAAGTTGCCACTTATTAATAAAGATATATCATTCCTGCTTTGGCTTCAACATAACACACGAAGTAAAGAAACTGAGTAGTGACACAATAGGAGGGATAACAAAATTCAGAATCTGAAACTAGCCATAAATTAGGAACATTTTCCATATTACCATATCAATTTATCTAAATATTTCAACTGTAGATAAAGTGTTACCTACACAAGAATAATATTTTTTGCATTACCTGTGTGTGTATTGAGGTGGTTTCTCAGCAGAGTGACCGTTCGGAAGGCCCGCCCACACAAGTGACATTTATGTGGCCTCTCGTCTGTATGGCTCTTCATGTGTCTGTCCAAGTTGGAGCGCCTTGGACAGGTGTAGCTACACAACTCGCACTGGAAAGTCTTCTTTACACCTGCAAACACGTTTTAATATTTAAAATAAAAATAAAAGACACAACCACAATCAATTTTGAGTCTTTCATCATCATGTCAGAATGTCTAATGAAACCTTGTCAAATATTAACCTTTCTTCTTGATCTTGGTGGGCTTTGGTGGCTTCATGTTGCCCACAACTTTCTCTGCATTCACTTCAGACAGCATCCCCTCCTGCTGCTCTTCTTCAAAGTCGTACACAGAAACATCCATGTCCCGATCGCCCTCTCCGTAGCGCAGGCGGCTCTTCTTTCCCTTCTTCCCTTTACCACGGAGGCCGGAGATGGGCTGGTAGTCTGGGTCCTTGGTCCATTCTGGGTCTTCTTGTTGAGACACATTGGTTTCCATTTCTGCAGGCTCTTCCTCTTCCCTCACACATTGAAGCTCATCATGGGCTGCTTGAAGCTCCTCCTGCTCTACAGTCTCTACCTCACCATTGGCTCCCACTTTAACCACCTTAAAGAACACATTTCAAATGTATATCAAGTTAGTTTTTTATAATTTTCACAAAAAGAAGAGAATACCTAATTTTCACAATTCTGGTTGGCTAGTTGAAAAATTTGTATTGGTTGAAATAAAAGTGGATATACAATTGATTGACGGTCTCCAATAATCTGGGATTCCTAAAGTTAGATCAGACTTGTTCCTGTAATAACAAATTTGAGAAAAACAGGAGTTCTTGTTATAGTTTTTTCTCACCTGGAAGCCCTCGGGCAAGGGAAGAGTGTGACAGATAACCGGATCTGAATCCTTGTTTACATTTGATGCGTCAACAAAGGTGGCCTGGAGCCCCCCTACATTAGTTGCTGTGACGGGAACCTGTACCAGCTGCAGCTGACCGAGACTTAGTGCACCTCCTGCCTGCTCCTCCATGTTCACCACCTGCATGGGGAAAAATACAACCCTTTAATTAGCATGATATCCCAAACAAAGCTGTTAATCAAACATTAGACAGAACTTTTATTGATCAACGTGATCTTCACATACCTGAAGTGTGATGATCTGACCCTCATCTCCACCAGTAACAGTCACCGTGCCTCCACTCTCCAACACTTCCGTCTTCATTTGTAGCAGAGCGGGATCAAGAGCGTCCATCACCAGCATCTCCATGTTGTCAGTCACGTCCCCCTGTGCAGCCAGGACGGCCCCCTGCATCAGAGCGTCTCCGCTCTCTGTCAGGCTCTTTCCATCAGGAGCCAGTTCATTACTGGTCTCCATGGAAGCAACCTCGCCCTCCATGGCGACGGACTTAGTAACACCTTGATTAGAGAAAACAGGCATCAAATTAAAACAAGGACTAACAGAGGCAAAATCTAGCTTTATAAAAACAAATATACATGGCTGAATACATTTACAGATGGGACCTTACTCTTAAAAGACTCATCGGGACATTAGCTTTTCTTTTCTTATATGTGGGGAGCAGAACAAATGAAACTGCATTTCCTTTGGGGTCTATTGTGGTGTAGTATTATCACCTGTGGATATTTCAAAATCTCCACCAGGGGCTGGGATGTTGTTATTTTAAAAAGGACTTTACTCCTCTATAGATTTTCACAAAGAGCCACTCATTTTACATTTAATGATTTAATAAACGAGGCTAATGCTTTCTGCATTAAATATAATCAATGGGGTTTCCCTTAATAATGTATGGAAATTCAAACATGATTAGATAAATGGCATGCACTTAATATTTTTAAATAAAAATGTATTACAATGTTATTACAATTTTACAAGTTATTACAAGTAGACATTCGTAATAAAAAAGGCCACACACACACTTTAGTAAACAATTAACAGCAGCAGTATTTATAAAATACGTTAGGTGTAACATGTAGTGTGTGGTAGATGCTAGGTAACAGAAGTAAAGTTATATATTGAGTTGCCTACAGAATCTAGTATTCAAATTGTCAAACTAAGAATGCAGCCAGTAATAATAATAATTTGACCATGTACATATTGCACATACGTGTTATTGCACAGCACTGATGTCGTAATCTGTGTTTGATAGTGACTTCAATTATTTTTGACAGAATAATCTGTCCATTTGTTCGTGCTGTTACTTTTCTAGTACACGTATTTGGAGCAGTTGATGCTTTGAGTTGTTAAAAGATTAAGCAAGAGATTATCAACCCTATCTCGCATTAATTTGTAGCCCATAATACAGGAATCTGGATACGATTGAGCACACATGGACTCCTAGACTTTGAAGAGTTGTATAAAAGTATCTGCTCGAGTCGAATAAAGTAGTGTGAAGAGCTTTGAGTAAAACGCAGGGGAGCAAATCAGATGCAAAAGAGCCATAACTGTTAGTTTATCCTGCATAAAATCCCATCGTTATGATGTCAAACAGTGAAGAGAACTTTAAGAAAAGTGATTATGTTCGTCTTCCTGTGTTGTTAAGAAAATGCTATCAGCCATCAATCAATCGATACTTCGCAGTAACTCATCCCCCCCGTTATAAAAGCACTTACATTTCTTTCTAACACCTCTTATTCGTCGTTTAGTTCCTCAGTGGAGAATCGCTACATAGTTGAAACAAACGACACTACTTTTACATGAACTCGTGTTAGTTTACTCGGGAGGCGCGATGTGAAAACAGGAAACAAAGGGCACGATAAGATGGACGTCAGGCCTGAACAAACTTAAAACAGAAATACCCATAAATACAACCACCCCTGCGCAAATACTCCACTATGTCAGGTGAAAAGCAACAAAACGCTCAACTGGGACACGGAGTTGCAGTTTATAGACAGATTTAGTGCGTTTTGGATAACGATAGAGGGAGACAAACACCCCCCGCCAGCCGCCTGGTCGGTAAGCCCTACCGTGACACCTAGAGGCCGGCGTCGGCTCCTACAAAAACCTCTCCGTGATCGGGGTAAATGAACCGCTGCACTTACTCTCGGTCGCTTCTTTTGTCCGGTATATTCAGTCGGGAGTTATGTGTAGGTGGTTGTTCCTCTGGATCCCGGGTTGAACGTCCGTACGTGCCGAGTGGCGGACTAATAATTTTCTCCCGCTTAGGAAGAGTGGGCCTTACACAAAATGGCGGCCCCTTAAGAGCTACCGAGGCTGCGCACAAACAGCACCGGAGGGAGTGAAGGGGAGTGTCCGGGAACAGGGTGAGGGTGCTGGGCGCCAGATTTGAATTCAGTCGTGGGCGTGGCGTCCGGTTGTTGCACCAAATTCTGTGACTTCATTCAGAATGTTTAGCTCTATCACACTAGGAGGGATATCAGCTGAATAGTACACATGTTGGTTACTTATCTTCAGGTGTTTTAAGACATTGCCATGTGTGTCTCTCATTTATGTATTTGTTAAAAGTATAAAGGTCAGGTTCCCTCTATGACACAATGTTTAAGGTCAATAGACTATAAAGGCAGAACAACACAGTAATGTCAGCTGAAATAATGTACATGTTAACAGTATATATGCATAACATCATTCAAAGTAAACGCACAGTAAGTACATTTCATGCAGACACATTTGAACAATGTTATTGAAACAAGCAGCAGATCCTATTATTGAGAAGCCTTTCATATATGTTTTTTGTATACCCTCATTGATAGAAATTCCCTGGACGATCATTGATTAGTTTTCTGATGAGAAGGGAAGATCCCTTTTTATCGAGCATGATGTCTAAACCTCTAACTACTTCTATCACATTAAGATTGAGGTTAAAGTCATTTTGTGACTTCCTAAAATCAGCCACAAGGGGGCAGTGTGGATGTGGATGTTGTGGCACATAAACTGTGTAAAGATAAATAATATATAACAGTTGTATCTATGTGTAGGGCCTTACAACGGATCGGATCATCCCCAGGGATTTTAATTGATAACCGTGTTATAGTGTCTGTTTGAGTTCAAATTTCCCCACTAAATCATCACCTGAAGGCCCTATTTTGGATCTGTTTACCTGCATTTTAAATAAACAAATAAAAGAAAACTGATACCGTCCAAATCCCAATAAATTGTTATCTCATCACCTAACTTTACAAAATATATATTTATTTGATTGACTTCTTAGTTGCAATAAACTTACTGTAGTTCTGTTACATCTGCACTGGCAATTAAAGGTGGGGTAGGTAAGTTTGAGAAACCGGCTCGAGATGTACTTTTTGTTATATTCCATGGAATGCTCTTAACATCCCGATAGCAATGAATATCTTAAGAATTAAGAAAAAATTAATCTGTGGAAGCCCTAGTACTGTAAAAAGCACGACCAATAATTTTAGCCGGCCCGGCTAAAGTAACTGGATGGCCTACCTGCCTGTCTGCCTTCCATCTGTGCACAAACTTATCTCGTGCCCTCATTGGTCATGTGCGCGTTCGTGTGTGTTGGAGGAGGGGCTCTGTAAGGAAGTGGCAGATTTTTTCCGGCTGTGTATTTTCAAAGAACTAGCGCACTCGAGCTGGTTTCTCCAAAATTACCTACCCCACCTTTAAATGGCTGATGTCATATTACTACATGGAAAACCTGACATTGGTTCATTAGTGGGAAACAAGTTATTTCTGTGTTCCTGTTTAGAGTTAAATGCTCAAAAGTGAATCACTACTTAGAAAATAAATATGGTCCCTATATATAGAAAAATGTTATGGGTCAGTTTTTAATCAATATTGAATAATATGAATACATTTCTATTGTGCCACTGAAGCCAGTTTAAATTATGCATTTAAATATCAAAGTGTTTCAAACTGGGAATTGAGTTGCCCTGTTTGAATATCATATGAGAAAATAATTCCCATGAAACTCCCATAGACATTACCTCATGGATGGTAGGATCATTAAGATGCGACATTGGTGCTTGTGGGTGTGTCAAATGTTATGGTTTCTGATCAACTCTTACAGATCATTATCAAGATATCTAACAATCATCTGTGGAATTAGCAAGAATCTGGCGTTACAAACTGTATTATGATAGAGGGGTTACAAATCAATACTGCGATTGATTGCAAATATGTCTGTGTTTGTCTTTTATGTTTTTATTTTTATTTCACTAATCACTAAAAACATTTCTTTAAGAGTCTCTTGCATTGTGTTTATCAGGAACATTTAAATCATCATTCAAATTAAAACTATATATATATATTGTGAAGCCTTCTTAAATCCTCATTATATCTTACACCGATACCGGAAAGGACAGTTTCCTTTAGTATACATGATACACCTCAATGAATTACAGCCTTTCAGGGCATCTGTTCCGCATATAAAATAAATTATTAATTTGTTACATAACCAATAGAACATTTTGTTCATTTCAGCTCTTTCCATTGTATCAAACTCATATTCTTCCACTTGGATATAGGATGCAGGGATGAAACAAATCTCAGTGTCCACTTTATTCCCTTCATCTCCCTCCTGCCTCTTCTTATTTGATCACCATCTTTTTTTCTCATGGTTGTCCTCTCGTAGGGGTGGGGGCAGAGAAAGGCGAGGCTCTGTTGTCAGATGTGTCAGTCTAGCCGGCCCGGCCCCTCCCACCTCAGAGAGCATTACATACTGCTGCTGCCTGAGCTCTTAGCAACCGTGCCTCGGCAACAGAGCTCCACAGCAACAGCGTGCCGTGTCTCCCCAATGGAGCTGCCATTGGGCGGACCAGCGCTCCGGCACTACACCCAGAGCAGACCAAGACCTCATCGACAAAAACTCAACTATCGCCCCAGCAGACCACAGGTACATCAGAGAGGTTTTTGGGAAAGATGGAGAGTGTGTGAGGAGAGAAAATGGAAGGGGGAGCTGTAATAGGGTACAGAGGGGAGAGGCAGGGGGAAGGGAAGGATGGAGGGGGAGTGCTGTGAAAGATGCCTGGTCCCTGCTTTGAATAAGGCTGCCCCATTGTAACGGTCACCGGCTGTTTGATGAACACACACTTGGTATTTCTGTGTGTGAAAGCATGATGACTATGTCTGAGAGCGGCTGGTAGTTTGGTTTTGCATGGCTTCTCTCTCTTCCCCTATTTTTCCATAGTATCGAAAAAAAAAATTTGACCATCTCCATTTTTCCACTGATCATTTTGTCACAGTAGCTTGTAGACATGCAGTCACTCCCTTGGAGCCGATGCTCAGGGAGACTAAAATCAAGCAATTCCCCAGACAGGATATCAAGTATCAGTGACTTCTGCTAAATTTGTGTTCTGCAGTCAACCTCCTGATTTGTATTGCTACTTGTGGCTACAGATGTTAATATGATCAGGATGATGCAGCTGCAATTTTGATATCACATTACCTACATTTGGAAAATGAGTTATCTTGCTTTCATTCTGCATGTGAAATCTAGTGACGCCCCCCCCATTGTACGTTACTGAGCAACTGACTCCCAGGAGGCTGGTTTGTAGCATGAGAGATTCAAACCAAAATACACCTATAGAGGCAGAAGTGCCCGAGTGTTTTTTTTTATATATGAGGGTTATGTAATGTAATACTACATTCGATTCAAGCTGCTCTTCTACATCAGTGTGTTTGATCTTTGGTGTGAAATGTTTTTCTGTGTTTGTGTGTGGTAATAAGGAGACAATAATTGAGAGTGACAATGAAGTCCTTGAGCTCATGGGGAGAGTGGATGAAGGAGTTGAAGAGTTCTTTACCAAGAGAGTACTTCCTACTGATTCACCGTGAGTATCAGCTGCCTAATTTTTCTCTTTATGGCTCCTTGATAGTTAGCTAATTTGGATACCAATTATAATTGAATAAACTATTACTAGAGAACTGTTTGACAGTATACGATCCTTTTAAATAGGACAAAGCAAGAAGAGGAATTGATCACAGTGCATGAAGAAGTGGCTCCTGCCAGCTCTGTCCCTTGTCCACCACCGACAAAAACACTAAGAAGGAAGCTCGGAGACTTCTTTACCCTCAGAAAGAGGCGAGGTCTGAAATCAGAACCAAGCCAGGAGGGGCGACCCAAAAAGGCCTCCATTGCTGATCTCATCCGCCCGCTCAGGGAGGTCGCCAGAGCCGAAAAAGAAAAAGATAAAGACCGAGTCAAGGAACACGACAAGGAGAATGAAAAGGAGAAGGGGAAAGAGACTCCCAGTGCTGTTACTGGAGATGCCGCTGTTCAGGAGACGACGGGTGCTCCAATGAGGGGTGAAACTGGGCCTCCCCGCCGAGCTCTCAGAGAGGGGAAGTCCCAGTCTCTCATTCTGCTGTCTGGATCAGCTGCAGCAGGGACTACTAATGCAAGAAACACTTCAAAGGTGAGTGGGCCCTATTATAAACCAGTATCTAAATCTATTCCTAAATGTCTTGTTGAGGGATTATGTCAGATCCATTATACGTTGTTAAACCAGGATTATTTGTATGCCTTATTCTTATAATGAAGATATCATTGTCCTCATGAATTGACCTTGTGCATCTAATCTGAATTAGCCTAGCTAAAAATGGCAAATATGCAGGGTACTATGGTATAAGATTGCAGGGCCCTGCGCACAGAAAATATAATTGAAGAGAATTAAGTCAAGAATGTTAAAAATAAAGCATAAAGATGGTGTAGTACTGGACTACAACCTTTAAAAAATATCATTTTTTCGTAGTTTTGAAGTGAAGGAAGTTTGCAAGAAGTAAAAGCCAAATGAGCTTCAAATTTAGTTCTGGGTAAATGCTAATGCTATTACTTGCTTCACAAAAGCTGTATCTTGAGAAGACCACTTTCCTGTAATTCATTATGATAATTATTATCAATGATGAACATTTTCTTGTAAATTATATCCTGTATAATATTTTTGGTAGAATTACAAGAATTGCTATGATCACAGATTTTGCACAATGATGTCAGCATTAAAATCTGCGTATGTGTGCATAGACTGTTTTCTTATTTAAGAACAAATCCCATATAGGTGGGTTTACAAAGACATTATCACTTCAGAAATGTTTGTGAGTTTATGAGTGAGTTTGTAGAGTTTAAATAATGTATACATTTAGATCAGTGCTATGTTTTGAAGCTCACTCACTACTTTGCTGTTGCTGATTTCAGAAACAATTTGAAGGCCAACACAGTTTTGAACAGAAACTCCATCTTATGCTTCAACGTATTGGAGTTTCCAAAGCCCAGCCAGAAGAGACACAGGTGGGTGAAAGGGCATGTCTCAATTTACATATACTGTTATGGTCTTTGAAAAGTGTTTAAATACCTATTTTGCTCTTTTAGAGTCCGGAGGGAGAAATGAAAAAAGCAGAATCTGAAGGTATGTCTCAATGTTTCGTATGATTAAACTCCTCTGCTCCGGCTTAGTGTTAATAAAGCTGAATTGATCTTTGAAGTTGAGGGATTTGTATTAAAAGAAGATACCTTTTCTTTTTTAAATGGATCACTTGTCCATAAGAAAGATTGAATATCTCTTTGGGCAGATACGACTGCTGTCCATCCACTTAAGGGATAATAAATTAATACCTCTTGTAAATGATCTTTGTGCCTCAGGTACTATCATTGACAGTAAACCTGAGCCACCACCTACTAAACCTCGAACGATGTCTGCATCATCAGGTAAAACACAGACACCAACACGGATTCACTCTCCAATACAGTATGGCTGTGTTCAAAATTGCATACTAACGTAACACATACTCAATCAATATGTACTGCCTAATAAATTAACGATTCATCACACGGTTACTTATAGGCTTAAATGACTGTGGAACAAAAACAGTTTATCCAAATTTAAGTTTACATTAAAGGTGGGGTAGGTAAGTTTGAGAAACCGGCTCGAGATCGCTAGAATTTGAAAATACACAACCGGAGAAAATCTGCCACTTCCTTATAGAGCCCCTCCTCCAACACACACGAACGTGCACATGACCAATGAGGGCACGAGATAAATTTGTGCACAGATGGAAGGCTGACAGGCAGGTAGGCCATCCAGTTACTTTAGCCGGGTCGGCTAAAATGATTGGTCGTACTTTTTACAGTATTACGGCTTCCACAGATGACATTTTTTTATGGATTTTTTGTCAAAGCACTTGCTATTCATTGCTATCGGGATGTTAAGAGCATTCCATGGAATATAACAACAAGTGTATCTCGAGCCGGTTTCTCAAACTTACCTACCCCACCTTTAACTCTCCCTCTTAATGTTATATTTACCAGAATTATTTTAAGGCATCACTTTAGTGCTAAACAGGTTTTCTAAATTACAATATATATGTTAGCTCCAGTTGAGTATATAAGGTTTCATACTCAGAGATTTTGCTTATCTGGTATACATCCTTGAATTTCTCACATTCACAAAATCTGCTTGCAGTTGGAACGCATTACGTATGCAATTTGACGTGTGGTATGAATTGGGAATTTCTAAATATCAGATTTTCACTACACAATTGTACAAAAAAATAAAGAAAATCTATTTTTTAGCCAGTAAAATCAAGTGTAGGGTTTGGTCAGAGAGTCTCCTGGACCGTAAGAAAGCTTTAAAAAAGCACAACTACACAACATAATTAAATTACAATTACACTTAAATTCAGAGAGAAATGGAATATGATTCAAGAGGAGCTGGGTTATTTACATTATCTTATTTGTTTTATTAATATATCAATAATGTGTAAATATCCGTTATTATGCAATTTCGAACAGACCCTATGTATATGATAAGCAATCATTTTCACATTACATTTTTTTTTTAGACACAAGACATCAAATTCGCCCGAGTGTGTCGGCACACGAGTCAGCTGGGAAACCTGCTTTGCTTCCGAAGCCCGTTATCAGGCCCGGCCCGCCCCCCACAACATCTGGCCGCAACACACCTGAGAACGAGCTAGCCCAGATACAGGAAGCAGAGACAAACACACCCACTAAACAGAGTCCAGCTACAGCTCCTGCACTCACTACCACCACCACTCCTACTGCACCGACAATCTCAAACCCAGTCCCTGACTCAAACGATTCTACGAGTGCTGAACCCCCCGCCAACACAGATACAAGCACTGACTCCGCTAACCCCACTGCTGCAGCTACAACACCCACGAATGTTACAGAGCACGACAGTAAAACTTCTATCCCTGAAGAAACTACCGCTGAACCACCAACCTCCATCTCTAAGACAACCGTTACAAGCACCACTCCCCCTGCAGAGCCCCCTGCCACCGCTTCAGTTACTTCCACTTCCTCTGAGTCCGTCATTCCCAGCCTCTCTGTCACTTCCACCTCAACAACAATAACTACGCTTTCCATGACCACCTCTGAAACCGTTTCTGCTCCCAGCAATGAAAGCTCGGTTTCCACAACAAATCTGTCAACTACATCGACTTCTCCCTCAGTAGATCCTGCTGCTGGTGGTGATTCAGCTATTTCTGTCGCCACCACAGCTTATTCACCCTCCACCAGCACATCAGATATGCCCTCAGGCTTGTCTGCTAAAACGAATTCAGTGACTGAAGCTAGTGATGACTCCCCTTCAGTCACCTCTTGCTCTGTTACATTAGTTTCATCTGACACTAAAACAACATCTCCACCTCCAAGTGACACCATTACAACTGCAGCTTCACCTCTCGCCTCCATGACCTCTTCCTCCCTCCTGATTTCTTCTCCCGATCCTCCTCCCACCATATCCACCTCTTCCACCACCACAACAAGCCCTACATCCACCGACTGCACCAACTCCTCATCCATCATTACTAACCCAGCCACCTCTGACCCCGCTGATATATCCGTTCCCTCCACTTCCTCCAGCGAGACAAACCCCACAGACACCACTTCCACTGCCACCACTTTATACCGGGCAGACACCAAACCCACCAGTTCATCTTCCGCAGCTGCAATTTGCTCCTCACCCATGACCGACTCTGACCCACCAAACACTAACGACGGCAGCTCTACCCTCACACCTGATAACGCAAGTGATGCTTCTCAACATTTGACTAGTCCAGGTCAAGATAATGACTTGCAGACACCTCCTGAGGGAAGATCCAGTGAAGAGCCTGCAGAAAAGGGCACACGTGAGTTAAATTGTATATATTCTTTTTTTTTTCTTCTGGTTTTAAGTGTAACCTTTTTCACTCTGGGGCCTCATTACAGAAAAGTAATTTTAAGTATAAAAAAAAACCTATCTTCCTATTACAGAGGAATTTCCTAAACTCGTGGTTGTGTCCTATTCTGTCCCAAAATGTAAGAAATCCGTTGTATAATTGTGAATTTAACTATTTAATTAAAACACTCATCTTGTCATACGTGTATTTAGGAAGTAAGGATCATAATATATGCTATCATAATTTTGGATCATGGTTCTGTGATAAATTCCTTTCTTTATAATTAAACAGAACAGGAATTTTGTAATATCAACAATTTAAAATGTCTTCCCTAAGTGAGACAAGTGGGACAGTTTCTGTTATTAGGCAATATTTAACCATATGTTGTGCCTAAGTGTTAAATGGGGACAACATTTGTTTTATTTTGTCAAGTAAGTATGTATTTTGAAGAGCATATTTTGTATTTTTCTCTCTAAATAACAGATGGTGAGCTTGAGATGGTCCAAAAGAGCAAGCAAACTGAGACAGAGGAGTGCAAGACAGTTGTCCACAATGGGAAGGAGGGCGAGAATGAAAACCAGGAACCAGCTCTCAATTCTGACAGCGAGGTGATAATAAAAGAAGTGCAGAAAGAAAGTGTCAAACCCGAAGAAGACACAATGAAATCAAAAGTAGAAGAACCTGCATCAGGAAGAGATGCTGAGCTGTGTAGCGACAAGGGGGAGAAAGAGGAGGAAAAACAAGATGAAGTTGGGAAGTAATTTAAAAGTTAAGAAACTGCTAAACACGGGACCAACTACTGTGACGGGGCGACAGAGACCACAGTAAAGAGTCAAGGGGGAGATGATCCATGGCACTTCCTACAGGGACCACCACATTACAGCAGCACACCACAGAGGGTGGGCCACTGGACCAAAGAACTGAGATCCCCTTGGTGTGACGTAATCAACAAATCCAGCAGTGTCTTTGTCCTTTTTTAACTTTCGTTTGACTTTATGCATTGCACGTATGATTATGTACCATAAGACAACTACTGTGGTAAAATACACCATGTTTACAATATATAAAAAAGAGACATATGACTATTAAATGGAATATTGAATTGACTGAGGCATTCCTTCTGCTCTTTTACTGGTGATATACATTATTTTTCACAAATACATGTTTTCGGACAGAAAACTCAGGGTACATAACTTTCTTAATTTTTATGAAACCCATGGTCTTCATGGTCGTCCTTGTCTCTGGTCAATAATGATGTGCCAGATTAATAGATGTTGTTGAAAGCTCTAGAAACTTTAATAGATTACCCTATATTATGAATGTTTTTTTAGGGGTTTGTTAATAATATCCATAATAGTAAATACATTTTTTTTTTAACATTAATTAAAACATGGCAAACAAATATAACTTTTGACAGTTTTATGTATCAATAATTATAACCAAAACATATTATATACGTTTTTCTAAAATGGGCCAATCTACATAAACAGTACTTTTACTTTTGGTACTGTAATATATTACTATATTTACTTGTAACAGAGTATTCATACACTCTGGTAGTTGAACTTTTACTCAAGTAGAAAATTATGAGTAATCAAACTGCTTGAAGATCACCATCCACACCAGCAGGGGGCGCTCGCGGGGACAGAACCCGCACTACTTCACCCGGAAAAGGAGGGCCAAAGGAAACGACAACGAAGAAATTGTTGTGTACTGTTCGCACAATAGTTTAGACATTAGTTATCTATTTTTGATAATCCAGCAGGTTTCTAGCCTTCCACCCGTTTGAGGTTCACGTGCAGCCGCGTTTGGCCTCGTCGAGCTCGCGGTAGAGATGTCGGTCGCGCCCCCCAGTCGCTCGAACGCCGGCTGGCCGCGCGGAGGAGCCGTTCAGTTCGGGAACAAATACATCAGCGGGCCCGCGAAACCCCTGTCTCTAGAGAGGACCATCAACCTGTGAGTGCTACATCTGCAGATATATACATAAAAACATCAAGTTCCCCGAGGTTAAATCTATCTAAATATCCCAATTAGCTTTATATGTCCGATGTTGGAACCAGGAGGGTCTGGTCGCATCAAACAACGTGTAGCACAATAACTCTGGGTGCACCGTGTGGTCGTGTTTTGGTCCTGGATGTGTTTGCTTTTACACTTATATTCGGAATCAGAATCAGGTTCTTTGCACAATAAATTAATCTAATCTGTACAATAAAAGCAAATAAGAATGTGTTAAAGTGAAAGAGTAGGATTGGGAAACATTATTTAGGATGTTAAAATATTGGCCAAGCATGTAATTGGATGACTCCACACTAGAAAGTGTATAATTCTAGAGTTGCAACTAATGATAATTGATTATAGAGATGTCATGATAGGGCTGCTCGATTATGGCAAAAATCATAATCTCGATTATTTGGGTCAATAATTGATATCACGATTATTAAAAACGATTATCCATTTACTTTGAAAACATCAATTTATTGGAGAAAAAAAATGTGAACAGTATGTTTTTAACAGTTGATTACCCTGAACTTAAGTATAATATAGTATAGTATAATAAAAGAATAATCGTTTTATTTCGATTACGTTGTTTTCGTAATCGTTGCAAGCCATAATCGTAATTGCGATTAAAATACGATTAATTGAGCAGCCCTATGTCATGACATCTTAAAGTAATTGCAATTCATCACAATTCATCCAAATGTTGTTTAAAAACGGGCACTAAAACATACTGGAATAACATTACCTTGCAATTTATTAACAATATTGTTCTTGCATTACAGATAGGAAAACAATGTTGATGTAACCCATTATCTTAAAGAACAGCAATAACTCACAAGGTTCTCCTTGATGAATAAAGGATAAACAGATTGGCTTCTGGTTTTTTGGTTACATCATAACAATAATTCTGGTTCTTGGACTGTTTGTCTGGCAGAAGAAGCCACTTCTAGGCTATTGTGGATGTTTTAATTGATAAAGAAACACTGTATTGATCTTTGGTCATGCTTAATGAGGTTTCATGTTTGTATTTCAGATACCCTCTAACCAACTACACATTCGGCACCAAAGAGCCCCTGTATGAGAAGGACAGTTCAGTGGCCGCCCGGTTCCTGCGGATGCGGGAAGAGTTTGAGAAAATGGGAATGCGGAGGACAGTTGAGGGCGTTCTCATCGTCCACGAACACAGGCTGCCTCATGTGTTACTGCTGCAGCTGGGCACCACTTTCTTCAAACTGTGAGTAGTTCAGAGGCTACTGTGTGAAGCAGCAGAAGGTTTTTACTGAGCATTCGTCTGACAGTTTGCTTCTCTCCTGTAGGCCCGGAGGAGAGCTGAGTCCTGGAGAGGATGAAGTGGAGGGTCTGAAACGCCTGATGACAGAGGTAGCTACATCACGGCTAACTCTTCACTTCCTGTAACTGTGGTCATTGTGGAGTTTATGTATAATAACTTTTGTATTCTGTTAGATCCTCGGACGGCAGGACGGCGTGAAGCAGGACTGGGTGATCGACGACTGCATCGGCAACTGGTGGCGCCCCAACTTTGAGCCTCCACAGGTTGGTACACACAGATGACTGACACGTTTTAAATATTGAATTGACTGAAATAACTTTTCAATAGAATTTGGTGTTTTGAATATTTTAATTGAAAAGAGTTAAAGGTCCCATGTAATTATTTTCCGGTTATTACCCGTCCCCTTCTGTGTTATGAAGGTTTTTATGCATGTAAACGGTCTGCAAAGTCACAAACCCTCAAAGTACACCCTGTAGCGAGTAAAACTCTTAACACAGAAAAGACCTGTCTATGCTGCCCCAAAACGCCTCATTGGAGATTTATCTTTTTCCATTGTTTTCTTCCTGGGTATGGTGACGTGCCCATACCCAAATGGACCCATTTGTCCAAATGGACCAATCCATGGAGCCGTTACACACACACTCAATCTTTTCTCAGCTGCAGCTCCGCCGATTTCTCCTCCCTGAGACGGCGGGACGTGGCGAGGCTGTGAGTCTGTGTGTGAGCACACACAGAAACTCCCAGCCAGGCTGCGGGTGGGTGTGTGTGTGTGTTCGGGCTGGGTTTCGCTGTGTCTCGCTGTCTCGCAGGCGGCCACTGGGCTCATAGGGAGGGAGGGGCAGGAGCTCCAACAAGCCTTTTAGGACAGAGAGTGAATACACATACTATACAGAGATGCTGTATGTGATTTTGGAAAATTGCACAATATACATTTATTCTAGTAGACCTCAACAATGGAATTATGATCAGTAGAAATGGCCATGACATGGGACCTTTAAGCACTATCAGATCAGTTTTTAAAGTTTTAAGTAGCGTCTGGTCAGCATCTTTTTTCCCTGTTTGCCCCGGTGAACGTGGTTCATAATGTTATTTGTTCGTTTAGGATTTAGTGATTTGATATATAATCAATTCGTTATTACATTTAAAGGTCCCATGTCATGCTTTTCCGGTTATTACCCGTCCCCTTGTGTGTTATGAAGGTTTTTATGCATGTAAACGGTCTGCAGAGTCAAAACCCTCAAAGTACACCCTGTAGGGAGTAAAACTCTTAACACAGAAAAGACCTTCCCAAAACGCCTCGTTGGAGATTTCTCATGTTCTTCCTGGGCATCGTGACGTCTGGATACCCAGTAGCCACGCCCAGAGCTATGACGCGATACGGTCATGCGGTACCCGGAACCAAATGGACTAATCCGTGGAGCCGTTGCGTTACGTCCGCGGAGCCGTTACGTTAAGCCCCTGCTGATTGGTCCAAATTGACCAATCCACGGACTTCCTCTCACACACACACACTCAGTGCAGGCAGCTCTGCTGATTTCTCCTCCCTGGCTGCAGGCTGATAACAGACAGTTGGGATCGTGGCGAAATTCTCTCTGCAGACCCATTCTCACAGCGTTTATCAACCTTTTTCTTACTCAATATCAAGCCACACTTATTGTTTTTACTTCGGCTGTGACTTTGTGTGTGCTCAGGATGAGTTTGGCTGTGTTTCGCTGTCGCTAAACAAGGAAACCACACCTCCACGGAGCTCAGCGTGATTCACAACGTCCCGACCAATCAGAGCACACTGTGCTCACAGGGAGGGTGGGGGCTGGAGCTATAGAGTGGCGAAGTCACGCCCATCTACTTCCGCCCCATGGGACCTTATTTCGGAAAAATAATGTATTGAAGTCAATGGAGAGAGAAAACTTATCTTTCGATCCCGTTTGAATTGTGCCATGAATTACACATATGATGTTTGTCAATCTTAAAAAAATCATTTCCATGTCAAAAAAGTCACAGTTTGTCGTAAAACTGTTGAAATATAAGACTATGAAAGAGTACTGTCACCGGTGTGATCATTCTATAATACACAATTTAAGCCCGGGGGAGAAATGCTAACGCTAACGCTAGCGATCTTTTCTACTTCATGCTATCTGCACAAATGGTTGACATTAAACATTAAAACGACCAGGCAGTTCAGAGAGAATCAAAGGAAGGCAGGCAGGCAGTTTTGCATGACATTCTTCTGGACGTGTTTCATTGTGGTGATAGCAGAGGTGGGAGTAAGTCCTACATGTGCAAGTCATGAGCAAGTCTCAAGTCTTGACCTACAAGTATCAAGCAAGTCCCAAGTCACTGTGGTGAGAGTCAAGCAAGTCAAGTCAAGTCATTGCTCAGGTCAAGCAAGTCAAGTCAAGTCATACAAAATTCTGATGAATAAGCCCAGTTTCCGCATTTAAATCAGTTAAAAGACAGTGGCTATGAAAATGGATTTAACCCACACTATGATCTTCATTACATACACAGTTAATCATTTGAAATCTAATTTAGACCGATGACAATCATATTAGATTCATATTAACCCTAGAACTGCAGACAATATAGCTAGGACTCAATCAAAAAGTCTGTTCAAAAAGGCACAATTCCAGGTAAGAAAATCGTATATGGCATTTGCCATTACACATATTTAATTTAAATGTCTGTTAACACTAGAACCGCCAACAGCGTCAGCACCTACATAGATATCATTTTCAAATCATTTAATTTGTTCCTCTTCATAATTTCCTTATAAACTAAGTAGGACGATTTAAAACTCACTTAATTGGGTTAATTTAGAAATTGCTTCAGTTTATCATCATAACAGATCAAAAAGTTCAGATTCATTTTACAATAAATCAAGGAATGATGCACTTCTACAAACAAAAACAACATCATTAAAACATTTAAACAAACTACTAAAAGTAGATGAACTACATTATTCAACAGTTTACAGTAACTTCTGATAATAACACAGGGGAAATAAACGAGGCATCTCTTTTCCTCTCTCCCTCTCTCCCTCTCCTGACAGCCCGTCAGTATCGGGGTTAGTACAAATTAATCCCTTGGAGGTTCTAGTGTTAATTTACCGTTTTGTCTTCTCTTTGCAATGCTTAATCGATTTGAAACCAAGTCTAACGTAGCTTAAACTTAACGTTAGCTTTCTAGCTAACACAACACATTCACGCACCTTTCTCTGTGGGTTTTTTTGTAGTGACGAATGAAGTTGGATGTTGTGGTGGTCGTGTCACTGATCTTTATGCTGCAGACCCTGCATACCGCTGTTCTCTTCTTATTAGCGTCATCCACAACATAATCCTTGAATCCAAACTTCACTATTTTTGGAGTAACGCGAGCCGCTGCCATGTTAACTGACATCCTCTCCTGCCGTCTAGTGGGTTGCCAGGTTTGCGCGCACGGCGCTATAATCACCCAATCACGTTTTTTGAAAAAACTAAACGTAATATCTCAATACAAAAGCAAACGCAAATATTTAATTTTAAACAGTCAAGTCCTTTCAAGTCATCTGTCTCAAGCTTAAGTCAAGTCTCAAGTCATGAATACCAAGTCCAAGTCAAGTCTTTTATCAATGTTAGTCAAGCAAGTCTCAAGTCCAAAAATATGGGACTCGAGTCTGACTCGAGTCAAGTCATGTGACTCGAGTCCCCACCTCTGGGTGATAGTGAGGGTAGTCAATAGTTTTGTTGACAAGACAGTAGTGACGGCCATCTTGGTGACGTGTGTTGTTGACCAGAGATGTAGTTCATTTAGCGTTTCACACAAACAAATGTGTTACTTCACAGTTTTACGACACATTTTTTTTTTTTTGACTTGCAAAATTATCTTTTAAATTGACAAACAGCATATGTGTAATTCGTGGCACAATTCAAACGGGATCGAAAGATAATCTTTCTCTCTCCATTGACTTCAATACATAATTTTTCCGAAATAAGGTCCCATGGAGGTTCACCGGAAGCGGAGGGACTTCGCCACTCTATTGGAGCTACAACGAGCCGTTAAAGGCAGAGAGTGAAATTCAGTGAATACACGTAGTTTACAGAGATGCTGTATGAGAAACCAATGTGAGTTTGGAAAATTGCACAATATAAATCTATTCTAGTAGACCTCAACAATGGAATTATGATCAGTGGAAATGGCCATGACATGGGACCTTTAATGTCTATGCTAAGCTTACAACATTACTTATGAGATACTAAGAATTTCTCAAACATAATGGACAAAGTTGATAGTAGTTTCAGTCATTTTATTTGACTTACTCTACACTGGAAGTCAGTTACAACACATTTCAGAAGGCTGCCATTTTTCTTGCTTCATAAATCTAGGAAAAAAGTATAATTCAAGTCTCTGTGGTCAGTAATGATTTTGTTTATCCGTTCGTGCAAATGTGAACTAATAAAAAGTTGTTTATTTTGCAGTATCCATATATCCCAGCACACATCACCAAACCTAAGGAGCATAAGAAGCTGTTCCTGGTTCAGTTGCAGGAAAAAGGTCAGTATATGTACATTTTAAATAATTGTACTCGGATGTTTAATGGAGAATAAATCGCGGACAGAGTTGAAAACCTGTGATTTCTTGTTTCCACAGCGCTGTTTGCTGTCCCCAAAAACTATAAACTGGTGGCAGCACCGTTGTTTGAATTGTATGACAACGCTCCTGGCTATGGACCAATCATTTCCAGTCTACCACAGCTTTTGAGCAGGTATAGTTTGTGTCACTGTGTAAGTAGCTAAGTGAGACACTGGGTTTTTTTTTTTTTTTCTTCTGTTGATTGTGCCTGTGGTTGAATTAAAAACTGAAGGGCTGGATTAGAATATAGTTATGTGAACTGTCTGTCAAGGATGTAAAATTGTCGACAAAACCTGTACAACCTGTAACTTTTATAAAAAAAAAAAATTAAATTGGCATGTTTTCTTTCATGTTTGGAGTGTAACATAATAAACATTTTTATCAACACCAGTTTACACAGTGAAAGCCCAATGAATGTAAAGACTACTAAAGAGCTTTCTCTGATAGTATTCTTCTGAAATGTCAACACTTGAGACACGTACACACAGTTTTTGCAGATGAAGATTGAAGGCAGCTGATGGTTCTTAAGAATAACAAACATGCAGGGCAGTGTGAAGGGGTTTGTAGGGTGTTACCGAACAGTTTGAAGCTTCACTCAAAACGTTCCCATTCTAAATCAACAATAAAATGCTGCGTTGCTTTTTTCTTTTTTGCATGTCTATTAATTCTGTTTAAAGATAGAATCGGAGGGATGAAACCCTCTTTAATGGTCACACATGCAGAGCACACACAGTGAAATTTGTTCTCTGCTTTTAACCCATCCTAGTACCAGGACAGGAGTCTAGTATAGGAGCAGTAAACTCGGTAGTTGTGCACTGTTTCAGATAAGGATTAGATTTCACTACACTTATGAGTGGTACACTTTTTGTGGAATTAGATTACATGGGTGTATAGGTGCTACTAACATGTTTTTTTTTGTAACAAAATACAGCTTGAATCTAAATTTGCTGGCATTTGGCCTTTTCAAAAACAATTTTCAATGCGATCGAAGAACTTCTTGCCGCACACAAAGGAAGGCACGCCACTGTAATATCAGGGCTGTCCAACGGAAAGAAAATGAAGGAATTTTTTTAAGAAAAAAATACTAGGGTGATGACGTCATAAAATATTACTACAAACATTTGAACCTTCAATTAAAAAACCTCAATAGAAGCTTGCAACGCCACACATTCAGATCTGCAGGGATATTGTTTGTTTCCCTTTTGTCTTGCTGAAAAGAAAAATTCTCTTTGCAGCAGAATGATCTGAGGGTGCTGGAGTAACTCATCAGAGCAAAAAAAACGCAAGACTCCTGCATGAACTCTTATGAATTAACACAATACATCACCCTTTAAATAATCACTAGGATATTAATTACACATACGCGTGTTACCCTGAATGCAACACTGCAGCCTAATGTGTGTGCATGAGACAGTAGTGGCGGAAGATTTGAAAATAGTATGCATACATTTGAATGATACAGGAGGTTTTTTAAGAGTTTGAAAATAGATGTTTTGATAAAGTTGATGTTCTTAAACACAGCCCCCATCAACCTAGAATTATTCAGGAATTTGTATGCTTTTTGATTCTTCGTTCTCCACGGTGGCATGTGAAAGTTTTCTTCAAGAATTCAAGATAATCGCGGTGAGTAATTGTTGTACAAGTGATCATTTTAATGGTGAAGTGTTCCTTTAAAGGTGCCCTGTGGGGGTTCCTTGTTTTTATACAACCACTGTTACTCAATAAAACTTAGTGTTTATCCTTAAGAATAAATGCATAAAACATCTATTTTAAATCTGGATTCAGTTTAATTCATTTTGAAGTCTTCTCGCCTGCCTTTGCTACGGCTCACTCATCAACAATGACTTCAAACTCCACAGGTTACATTTAACAGAGAAGAAAATATATAAAAGATGGGGGAAAAAAAATCAATGCCATGATTGTGCAAATAGTCTCTTAAACATTAACTGAAATTGAATAATTATATTTGTATAGATTCAACTTCATTTACAACTAACTTGAGTGCACAGGAGTATGTCTGGCTGTCTCTATGAGTGCAGTCCTTTGTGAGTGAAGATGAGACGTTAATCTTTAGCTCAACTTTCACAAAAGAAAAGCTTGTCATGTCGGGTGTATTTACATTTCACGGGAGTGTTTAAATGTTTATACTGAACAGAAAAAAAACAGTTTTGTATTTTTTAATCTTGAGAAACTGCAAGTTTTTGTAGTCTGTATTCCAGTTAGCTAAGAATCAGATTTGATGTTTCTTCTAAGGAAGGCCAAGTTTGATTAAACAAACTACATCCTGTTGTTTTAACCTGTAACAATGCTGTGTTTTTCTTTCTTTTTAATAAAAAGTCCTTTTGAGTATGTTTTTGTTGTTGGTACAAAGAGTAACTGAGTCGCTGAATGATAATTATTTATGTTTAAAAGAAATAACGTTAATTCTGGCAAAAATGTATTTAAAAAATCCAATCAATGTCTTAAAACATTGTTTTTGTCCGCACATTTGAATTACATTTTTTTTTTTAGCTGTGTTATTCTTTAATGGCTTTGGGATAATCCACACAGTTTAGACTTGATTGGGGGAATTGTCTTGCATCAAGGTGAACGAACTGAACTGAACATAAAACATAAAAAGTTAAACAATACAGTCGTTAAAGAATATTATATATATCTTTGAGATTTAACAAAAGTCTCCATTTGCAAAGCAAGAATGCACTTGAGAGTATTTACACATCTAAATGTAAAAAATCAGAAAATGTTCTGTAATACATGTAAAAAGTAGCATGAACTGAGAATACTCAGGTGAAGTACAAGTAACTCAAAATTGTACTCAAGGACAGTACTTGAGCAAATGTACTTTGCTACTATCCATCACTGACTAGGTGGCACCATAAAATGTAATAAGGCAGCAGAAAGTAAATAAACATTCAAATTATTAATTAAATAAATTATAGATAATTTTAAAGTATATTTGTGAGCATTACACATTATTTAAAACCATAGTTTAAAACAAACAAATAAAGTGCAATGTTAACTGTCTGATAGCCAACGCTGCCTGACAGTCTGAGTTCAGGGCAAAATCACCCACGCGTATTCACGTCATTTACCAGCGACGCCCTGGAAAATCTTGCACGCGCCAGTCGTGTTTTCTCTGTAGTGTGTCCTCTTTTATAAAGCTTGTCATACCTGCATGTTTATCTAGTTCACACTGCATAGTCTCTATAATGGCGTCCAAACGCCGGCCGGGGGAGAGTGTGAAGCCGGAGAAGAAGAGGAAGAGGAAGAGGAGTTGTGAGGAACCAGCGGAACTCTGCTCAGTGTTGGAAGACCAGCAGGTGAAGCAGACTGTCAGGGAGGCGTGGGGCCAGAAGACTGCCTGCACCCAGGGTCAGTGATACAGAAATACACCAGACAGACAGACAGATAGACAGACAGTACTCTGGGTCAGCATACAGTTGATCTGTGTCATGTGCTACAAACGGCGGTGCAATGAATCGGAACTATTTGTGTATTTGATGGGACATTGCAAATGATCATAGTCCCAATGCAGCATAAAACCAATGTACTGTACAGATGCTTTATAACTATTTCTCATGTCTAAGCCTTGTCCCTAGTTTGGCTTTTTAGATGCAGTATAGTCAAAATATACAGCTCTTAATGTCACACAACAACAATAAACTACACATTGTATTAACAACATTACCTCAAGTACTGTACCTTGTTACAATTCGCAGTACTTGTATTTCCAATTCCATGCTACTTTATACTTCTTCTTCACTACAATACATAAGTAAATATTGTACCTTTTACCAGTACAGCAACCCCTTTGACCCTTTTAGTTACTTTTCTAAATCAGATTATCTTTACACAATTTTTCAAATTGAATTATGAATGAAGATTATATATTATAGTTTTAGCAACCCAAAAATATTCCTGCTATCTTTACTAGCTGCACCATGAAGGAATGAACAAATAAATGCATTTCATTATAATCATTCTGCATAAGATTCTTTGTTTGGCTAAAACATATTTATTTTTATGAATATTGAATAATGTTAAATATTCACCAACAACTGTTAACGTGAATACATGTTGTACAAATCACTGGGCTTTCTTGGATGTCAACCCCAATCCAGTGGTAAAAAGGCAATTGCTGTGGGTAAGAAAAAGTACAATATTTTGAGTAAAGCTATAACAATTGTCAATTAATTGAATATCTCTCTCACATGAATTTATGAAGAGAATCCATGACATGACTGGAATGTCAGAGGCATGTTATTTGTCAACATCTCACACACTTTGTGTTTGCTCTGCAGGGGATCTGGAGTTGGACTGCCACCCTTTCCCTCATTGCATCATCAGGAACTTCCTCAGCAGCGAGAGCTTCGTGGAGAACCTGCAGAGAGAACTGCTGCAGCTCAACTTCCACGAGAAGTCCAACGATCTGTACAAATTTAAACAGGTGTCCATCAAACTAACCTTCTGAATGGTTGATTTCTGAGGCTTTGTGTTGTCGTCCTATAACCTTCGCCTTGTTGTTGCTCCCACGCAGTCAGATGACCTAAAGAAGAGAACAGAGCCACACATCGCAGGACTGAGGTAAACAAATAACTTGTGTTCTTGTGTTTGCATATTTTACTAAAGTCATGTCTTATTGCCAGAAGCCGTTATTAAACCACCAAACCAACAATAATAGATCTGTAGCTGTGTTTAAAGCACATTTTACTTATTGCTTATCTTTTTTAATAACATTTTCCAAACGATTGACCAACCTCTCTCTAAAGCTTGGTTACGTTTTTAGTTTGTTCCTTAGTTTTGGACTTTGTTTGTCTTTTACTTTTACAAACTTTCTTCTTTATTTTCTTTCTTTCTTTAAACTTTACTGATGGTACATCCTGAGTGGACAGCTGAAATCGTCAGAGCTATTTTTAGTTGCTTCTGATTTTAGCTTTCATTGTGATATCATGGGCAACACATGAGATCCAACCATACTTTTAGCCTCTAAAACCTTATAAACAAAAGAGAGCATGTTGCTGTCATTTCTGCTAGTATTCAACAGGGCAAGGCAGTTTTATTTTATAACACAATACGATGCTAGAACAAATCAATTTGAAGTTTTGACAGAACTGTTAAAAAGAGAACAAGAAATTGATATATGAAACATTTAGTTTAGTAATTGTGCAGAGAATGAAATAAAACAGACAATTGCGATGGATACATTATTCTTAGAGCTCTGATGAGGGTATTACAAATTCTGTATTTGTTCTCAGTGATAGTGAGACATGTTGGTGGTTATGTGTCAGCTCCACCAGGTGGAGCCAGAGATCACATCTGCCTCGTAAATTATACATTTCCTTTATTAAGTGCTGTTGATTCTGTTAATATTAACATGTGGCATTTCAGACTGTACATTTAACTCGGTGTGAAATGCACTCAGCAGCAGTTACTCTCAGGTGATCCTTTTAAACCTGTTTCATATTCAGTCTGGTACCAGTGCTCAACACAAGGGTAGCACTGTAAATTATAACCGCAGTAATAATGTTGGGGCTTTCAAACAAATGACTGGAAACAAAGATGTAATTGAATAATTATGGAGCAGCAAAAGCCGCTTATCCTGCCAAGAGGTCCAGAGTTTGAACCTAGTCCAAGAAAAAATAAATCTCAGTGCATAAATCAACACAAATGAGCAGGGTGTCAACATTTATTTTATTACTATTATGACATGTTTAAAGTGAAAGATTGCAACATGTCATTTATTCTAAAAACGTATTTATGATTATATACAGTACATTGCTACACACCTTCTGAAGAGACTCAGCCCTTGGGAGTAAATACCATAATTAAATACACAATAACGGCCTCCTCTTGTGATCATCTATTATTTATGTCACAACAAAATGTCACGGTGGGTTTGAGCAGCTGAACAATCTGGCTGTGGGGTGAGGCTGCCAAATGTCTCATCTTATACGAGGTTAAAGGTACAGCCCCATCAGTAAAAACAGGATCATAAAACGAAATTTAAATATAAATAAAAAGGTTCCTGTGTGTCTTTCAGGTCAGCGCTGTTTGGGCGTTTCCGCTCCTGGCTGGGGGAAGTGTTGGGGGTAGAGCTGGAGGCCACAGTGGATATTTCTTGTGCCAAATATGAATACACAGGTGAGCTTTGATTTAAAGCAAGGACTGCTTTAGATTTAGGCTCTTTTGATAAGATTAGTGATGACTAATCTCCTGTGAGTTATCATTTATTCCCCATATGTAACACTCTCTCTTCTCTCTAGATGTTCTTCTGTGTCATGACGATGAGTTGGAGGGGAGGCGTGTTGCCTTCATCCTGTATCTTGTGCCTCCGTGGGAGGACAGCGACGGAGGAACCCTCGATCTTTACACCACAGACAGTTAGTGTCTCACTTTGTGTGTGCACTTCTGTGCGTTTATACAAGGGAAGTCTTTTAAAATCTTTCCATCTTTGTCATTAGGTAATTTCCAACCGGAGAGCATAGTGAAGTCACTCGTACCCTCTTTGAACACACTCGTCCTCTTTGAAGTTTCTCCAGTCTCCTTTCACCAAGTAAAAATATCCGTTCCTGTCTTTTTTTAAATCACTGCTGCTACAAAGCTTGATTGCAGATTGATAAACGTGTCGTGTTTGTCCAGGTGTCAGAGGTTTTGACAGAGGACAAGTGTCGTCTGTCTCTGAGCGGCTGGTTTCACGGGCCCTCTTTGGAGCGTCCTCCTCGCCACATAGAGGCCCCCGTCCCACGGAGCCTACACTTACCCAGAGACGTGAGTTTGGTCAAACATGAACACTATCTTAATAAGAATAGTTTAAGATTTGAGGAGATAACCTTAGTTGCTTTCTTGCCAAGATAAGAAGATTGTTTGAAGCTTCAGGCAGTTATCTTATCTTTAAATTAAATTACTGGAAACAGCAGGCTCGTTTCAAAGGCAACAAAATACACTAACCAGCTACTCTAAATCAAACTTACCAACATGTTACATAATTTAAGGTCTTAGGTGTAAAAACATAATGTTTCTGATTTGCTTTCGACTAATTCCTGGCCACTAACCTCCTAATTCGGAGCAAATCGTCTCCTGGCTTCAACTTTATTATTTAAAGGCAATAAACAAGTTATCAAGTTCTCCCCTCTAGCGTTTCCAAGTGGTGTCCCTGTTAGTGCCGCTCTTGCAAAGACAACCTAATCTCTTTTTTTTTTCTTAACCTTAGAGTTACTAGCAGAACATTTAGCGACTCATACAGATAATCTGGGAAAACAGCAGTAACAAGCACATTACTTTTATTATATTATAAATAACGCCCAATGCTGCTCAGAGTAATCTCAGTCCATGCTCTTCTGCCAGAGGCACGTGATCTCTCCCTCTCTCATCAACACATCTCCCTAGCGACAGACAGGCACAGACAGGCAGGAAACAATTAATAAAACATACAAATAGGTCGCCCCGGTAGCTCAACTGGTAAAGCGGGCACCCAATATACTGTGGCTCATTCCTTACCACAGCAACCAAGGATATTAGCAGAACTGCAGCCTTTTGTCCTCCCCTTTCTCCCCCTTTCCCTGTCTCACTCTCTCTGTAGCCAAGCCCAAAACATGTCTATTAAAAAACAGTCGTAGTTAAAATACAGAAGTGTGAATGTGCAGCAAGCAGCAAATAAGTTGTATAAATAAAAGAAAATAATTCATCCTGTAGAAGACCTTCCTGATGCAGTTATTTTGTGTTGACTACCTTAATGGCATACGATAATTAAAGACTCTTTATTATGTTCTGGTTGGACTTTTTTGACCCTATATATCGACTGCCAAATGTATTCATATGGAAATGAATGTGCTATGACATCGCCAATATGCAAATGAGAGTATCTTGCCATCTGTGCATGTGTTTCCCACTGATTGCAGGAATGCATATTGAAAGAGAGCTATAGGAAATCAATCTAAATGCCAATGGTTGTTTCATTATACAGCCATTCAATTGTGTGTCAACATTACTTCATGATCATTTATAGCAAAAAACGACTTGAACAGACGCAAGTGTAGTGTCAATCTTATCATCAGAATCTGAAGATCAGAATCCCTTCCACAGACCGCCTGAGTCCTGCTGACGTGTGTGTGTTGTGTGTGTTGTGTTCACTTCAGGAAACACTGCTGATGGAATGGGTCAATCCAATGTACATGGACATCTCCTACCAAGAGCAGATCCAGGAGGAGTTTGAGGAGAACTCTGAAATTCAACTCAAAGATTTTCTCCAAGTATTTTCTCACTCTTTTTTTGTTTTTGTTTTTGCATGGCCTGTGTCTGCTGGTTGCTTTTGTCTGACGATGTGTCTGTCCTCAGGAGGAGAAGTTCAGGGAGGTGAGGGAAGCCCTGCGACTCTCTCAGATTCAGTGGACGAAGAGAGGTCCGCCTAATAAGAGGTAGGACATGTTTCAGAGATAGATGCACCTTAATTGAGTCCATAAATAGATACTAGGTGGTACATAAACTATAAAAGGAACATAATAGAATTGCAGGCGCTGTATTTGTGTGCTCTCAGGTGCTATGAAGCAGCCTCTCTGGACACTCTGCCTCAGTGTTTGAGTGAATGTTTGGAGCTGCTTCGTTCAGAGGCTTTCTTCCTGCTCCTCTCCAACTTCACCGGCCTTCGATTGCACTACCTGTGTCCTGCCGATGATGAGGATGAAGATGAAGATGAAGAGAAAAAGGACATACAGGATGGAGAAGCCACGGGGTCTTCATCCGAACCATCATCAGCGAATACGAGCAGAGAGAAAGGTGAGTGTGTCAGTGTGAGCCTTTTCATCTGAGTTGAATTGGGTTTTTTCATTCAACAATAAAAAGGCAGGAAAGGATTACAACATTTTAAACTGTAACACATTTCAGGTCAGTGTATATATGAAAACAGCCAATGTTTTTACCTCTGTGTTCTTTAGAGCCGAGCATACCTGTGTGTTGTGGTGAAGTGCGTCGATGGGCTCCTGGCGGATACACACTGTTGCATGATGCAGAAGCAGCGCAGGCAGAGTACGCTCTGGATCTGGTCTTACCTTTCTGTGGTGCAGGTGAGTCTACACACTACACACACACATACAGACACAGACACAGACACAGACACACACAGACACAGACACACACAGACACAGACACAGACACAGACACACACAGACACAGACACAGACACACACAGACACAGACACAGACACAGACACACACACAGACTTGAAGGACATGTCGATCAATCTTGTGAATTTTATAAAACGTTCTTTCCTAGACTGGCAGTCAGAGTTTGGGGGCTTCACGTGTTATGTTGCTAACGAAGAGGATGAGGAGGTGAGTGCTGATTGCAGTTTGGGCTGCCTTAACTTTTTTGTTTGTGTGCCAAATAAAGAAGGTGTTGCAGGCTACACTAAAGTAAATGGACAGTTTTCAAAAAGCTACACTGCAGGAAAATCTAGACCAAAAAACCCCATGTGCCATAGAAAAAAAAAATCAATCAAAATGGCTGTGTGTGGCAACACTAGTAAACATTTGGTTTTAGTGTTAGTTTATTGCTGTTCCCAAATATCACAAAACATATTTCTGTATCTGCTTATCTTTAATTAATTGTTTTACTTTGAAACTGACACTGTGCATGGCCCAGGTGCATACTTAAAACCTTGTCTATTATATTAAGATGTCACTAACAGAACAAGGGGAAATGGTAAAATAGTAGTGTCTGTGCAAAGAGGTACACAGAGATATTTTCATTAAATGTATTCAACATTTGCTGTTTAAAGTAGGATATGCCACGTACTACGAGCAATCTATTATTAATATGCTCAAGACATAGTGTATTTAAAATATCAAGGGGGCTTTTTAAAAAGGACAGTGGGCTGCAGTTGGCCCTCGGCTGTTGTTCGACCACCCCAGGTATAAAGTGTAATTACATATGTGTGGGCTTTTCTTTGTTATAATAATTGTATTGGTTCCTTCCTCATCGCAGCTCCTGACAGTTTATCCAGAGGATAACTCCCTCGCCCTGGTCTACAGAGACAAAGAAACCCTCAAATTTGTCAAACATGTCAACCACAAAAGCTTGTCTGAGTCTGCTGACAGTTCTACCCGCAGAGCTTTTTATGACTTCTCTTTTGTGTACTATGAATAAATATATATATATTTTATAACTATCTATTGTGTCTCTTGACATCTTTGTGTCATCTTCCTAAAATGTAGTGTACATGTTTAACACAAACAGTAACATGTACAGATTCACAGGTGCTGCCTTTCTTCTTGGGAGCTATTTGGGTTTAGTGTTTTGAACAAGGACACAACATTTTTTATTTTATTAAAATCATTTATTGATATTAAAGAGTGGTCAAAACAAACTACAAGGTGACATAACCTTTTACACCAATTTTAACTCGCTCTTATTTATAAATTACAGGTTGTGAGCTAAAAAAGGTTAACCTCACATCAATGAGAAGATAAGGGAGTGTAGATGAGACAAGACGGCTCTAATATTAAACTAAATTGTTAAACATGAGACAAGTCAATGAATGTGAAAAAACATTTTTACTGTAGTTTATAATGTACATGTAAAGAATTTGGTTAATTTAAGTAACTGTGGGTTGAATTAAATTGTGTATGCTAAAAACTTGGGGCTTGAGCTTGAAAATAGTGTTAATGAAAAGAGAAAGATACTGATATCAGAATAAAAAAAACTGTAAAAACGTATGTCTTTTTGCGTCTCTTCTTGTTTTGTTCCTTTTAATAGTTTAATCTGACAAATTACAAAGCGACAGACAGTCGCTTTGTAATTTGTCAGATAAAGACCGTGGGACAACAGGTGGCCCATTTAATCCATTCATGGTTAGTACTCAATTTCCTATTTATTACAGTTTGCTTATTTGTCATAAATGATTTAAATGGTCAAGATTATTAATCTTATAGACAAAAAGCATATGTAGGCCTACAGTATGAAATTAACAGCATAGTGTTTCCTAGATTACACTACCACTGATTTGGTCCCTGAAGCTCCAAACACTTCCTGTCCTGGATTACTCATTATTTTGATCGACATCACTTTTACCACTTAGAATAATGATTATATTGCAGTCGAAAAGAATAATAATAGAGAAAATATCATTTTAAACCATATGTATGTATATTACAGATGTTTTGCCCTACATATGCACAAATAACAACAAAAAAACACTTCCTTCCTGTCATGATTTTTTCCCCAGGCAGCTTGTTGTTGATTTCCACCAATCAGAGCGTCCCGTTACCCCTCCTCAGCCAATGGGAGGCCAGGACGTGTGTGACGCATCAGTGGGTGTAATCCAGCAGGAGGAAGCGTTATCGAACAATATAACAAAGTTTTAAGGTAAGTTTGTTTCTACATTTTTAAAATGCTTTACTTTACAGTAAATCTAAAAGATGATACATTAGAAACTATACATGCCTGACCCCGTGTCCTGTGGCCGTAAAGTGAACACTAAAGCAGCTTGTTAGGTCGCACCGTGGTTGAGGTTTTACGGCAGTTGTGTCTACTGTACGTGAGGTCCACAAACACGAACTTCTTTTCATGTTTTTAACTTTCACACACCTTTTGAGACTTTAAAACAGACCTTTCCTGACTACGGTGGGTTAAATCAAGCTCTTAGGCTGCATCATAATTCTTCATAACAAAGATGTAGACGTTTTTGGCAAAGCTTGACATAAAATTCACGTACAAAATATGCATGCAAACTGGGGGAAAATAGTATGTCCAGAAATACTTTATAAAATATAATTCAGCATTAATTGGATTGGTTATTAATACGGAGCCATCCTTAGGCTTTAGTAAAAAGTATCCTACATGTACTCAAGTTGGCTACTGTAGCTTACTTAAGTGTCATTTTGAGGTACTTTTTAATATTTCTATTTGCTGCTACTTTCTATCTCTACCCACTACATCTTAGTGGGACATATTGTATTTTTGCTCCATTACATTTATTTGACAGCTGTACTACTTAATAATAAACATGTAGTTAATTATTAATATGAAAGACAAATCAATGAATAGATTATGATTAAACTATTCAGCAGTATATCAAGTAATTCAAATGAGCTCCACCAGCTGCAACACAAAAATGATGAACACTTGAACTTAATATATATATTATTCTGAAATTAATGATAAACGGTTGAAGTACTGTAGCTTTTCATACAAAAAATTGTGGAAAGTGCTGATTATTCTTGTTTATGTATTGTCTTTTAATTTGTATTGTACAATGCCTTGTCTTGTTATGCTGCTGCAACACAAACATTTCCCAAATTGGGATCAATAAAGTACTATCTTATCTCTTATCTCTTATCTCTTATCGCTTATCTCTTATCTCTTATCTTATCTTATTAAAACACAGGCTTTTTTTCCCGAGGCTGCTGAATCCACATCTTTTCATTTTCTTTTGTTGACAAATGATCTCTGCAGCTGTATCACCTAAACAAGTTATATAGGGTCTTTGCTATAATTCATGAAGAGACCTTTTTCCAACTTTAACCTGATCATATGTTTATGAATGCAAGTGTTCACATTACAGAGCAACTCTTTTATATGATGAGAGAGTTGTTTTTGTGAGGGTTGAACATATGTATGGTACTATCTATCCTGATGTGGAAAATGTAATTGCTACAGGGCGTCTGATTTAAACTGGCACTGTTTCTTGGTCGGGAAGGATCATTGTCACTGAACTATCTCTTTATTGTAATCAAATATCTAATGTGTGTAAGGATAGTCCGCGGGTGTGGTTTTGAAACAAATATGAAGGAAATGATATACAGCATATTGAAGAACAGCAGATGAAACGGTCCTGCCTTTTCATCCATCGGCATTTTTTTAAACAACATTTACAAGTACTGTGCAGTGATGCAATACAGTAACACTATTTTGATATTTCATTCAAAACAGTGTTTAAATCCTCTGAATAGGGAAGGCATCCGATGCTTGGGCAGAAATCATGCAGTCAAACTGAAAGCTCCTGGTTTTTTTCAGGGCCTTATTTATATTTACATTTAATACACATGCGGGCAAGAAGTGTAATCAATAGAAAAGGTCATTCTTTAAATGTTTTGTTTCAAAACTTGGTATTCAGAGGTTTACTGTAAACACAAGATGTGTGTTTTTGATTGCATATGCATGTTTTTGATTTTAACGTGCTTGGGTATGATTTATTAATAGAGTTAAGTCGATAATGAAATACTTCATTGCCAATGATATTATGATATCATTAATCGAAGTAATTTATCATTCAAAAGTTCCAACAATTTTCTTAAACTTTCACCTAGATATAAGCAAGGGTGTGTATGTTAAACTAATATATTGTTTTACCATTACAAATATATTGTTACTTGTCAATCAAAGAAGGGAGCATACCAATTAGGGATGGGAACGATTATTAGAATATTCGAAATTATTCAGGTATTCGAATATGAGAATATGAGTTATGAATATCTTTATTGTAATTTTTTTTGGGAGGGGTGCCTAAGTTGATTACATATGATCAAATGGAATAATTCAATGTATACGACAGTGCCATAGCTAAGTGTGTTAGGTCTAAAGGTGTGTTTTGCTCCGCTCACCAGTCCCTCTCAGCGGGCAGAGCTGCAGGTGCTGATCTCTCTCTCGCGTCCGGTTATACTTCACTCGCGTTTATGTCCAAATCCATCAGATCTAGCTAGTTCTAGCTAATGACATGGCTGCTGCCCCTCCCTACACGGAGATCACGCAGACTCAAACCTCATCTTATGCCCAAATTCCAGCTGAGAGGGTTTTCTCTACAGCTGGCCTGATTGTGAATCGTCTCCGCACCCGCCTCTCCCCTGAGTAGACATGCTCATATTCTTAAACAAGAATGAGTATTGAATAGCTGCATTCTGTGCATAGGCCCTGTTATAGGTTGATCTCTGTTGTGATAGGGTTACGTTACCCTAACCGGTTATGTTGTTCGTGTATGATCCCTCTTTCATTTAAAAAACAAGTTATGTTTTAAGCATGAAAGCTGTAGGCCTATAGCTGTCAACTGTTCAAACTGTGATCACCAGTTCAATACATTTGACAAATTCGTCTTGGTTTCTATACTTATTTGAACATGTATTTATTTATTTTTCAAAATTAAATGTATATTTTTTTAAATGTTTCCCACATTTTCTTTTTTTCTTATAGGATAGGGTTAGGGTTAGGGTTAGGGTTAGGGTTACATTTCGGTTAATTGGTTAACCGTTTTTTTGAGGTACATTTGCTTTCAAATTCCCATCCCTAATACCAATCCATACTCTTTTATATTCATCAGTCAGTCTTTAGGCATTTTTCACTTCACAAGTCAGCCATTACTTCCATCTACCATCAGAAACCTTTCCTTTCACTATGAGACGTTTTGGGGACTTTTCTGTTTCATATCATTGTTCATTTATTGTTTTAAAGTTTCTGACTGTTAGTCAGAAGCAAAGCAATTTGAACATTGGGATCTGGGAAATTATGATGAGCATGTTCTACATATTTATAGAATAAATGATTTATCTTAAAGACAATCTTGAGATCTGCAGGTCAATTAGTTTCAGCTTTAAAACCTCAAAGACACCAAAACATAACAGACCCAAACAAGCATCATCGATATTTATTTCACCTAAAAGTCAGACGAGATGTCCAGGGAATACTAGAGGTTGGCTTTTGGCTGCAAAAAGCGAAATGATGTATTTTAAGCTCCTGATGATCACTTAATCCTCATACAGCTGTACAGTACACTTCCTGAGAACTGGGAGATGGGATCGCTCATAATTACATACTGGCTAAGTTGTGGAGATTCCTGTGGACCCAGCAGCCAAGCATACTGTGTATTAGTGGAGTATGAGGACACATAATCCAGCTCAGAGGATGCTCTTTCCACGCTCTGCATGGAGACAACACCAAGAGGGAGCCACAGTGGTTCATTTAGAGTACAGGAGCGAGGGGCTGCGCTGGGGGAGGGGAGGACTGAGATTAAACATGTTTTTATGTAATGAGGGTTTCAAAAGGAGGCTGGGTAAAAAAGGTTGAAGTGGAGTGGGGCCACAATAAGCAGCGCGACCACTGAGACTGAGTGGGTTTAACTCCAGGAGGAAAGATATTCCTGTCTCTTATAGAGAGGGGCTTCGCTCTTCACTGTGACAGTGTCATTTGCCTCATGTGGAAGGAGAAGTATATTAAGCATTTCCTAATGCCTTAAATGTATATCATCTGATAGGAATGATGTCGAGACAATATACATTTGTTTAGCACCACAATTTGTTTTAATTTAATCGTTTAGTTATGCATATTATAAAGTTCAAACTAATTAAAATCACAATGCACTGATGGGATACCACTAACCACGATTCAATTTACAATAATACAAAATAACACATTTCCACATTCAAGGCAAGACACTGAAGTCAAAAACATGGTTTTTTCATGCTTGGTCAAATTGAAATGTGTGCTTTGGAGAAAGATAGAGATCATCCAAATCATTTTTTTAAATTAATAAATCTTTATTCTGAAGGTTATTACAGAGGGCGGTTGATCATAAATCATTCATAGTAGGTTTATATCATGTGTTACACCTACAAACATGGATTATTATTTGAATGCCAATTGACAGTACAAAAAGAAAACAATCCTTTCGACCTAGCCTTATCTAAGGTTTAGATTTCTTACTGGAAGATAATGCCTTGTTTGCATATGAATACATATCATTTAATAACTCTTTAATTAAAAAAGTGATTGTTTAACGTAAATAGTCATCTGGGGGAGTTTCATACTGATATATTATTAAAATGTTTTCCCCTGGAGTTTCTCGCTTGAAGAATCTGAATCGTTCATCTTTGCTTGAAAATGACTTAAAGCGTATACTCTATCTGATTCTTTCAAAACTCAATATAATTGCATATTAAAATGTAATACTTAGTTTTGTTCTACAAAAAAAAGACTAGTTGTCACACAACTGCAAATATATTGAATGTAATCATGAATATTGGGAATTGCTACCTCTCTAATCCCTAGTCAGTGGTGACCTTAGCAGGGTTTAGTTTTATTCAGGACTTATGATATCATCATTTGAAATGGTTTTTGTATAATTAAACAATAGCCCGTTCTCAACCATCTGTAAAGGGAACATAAAAAACAGTCACTTGGACTGAAGTCAAATCTCTTCATCCGTTACATACTTTTTTTAAATCGCTTAAATTCACTTAAAACATTTTTTATAGGAAATCTCTGTTGACTCTTGATGTTGTTGTTGTTTCTTCTTCTTCTCCTTCTTCTTCTCCTTCTTCTCCTCATTTTACCTTTTGTTCTTATTATCATTATTATTATTCATATTATTATTATTGTTCAACAGTCATACGGATGTAGCAAATCTTCACAGAGAAAGAAAATACTTTGTCTAGTTCACAGACTGCATGATAGATATTAAAATAGAAAAAAGACATTTTCACATAATCACTAATACACTGAAGGATAAAATAGTAATGGAGGAAATGGAGGATAATATTTCATGGGGATAAAGAGCATGTTGATTTCTCTCTGAAAGCCCTGAAACATGCACCTGGTGATCTGAAAGATGCTAACTGGTTGAGAATGAATTACAGCATTGATTAACACGCTGATTACTTTTTAGATTAATTATAGTTTGTTCTACAAAATGTCAGACAGAAATGTCATCCAAGTTTTTCCAAGTCCAAGGCGATGTATTCAAAGATATACACTTTAGTATGATATAATACTTAAGAGGCTGAACAAAGCATTTTATAGATTTTCTCTCATGAAAGATATTAATTGAATCATTAATCCATGATCAATATACTTCGATGAATCTGTTTATTGATGCAGCTACACAACTCCCAGTGAGACCACATGCTATTTGATGGAACAACATTCCTCAGGGTTTTCTCTTTGAACCTGTTTGAAGTTGCTCTTTTACATAATTCTTGTTGATACAGTTAACACAGATGTTGGGGAGAGCTGCAGAGATACGACTGGAGTAAACTTGTTACCCAGTTAGTGGCGTTGTGAGCGATGTGTAGAAGAGAAACTCGTCCAAAACAAAGTGGAGATAATGGCTTCTTCCTCCAGGATATCTTAAAGCAACTTTTAGTGCCTTTGCAGACTTGTGTTGTCATCAGACAGAGGATCTTCTGATGTTGTTTACTCATCTCTCTGTGTGTGTGTGTGTGTGTGTGTGTGTGTGTGTGTGTGTGTGTGTGTGTGTGTGTGTGTGTGTGTGTGTGTGTGTGTGTGTGTGTGTGTGTGTGTGTGTGTGTGTGTGTGTGTGTGTGTGTGTGTGTGTGTGTGTGTGTGTGTGTGTGTGTGTGTGTGTGTGTGTGTGTGTGTGTGTGTGTGTGTGTGTGTGTGTGTGTGTGTGTGTGTGTGTGTGTGTGTGTGTGTGTGTGTGTGTGTGTGTGTGTGTGTGTGTGTGTGTGTGTGTGTGTGTGTGTGTGTGTGTGTGTGTGTGTGTGTGTGTGTGTGTGTTCAGAGGATGGCAGACCAGACTGGGCAGTGGACAGGATGTGCCGTCATCTTTCTGCAGTCGCTCTGCCCCGCTGTGGACCTGCTCTCTCTCTACAAGGACCGAGAGCAGGGGAAGTTCATCGTCTTCAAAGTCATCAAGCTGACACTCACAGGTGAGCGCTACAGTGGAGAGGGTGGATTAGGCAGGTCAGTAGAACAGCTGAGGTGGGTCAATACAGGAAACTACAGTTGTTTCATGCACTGCTATATATTGAGAGTACCATACATTTTTTTTGTGGAAAATGTCCTCCAAAACATGGAGGAACATTTAGCATTTAGCTGTTTGATTTGATACACTTTTATCCATTTGGGTCTGTAGATTTCTCTAAAATTGACAAAAGTTACAATTAGATGATGCCTCATTTGCATATTTATACCTAAAGTTTCAGACATGTAAAAAAAGCAATAATTATATTAAGTGTAAACAATCAACCAGGGAAACTTCATAGGGAAATATGTTCACCGCATTCTCCTGTAGTATCTGATCAAATGTAGGGATTTTACAAAACATATCTTGATTGCCGTTTCTCAAAATGAGTTCCTTTCATACTCAGAGCCAGAAAGCTCATTTTTTGCAGCTTTTACTTGAACCAAACCAAACAGTTTTATTCACACCTATATTCAGACGTATAGCCTGATTTTATTTTGTTAATAACACTTTTTTGTTATGGCATTTACCAGTATATTGAGGTTAACTCAAAACCCTCTCTGTAAAACACTTGTCAACAAAATGAAACAAACATTGAGCTTTATCCAATGTTCAGAAGTCTTTTCCAGAAATGTTCGCAAACTAGCACATATTTAGCAAGTTGATGCGCATTTCCATAATATACCTTATCTTTTCCTACTATAGTCTCATGGTGATTTATAGTATTTACATTTTCCTGTAATGTCTGCCCTAAAACACTATATTTTCTTGGATATCACATTCTAATAATCAGTGTTTCCTGTGTTCAGATTCAGCTGGAGGTCTGGGAGGTTATGAGATACTGAAGGTCCATGAGGCCGACCCCTTCCTCGGGGTGGAGGTGAAGTTCGAGGACGCGGCCGCCTGTCAGCAGTTCCTGGAGAGCTACAGCTCCGGGGCGGTGCGTGAGTCGCTCTGTCAGCACGCCGGCCGGCTGCTGGCCCTCACTCAGGAGATCACCGTGGAGACGCAGCTGAAGGCCAGCACACACATCCTGGACCTGTGCCTGGACAAGCTGGAGCTGTGCCTGCAGCACATCCACCTGTCAAAGGTAGCAACCCACGGTTCTGTTGGTCTCTGGTGACGTAATATGGCGCTCAGCTGCAACAATTAGATGATGAGTTGAAGTCGTTGTTCATGTAGTGGCCCAAAAGGCAGTTTTGAGCCTCTCAAATATGGAGATGTATTGTTCCTTCCTTTATCATTTTAAAATGAAAATATTTGTACAAAGCATTTAAAGACAACCCCCTTTGACATTTAGAAACTGAGATAGACCTTCTTCACAATTTTCCTGACATTTTATAGATCAACCAATAATGGATCATATAGAAAATAATACTACCTTCAGCTTTAAGACTCAGTGTACAAATGAATAAAGTAGTTGCTGATTAGTCGTGTTTGTCAGACTGCCTTTTCATCTAACTTTATTTATTCAGAATTGTGTACATGTCGGGTAAATTATTATTATTTTTTTCTTTCTTTGGTCAAGTCAATCATTCGTGAGCGACACATGTCAGCTTTATATGCTTACCAAATCTTATTAAAAAATATATATTTGTAGTACACGTTACTCACCAGGTAACCCCTTTGACAGATAACGACTATTCTTTGTGTTTGACCTTACCCTTGTTAAAGTGTTGAAGATACCTATTCCCCTAAATTCCTACCCGCTCTCTATATTTTTAAACACCCTCTGCATACAGTTGTACATATATTATTTTAAAGCTTATCAATAGTAAAAGGTACATCGGTCGGTTGGTAATAATCAGATGTATTTACGGTTCATATAGCTCTTGGTACTGGTTGATAATTGGCTTGGCGTGTTTAAATCGACACGTAAGTAATAAATGCAACTACAAAGTTTGGTGGGGTTACATTTAAATCTTTCCACACGTTATGTATTATTTCTGGTTTATATATAAAGTTTCATGAAAGAGACGTTTGGCGTGAGGTAGAGAACAACAGAGGAGTTGGCAGGCTGTACACTCACTCATATAAAAGTATGTGTTGCGCTCAGAGAGTTCATCTAAACGTTCTCATCCCTTTTATCCACTTAACGTGACTTTTGTCATTTTGCTGCAGCCGGAGCGCCTGCGCGACGAGGAGATCGAGCGCCTGGAGCAGCAGCTGCAGTCCCAGGCCCTCGGCCCCGTCCCACAGCCCCCCCCCATCGCACAGGACGAGGGGCCCGTCCCCAGCAACTGCTTCAAGTTTCAGAACAAAGTGTTCGGTGAGTTGATCATTTCTACTCTGAGTCTTTTGTTTGTCTGCTAACCCTAACCCTCTGCCTCAAAGAGCTCATGATAAACACCAGGGCTTTCACACTCAATGATTATCGTGGCCAAAATAATTCATCATGAAGATTTTGTCGCTATATCTGTAGAAATAAAAACCAGCAATCACATTTATTTTAAACTTAAATGTGCCATATTGTCTCTGTTTTGGGCAAGTTAATTACACTCAAAATACGAGTGTAAGTATAGAGTCAGTAAGGCTAACTAAATAAAATAGTGCAAAAATAAATAACATTTAAATTGCAACAAAATAAAGGTGATATCTGTGCTGGAAATATTATTTATCTAATCTTACGCTATAATTAAAAAAATATATATATCTTGGTTATCGCAACAACCGTAGTAGAGATGAAAACATTATTTATATCAGCTTGAACTGAAGCATAATGCATCCACTTAGAAAATGTTTTCTATTTTTCCCCTGAATGAGCAAGATTATTATCTCAGAATACTGGAAAAAGTTTTCATGGTAACAAAATCTGCTTTGTTTTTCCGAATTAGCCTCTTTCTGAGATCAGACAAAAATATTTGACCTCGAATTCCTGGAAGAAAACATGTCATGCCTGTTTAGTTGAATCCAGTTTTATTTTGGTTTAGGAGAATGGCAGACAGATTTATATATAGTATACTTATTTGTATTATATTGACCCAGTACTTCAAATCACAAAGTGCTGTTCGAGGCCTTTTAGCAGCTGCCACCAAACTCCACACAGGTAAAAGCTTAAAAACATTCAAACGTTCTCAGTATTCTTAAATAATAATTACAAAAAAATGTTCCTCAAGTGATTGCATAATGCTAAAGACACTTTGTTTCTCTGTGACTGGTTCCCTTTTAATATCAGAGTCACCAGGAGCACACGGTTCATTGACATGGTGAAGAAATCATGCGGGCATTTTAAATCGCGTACGATGCACATGAATTTTAATCATTTCTATAGCATACCATAAGTTCTACAAGTCATTGATTTCTTATTTTCCATGCAGCCATTTGTTTCAGTCCATTCAACAACCGGTTAAAGGGAATGGAGGCGTGTGGCGCAGTGGGTTGTGCGTATGTGTTCGGATAAGGGGGGTCACAGGTTCAAACCCCACTGCAGTCAGCATGTCGTTGTGTCCCTGGGCAAGACACTTCACCCCAAATTGCTCCTGTGGGGATTGTCCACAGTATTGAGTATGTAAGTCGCTTTGGATAAAAGCGTCTAACATGCAGAGTTGGGTGTAACGCGTTACTGTAATAATATTACTTTTGTCGGTAACGGAGTAGTGTAACGCGTTACTTTTATAATTCAGTAATCACACTACAGTTACTAACATTGCCCCGACACGCGTTACTTCGTTACTTTTATAAAATCAGTCATAATCACACTGACAGACAAGAGGGGTTTCCGCCGCAGGTTTATATGTACGTAATCTGCGCGACTTGCGCGTCCACATCTCCACGTGCAGTGCTGCATAAACATGGCAGAGTCAGCGATAACTTTCGAGGGGTGGAGGTATGCCCATTATTTTGAGTTCGTCCGAAGAATAGACAGGAATGTGACGGTGAGGTGCAAACTGTGTCCAGGCCAGAAGCTGTTATACACTGCTGTAAACACCACGTCAAACCTCAACAAACACCTGCAAAGAACACATGCTAAGGTGAAGCTAATAGCTCAGGACCCCCGGACCCAGAGTGAGGATGTTGTGAGTGCGCCACCGCCGACTCCGAAGCAGCACAAATTAGAATTTGGAGGACCGGTAACCAAAGCAGAGATGGACAGGCTTGTAGCATCCTTCATAGTAGAGGTAATGTTGCCCATTTGCACAGTGGAATCACCATCGCATCGTTCAGAGATATACTGCGCAAAATACAGATAGCAGGAGACAGAGGACAGCCATAGTCAGAGCTATCTGGATCAGTCTTATGCGACAATGGAAACTGAACTAAAGAGAACATTTGAAACTTTAGCAGTCTGCGTGATCTGCCTGTAGGGAGGGGCGGGCCGGCCCTGCGAGTAAAGTAACGAGTAAAGTAACGAGTAAAGTAACGAGTTACTTTATGTAGAGAGTAACGAAGTAGTGTAATATATTACTTTTTTTTAAAGTAATATGTAATATATTACTTTTTTTTAGTAACGACCCCATCTCTGCTAACATGTCATGTAATGAATATAATAAACCTGCTTGTGATGTATAATCCATGAGAGTGTAGATATTTCTTACAAAGACTGAGTCACTGCTGCATCGTACAGTCTGTGGTTTGAATTGTCTTCAGACTTGAAGTGTGTTCATGCTTCAGCAGCTGAGACATGTTGGATTGCAGTCAGAAAGTGAATGTTATCTTTACATCGAACACAGACAGCATATGCAGTCAGTCTCTCTAATCCAACCTTTTATAAACTGACGCTCAGTCCATGGGAGGAGATTAGTGCCAGCAGATAATGCATTTGAATCACATTGATATGAAATTGTCGACCTCATATTGAACTGTTAAATGAACGTTAACTGATGAGACACTTCGGTGTCTTGAAAGTTAATTTGATTTTCTAGTTAAGTTAATTAAAGGTTTGATGCCAGTTGATGTAAATGTGGATTCAGCGCTCTGTGCATCGGGGACTCCCTGAGTGCCTCCACCAGCACGGGATGACCCCGTTTAGTAGACTGAATAATGACAATGGATTTCATAGTGGATAAAAGACATTTGAAAGAAAAGATTCTTTTGAACTAATTGATTAATTAATTTATTTGCTAGATGTTCAAATGTATGCAGTTGAGATGCTTTTCTAGTAGTGTTTTGTAAATGCTGGTGTATGAAAGCAACATACTTTCTTTAAGTATCAAGCTGTGAAACTCGCTCAGTGTTGTGAGTAAAATTAGGAGAATATTAAACCTCAGAGGGATGCTAAAACAAAAACAGAGCTGCTCCCATGAACATGTTCTCCTGGGCTTTTTA